CTCGATGAAAACTGTCAAGTCTCTCGAATATTAGCTGCTATGCACATAAAAAAAAATAGTTTTACTGAAGATGATGCGGTCGTGCTCGCTGCCATCGTATTAGAAGAAGCCAATATTAAGAGTAAATACCACTCTGCACAGGGTTCAGTCGGATATAAACAGTCCACCGTCTCATGGATTTAATTTCTGACTGTTCACCGCTGCAGAATATGCATCTCATCGCTTATCTAAAGTGGAGAGAATAAAACGAAAACGTAGTACTAGGTGATAAAGCCGGCTGATGCCACCCTTGCATGTGGCTGTCATCACACTTTGCGCTAATGGCGAAAGTGGAATTCACGGCCGCATTATCCGACTCAGCGCTCCACCTTGACCAACCATCTCAACAAGTCTGGTGGTGCTGGAGTGCTCACGTGACTACTTCCAGCTCGTTCCAAACTTTTTCTGATCCGTGCGTGATGACTTTTTGCCAAGTCTAGGCAACAGAGCTGAAACTAAGCGTGGTGTCCTCAACCCCTTGTCACCTTCCTACAGCAATACACGACCCATTGCGAGCACTACTTTGGCCCTTCATGCCGATCGAGCCGCTCCTTCTCGCGGGGCAAGGTCAGAAGCCTTTGACCGACGTGGCACCATCAACTCCTTCGGCCGGGTCTCGAACATCCCTCCTTCTCCGGGCGCTGCTGCACGATTGTCAGCTGTCGCAGCTGGAGAAGAACGCATCCATCGGCCACTATGATGAATTCGAAGTTGTCGGAAGCGAGCTCGGTGTTGATCCACCGACTGTGTTCTGCGGAGCTTGCAGGGATTTGTTGAAGATCACTTTAGAGCTGGGTTCCGATTCACCTTTCGATTTACTACAGAGAGAATTTGGATCATATGATTACTCTCTAATTCCACATCATAAGGACCTTTTCGAGTTTCTTGATTGCTGCAACAGTCCTCGTGGAAGTTGTCATTTATGCCAAATTCTGCTGTTCTCCTGTCAGCGGAAAATATCAATATCAATCCGTTGGGCAACTAGCCAAAGCCAACAGCTAGAGACCAGGCTTTCTCCTTTAGCTCTCACAACAACTTGCGAAATGCCCAAATTGGAAGCCAGAGCACAGTTATCAAGTCAGTTCAAGTCTGATTGAACCAAGTCATATGCCGTACTGAGTGCATTATTAGATAAAATCGAAAATTGGTCGCTCTCTGAACTTGGAGACAGTACTGAGTCGACGGAGACCTTCAACCAGATCAAGCATTGGATTCACGACTGCACAAAAAATCATGCCGAATGTCAAATGGAACGGGGGTTTCCCTCTGAACTACCCACGCGATTGGTAGAGATAGAGGCGGCAAGTGGATCCTTCCACTTCCGCTTGACGACGACGTTCCCCGAAGGCTGCCAATACACTGCTCTGAGCTACCGATGGGGCTCTGATACATCATATTCTCTAAGGGCTGACACCGAAGCTCACATGAGAAACTTTGTCTCTACCACGGAGCTTCCCAAAACACTTCGAGATGCATGCATCATTACCAGTCGCCTAGGGCTGAGTTATATCTGGATTGATAGATTGTGCATCTTCCAGGATTCCAACAGCGATTGGGCCTATGAGTCATCAAGAATGGCTCAAGTGTACAGAAATGCCTTCTGTACAATCTCTGCGGCGTGTGCATCCAACGAGCAGAGCGGGTGCTTTCGCCGCCGAAGGACCTCTAGTATCCTACCACTTGATCTTCAATCTTGCCCCTTCACTGAGGGGAAGGTCAGAATCACGGGGAATTCCATTTTGGATGAGGAAGGGTATGAGATGATGGATCATTTGACCGATCGTGGCTGGATATTCCAAGAAAGATGTCTCTCACGCCGGACACTGTACTTTGGGCGAAACCAAGTCTATTGGGAATGCAGATTGGGTGTATTCGGGGAGGCTTGCCCGTCAGACGGAACCCTCTTCGAGTTCTGGAAAAAGCCTCTTGCGGCTTACCCAGAAGGGGACTGGAACGCTCGTGCCGAGGCATGGGCCAACATTGTGGACGTATACTCCAGCAAAAGACTCACATACCAAAGCGACAGACTGCCAGCCTTGTCCGGAATGGCGTACGAAATGCAGCACCCTTTGAAAGATCAATATCTTGCTGGACTTTGGAGACAAACATTACTACGCGACCTTTGCTGGGTACCTGACACACCGATCGGCACTCCAACAGCATACCAAGCCCCTTCTTGGTCTTGGGCAAGCCATTCCTCACACGTTCAGTTTAGAGACGGAGCGCGTAAAATGGGCGAAATAAGAGGAGATCTAGCAACTGTGAAACAGGCTCATGTAGAGACAGCCAGTAAAAACCCATTTGGACAAGTGCGTAATGGTTGGATTACGCTGTCAGGCCATCTTCAACTAGTACAGCTCGAAACGCTGCCAAGCCATCTTCAACTGGTTCAGCCCGAAAGAAAGTTTGGCGTCACGCTAACGGCGACGGTTGATGGAGCGCCGCTTTCACCCTTGTTCACCTTTCATCCCGACAACGCTGATTCGCGGCCCCAGAGCTGGAATCATACGCAAGCATACTGTTTGCCCCTTTTCCATGACTGTTTGCCCTCTTTCGAATACTACGATTTCTACATGCAGGTGTACTGTTTACTCCTGGTTCCACATAGTGGAACCTCTTCACTCAGCACCAGTATTCACTTGGGTCAGGCAAGTGTATACGAGAGGATTGCATTGGGAACAATGTCTTTCTCGAAAGAAAAGGAAAAGGACGTTCTCGACTGGATCTTGGAAGCCCCTTTGCAAGAAGTAACCATTGTCTAAGAACTTCATGTACGCGTTGTATCCCTAAATAATTTGCAAGTACGCGTAATATAGCTCTGAGTATTTTCGTAGGTACAATGCTGCAATTGGATGTTGGTCCGAACAAGCATCGTGCCGAGAACTCACGGTTAGGATGACCGCCTAGGTTGCCGTGAGGAGATCATTGCTGAATCGGATTCGCAAAATTGGTTTTGTCAAGGTTTTCGAGTTTTCAGAGAGAGAGCATGCTCGACTGGGTCTCAGAGACTGCCTTACAAGAAGTTGTCATCGTCTAAAAATGCTTATAAAGAGTTGTGCAGTGTGGTTATTTTTACAGGGGTAATACTTTCACGTAATTTCTATGTAAGGACGTTGAAGTTTTGGCGATAAATTTTAGAGAGGTGCTGTTTGGGTTCGAAGGGTGCTTTTTGGTCCGCGCGGCGCGAAAGAGGTGCGCTGTTTGGTAATTACCCCTTTTAACTTTCTACGGTGAACGGTTTCTGCGGGAAAGCAAGTATGCCAGCGAGATTTTGAATGATTAAGTGCTTTTGAGGCAGTCATGCTTCCTCTGTGTACAGAATAGCCGTTCATAGAATTAGGCCGAAAGCTTTTCATCGACTACTTCCGTTTAGCTAGACATATCGTGATTATCCGATGTAATCAGGATTCTACCAACAATGCGCTGGGACAATAGCCCACAACTGCTCATCAAGCTTAGGTCGGTCAGCTGATCGCTGCAGCATGTGTGCTGCATAATCTCTGTAGAGTAGCCGGCAGGGCTGGGACCGCATTAAGCTACTACGTCATATATCTGGCTGCCAAGAGCCCCACCACTACATCTCCCCTACCTTCTAGAGCTGTAACGGGCCCCGTTTGACCGTCTAAATTTAGCCATAGTCGCGTCCCACTCTTTTGACATCCCTTGCAGAAACGATGACCGTGCTCCACATGGTATCGGCTGTTGCAGCAATAAGCATCGTCGTGTATTAAATAAACACGCGTTGGGAGCTGCCTCTCTTGTGATATTATACAGCGATGCTCAGAGCATACTTCTGCAGCTTGTGGTTGATCATATTCATTCACGCTAGGTGAAACAAACAGGTGAACCAGGCTAATGTTGTGGACTGGACTCGTGTTACTAGCTTACCGTAATTCTGTACTCTGTGACCTCTCTGAAGTCAATCTGGACAGTAGATATGTAGAGTAAAAAGTACACATGACGTATGCGAAGCATCATGGAAAGAGCCATGCTGATCATTGCTCCGCCCCGCCTAGTTTCTTATTTGCATAAGCTTCGCATCCTTCTTTTTTGACGTTTATTTTAGTTTGTCAGGCTATGTCCGTCTCATATGTTCGAGTACTTTAACCTCTCTACCCTCATCCTAGCAGACTTTTGCTTGTACCCATTTATTAGCTATTCGTTCATTAGGCACACCTAGAATTAGCATGGTACTCACACACCGCCGCTCATCCGCAGGGCACCATGACCAGGCGGTCGAAAATGTCGTTCTTCCAGCAAATCTACTCCAACCGACGCCTACGAGAAGAAATCAGCAGGAAGTGAGATGGTCATCGATCGCAGGTGCATCATCGGGCCAGGACAACCTCCATGCTGTCCGCAATGTCCGCGCCGCGCGATGGTCTAGCATGGCCACTGGCACACTAAGCCAGATTCCACCACGCTTCCGAGAAATGAGAACGACGCACCCGGTCCCTCCTTCGGCTAGCAGGTTGAGCACAGTCGAGCCGACGATCCAGGAACACTCCAGGCTTCGAACGGTGAGCACCGTTGAGCCGACAATCCAAGAACACTCCAAGCTCCGAACGATAAGCAACGTATCGCCCGACGAACAAATTGGTGTTACGCACGCACTTCAGAGTGACCGCAGAACGCCCACCACCGTTTTTAGCAGCCTGAATAACTTTTCGTTTGGGGATAAGTCTTCGGAGACGGACAACCCTCGACGGGAATCACGCATGTCCGGCCCGGAGCCAAGCGCGGCGCCACGAGTATCACGCGCGTCCGTCCATGGGGTGCACGGCCCGAAAGATGCAGTCGAGCCCAGGAGGTCCGTCATCCCTTCTTCCATTCAGCAACGAATACACAGCGTACAGGACTCGATTCGCCGGACAAGCGTATATCATCTATACGAAAAAGCCAAGAATCGTGGGAGGAAGATTCAGAGAGCCCGAGGCGTGCAACTTCTGTTCGAATACAGCATGTACTTCCTAGCGCTCGTCATCGTATATTTCGTCTTCGTCGGGCTTCCTCTTTGGAAAGGCGCCGTGTACTGGCTGTATTGGGTCGTCAACCACAAGTTCGTGGTCAAAGGGACATGGTCCATCGTCATCGGAATAATGACAATGTGAGTAGCCAGCAGCCCGAACGAAAAAAAAAAACCCCCCTTCGCTACTAACATCCACACAAGACTCACCTTCCTCCCCCTCTGCATCCTCTTCGAAAAGGAGCCCCCTCCCCGCCCCGACCCCGACCCCGCAACCATCCCCGGCGTCAGCGACACGGCCCTGCTCATCCCGTGCTACAAATCCGCCAGCCTCATCGGCGCCACGCTCACCGCCGCGCTCAAGACCTTCCCAGCGTCCCACATCTTCGTCATCGCCAACGGCAACGCGCCCGAGCCGCTCGACGACACCGAAGAAGTGTGCCGCCCCTACGGCGTCAACCACGTGTGGAGCCCCGTCGGCTCGAAGATCGTCGCGCAGTTCGTCGGCGCCTACGCCGCCAAGGAGTTCAAGCACGCCCTGCTCATCGACGACGACTGCGCGCTGCCGCCGAATTTCCCCGTCGTCGCTGACAGGCTGACCGGGAAAGTGCAGTGCGTGGGGTATACGATCAAGTCGGTCGGGCCGGACTCGTCCAAGGGGACGTGGTGCCAGCAGTAAGTCGTCACCGCCGTCACCGTCACCGTCACCGTCTCCCCCTCCCCAGCGCTGACCATACGGTTTTGTAGAGCACAGGACATCGAATACAAGCTGTCCGGCCTGCAACGCGCTATCGCCGGCAAGATGGGTTCGGCAACCTTCCCGCACGGCGCCATCTCGCTGTGGAACCGCGAGTTCCTGATCCGGACGTTTCATCACCACCCGGGCTTCTCGGTGTCCGAGGATTGGTTCTTCGGCGGCAGCTGCCGGTCGCTGGGGGGCCGCGTGGTGATGTGCACGTCCGTGTTCGTGGAGACGGAGACGCCGGCGGCGCTGTTTTGGCAGGGCGGGGCGGAGGCCAGGGGTGGGTTCGGGGAGATGACGGTGATAAAGCAGCGGTTCGTGCGGTGGAACTTTTTCTTCGTGGCGGGGATATGGTATAATACGAAATACATGCTGTGCAGCTGGAAGTTGGGCTGGTGGGAGATTGGGGCGAAGATCTTTGTGTTTCAGGAGGTATGTAAGACGAAGTGCTGTGTGTCTCCGTATCTATTCGGTACTGAAATGGGTGTGTTAGGTTTTGGAATCTCTAATCTACCTGTTCACGCCATTCATGATGCCCATCTCGTTTATTGTCCGGCCTGAGTTCTGCGGATACCTCCTTGCTGGGACCATTGCCATGTACTTCAGCAACGTCCTCATCTTCAACGAACTGCATCTTCGCCTGCGAAAGGAACGTGTTTCGTGGCTCGTCCTTACATTCTACTACGTAAGTCTTCGCCTTTTCCTTCCGCCATGGCCGTGTGTACTGAAGCACTCAGATGCCATTCAAATGTTTACTTGCATTAGTCAACGTTGCGTCATGCTATTGGGCCATGTTCAAGTATGCCCGCTACTTTGCACGTCGGCACTTGAAAGTCGTCGAAGATGAGGATGCGGTCGAGATTGTCCTGAGACTTGAAGAGACGCAGCCACGCTCAAATAGCAAAGACGGCTCAGTGGATCATGGAAGTGCTCGAAGGATGACAGTCACAGCCATTCCGGTAACCCGGGGTTCTGTGCGGAACCCAGATCTGGTCGTGACAAGTGATTTGGACGAGGATCGGGACGTTATTGCACAGATTCCAATGTCAAACGCAAGACAAAGGACGAGCATGGCCATAAGCAACGTCTGATCCTTGTCCATGCGGAACGGAGTCAGAGTTACTACTTTCTCTTCAAATGTTTCATATTGCAGATTGATGAAGCCATGGACAGACTTGGCGTAGAAATAGACCTCAGATACTAGCCTTCACCGTACAATTGCCCTCCAACTCTGCATTAAGCGCCCTAGACTCGCCAGCCGTAGTGAACAGAAGCTTCACCAAATGCCCGCCCTGTCCTTCCGCCCGTCCGCAAAGCAGCCGAACAAGCTCGCCCAACGGCTTATCCGTACTGTGTCGCGAGACGTCATCCAGCAGGCTAATGCCATCGATCACAATATAAAGCAGCGGCTGATGCTCCACCACCTCCCCCAGCAACTCACGCAGCACCTCCATCGCCTCACCCCAAGTCGCCAGGGACCCATCCAACGCCTTAAACGCGGCATCGCCCAGCCTCTCCTCATCAAACTCCTTCCCATCTGGCAAGACCTCCACGAGCTGCCGTATAAGCGCATAAGCTAGCCGCGCCAGCTCGACCGTTTCCCTGGTGCGCCATTCCGGCACGGGCGCGCGGGAAAGCTGGCAGAAGTACGACAGCGTCGGGACTTTGCTGTCGCGGACTGAGGAGGCGAACCTGGTGGCCAGCAGCGCGGAGTGCGTTTCCTCGCATTGTTCCATCGGGCCGCAGACGTGAAGGACCTCGGACGTGGAGGATAGCGTGAACGCTTGGATGCGGGCGGCGACGCTGGGGTTGGTGAGGAACAGCGCGTCCGGGGTTTCGAAATGTGGGGATATGTTGTGGCGGTCGTAGAAGCTTTCCAGGCGTGCAGAGGCGAGTTGGATTTTGTCTTTGCTTGTGTGGTGTGGGAGAGCTGGAGGAGCGCAGATGGCGGCAGTTCCGATGGGGCCGACGTCAAGTCCGGCGGTTGTTTCTGCTCCTGTGACCGCCGTCAGATTAAGCAGTCAGTGTGACGGATGCAGGGAGCTTGTCTTACCCGTGCTTTGGGTTGATAGGCGCACTATTGGAGTCAGATCCTGCGCTTTTTGCTCAAGATACCGCAAAGCCGTTTCTCCAGCAATTTGGCGAGAGACGTTGGCGAGCAATCGGTCAGCAATACCCTGCTGGATATTGCCCATATTCCTCTCCATCGTGTCCCTGAACTCGTTCTGAACAACAATTCTCAGTCTCTCGAAATAGCCCTCCTGCCGCATTTCGTCCGCATTCCGGTCGCGGTCGTGAAGATCTGCCAAGAATCTGGTAAGTTCGTTCTCACGAATTAGTGTCGAGGCCTGTATCCCCTCAAGTCTCCTGGTCATGGCCTTTCTGTGAATCAATTCCGAGAGTTTCCTGATGTCGTCAATCTGCACCTTATACGCCTCGTAGATGCTCTCGTTGAGGCTCGTCAGCATCCTCTTGTGCCACTTATCCGTGTACCATTTCATGACGTTGATCAGGAATCGGAAGATCTGACAGTAGATCCGCACTACGAGCTGCTGGATGGCGACTTCATCTCTGTAAGCCCAGACCTCTTCATGCACAGTGGTGACCGAATCGTTTATCTCGGCCACAGCGCGACAGAAGCACTCTGATATCCGTTCGTGATTGGACGATGCCTGCGCCAGATCAGTTTACTCCAATGCTGGATTAATCTCGTATGCCACACCTTTATGACCACAGTGAGAGCCCCACAAAATATTGATGCGTAGTCGTTGCTGGATGGCAATATTTTCAAGGCGTTCGAATGATTGTCTATGGTGGACCCGACTTTTCGCAGATATTCACGTGCTTTGGCGAATTTGTTGGATCGCGATCGGGCCTCCCACTTGGATTTTACAGTCTCTAAAATGTGGGAGAAGTCCTTCAACGATGGCGCGTGTGAGCTGGTTACGATGAGATCTTTTGGAACAAAAGTCTCGAACTGTTTGACCAGGGCAACAAGCTCTCTAAGCTTCTGGTCGAGATCGCGGAGCTCTTCCTCATCGCTACACAGGATCAGTCAACAGAATCATTTCCAATTTACTGTTAATTTAGCGGTATGAGCCTCTAAATGAGCTCCAAAGGGTGGCACTAACTTTGCACAACGTCCCCAGCGTCGGTCATTGTTTCGATCATCCCTTCGTTGTTGCTCCTCTACAAGCGCGTATTCAAGCTCATGCTCTTTCCTGGGACTAGAGTCGGCAGCGAGATCATCTTTAAGCTTCAAAGCGAAACCTCTGGTAACCGTGGCTGGGTTAAAAGTATTCATTCTGGTAGGGAAAGGCTCTAAGAGTTCACGACAAATGCGCCATGAGGGGCTTCAAGGAAATGTCTAGGAAAAGGGCGACGGGGGATTCGTGTCCCGGCTCCCTGGCCAGTTGTGCGGCTGAAGGAAGCGGGGTACGGAGCACGTTGCCTCATTCGCTGTTGCATGCGTCACGTTAGGCTGCAAACTGCAGCCTTGCGACTTGAATGTGCGACCGTACTGCAAGCCACACAGCTTTTATTGGTACCAAATGCCAAGACAATACACTGCACGTAAGCAGAGGGAGCAAATTGCAGACTAGTTCGGTTTTGCATACGAGTCTATGTAAAGGAGTTCGGTCGCTTGTTTCGCAGGCTTACGGTAGGCTTCCGCCCTGCACTCACCATGGCCTCAGCAGGGTCGCCGACCGAAACAACAACAGTGGAGCACCCAATTATCAGAGCTGGAACACCAGCCGTGGAAGGTCCAAAGCAAACAAAAGTGAATGAAACGGTGGTTTCGGATGCGACAGCTTCCGAAAAGCTCAAGTATGACCAGGTAGGCTCTTCGTCGGCAATGACTCGTATTCTTCCGACGTGCAATAGATGGGGCTAACCTATCACTGAAGGACCAGGCCAATGAATCTTCCGACGCTATTGTCTACAAGGAAGAGTATCTCCAGTCCAACGACGGCCATGTTGTCCACGTAGAGGATGTAGATCCGAAGACAGGGGGACGAAATGGTCTCAGAAAAGAATCCAGGGTTCTAGAAGTCGTTGATGTTTATTTCACACCTTCAGCCGAAAAGCCCAAGGACGGCCTACTGCCTGTTTCCGTCAAAGGTCAATCCTACATCAGAGTTGTATCACCCACAGTCATATCTGCCCTTCGACACGTTGTCAATTACTACCCCTCACAGGACCTCAGTGGAGAAACGGTCACGATATATGAACCTTACAGCGTCGTAGTCCATCACGAGGAGGAGCTGAAGGAGTACCGCGATTGGTTCGCACCTGACAATCCCGCCACTGCTACAGCGTCGGATTCTTGTTCAAACCGACTCACGTACAACCACGTCGGGGTCCTACTCGACTATGTCAACAGCAAGATTGGTGCTGCCGTGAGAGCAGAACGAGAGCGGAACGCCCGAGGATACACATCGCCCGACATGGAATGGCTAGCCTTCAAGCCCGGGACGGACGTGTACTACGATCACGACGCCGACGGGAAATGGAGTCCATACGTCATCAAGAAATTCAGGCCAAGGATGCAAAATGGTCATGTAATTGACTACTCTGTTCACCTCTGGAACTTGGACATTGACTCAGACCGGCCAGAGCTCCTGGGGCTAAACACAATCTCCACTTCATTGTCGTACACAGGACCGGATGTCGAGCTTTTCGGCCGCACCATTTTCCCTTGCAGCGCCTTTCCAGATGGCAAAACGATTCTAGGAAGAGAACGAGACGAGCTGAGAAAGTTCTTTGAAGACAGAGGCCGCATGTTTGTGCAACTTCTAAAGAGAGGATGTTACCAGTTTGAAGGAACCTCCATCACTCAGCCCATCAAGACGGTAAGATGATGCTCTACCATTGCGGTTCAGCATAGACTTACCATGTCAGTACAACGGCCTTGTCATGGTAGATGCGCAACAGTGGATCTCGGACAGGCATGCATATCGATGGGCAAGACAAATAGATCTGGATGAAGAACCCGGGCCACCGGCGGCTCGGTCACCACTGTGCGATTGTGCCAGATGCCTTGCTGTCGTCGGCAACGAGCCTAGCAAGCTTATATTCGAAAGTTACGACAGGATAGTCCACCAGAAAAGAAAGACCCTCACAGACCACCAGTATTTTCTCTGCAGTAGATACATCGAGGCCTTTCTCTTCAAGACGAGGGAATGGGGTATAGTCTCCACTACATTCTCACCAAACCATGCTGACGCACGGCTATAGTCGCTCTCGATGTATCCGGATTCAAGGCTCCCGTCTTTGACAAGAAAATGATCAATGATTTGGTCCTAGCTCAGGATACGAAGGATATGATCGTCGACCTTACGAAGCTTTTTGTTGAGGAAAAGGGCACGCATGGCGAGCAGGCCGACGCCACCACATCAGGGAGCCTGCTTGACATGTCTGCTTGGTCAGCAGATTTTGTCAAAGGAAAGGGAGAGGGACTCATATTCCTCCTGCATGGAAAGCCTGGCGTGGGCAAGACGTACACTGCAGGTGAGCTTTTACGACATGGAAAGCCTAGGTACACAGACTTATCGTCATAGAATGCGTTGCAGCACTCACCGAGAGGCCTTTGCTGTCATTGACCTGCGCAGATATCGGGACACATCCAGAAATGGTAGAAGCCAGCTTGAGGAGATGGTTCAGCATTGCTCAGAACTGGGGCGCCATCATGCTCATCGACGAAGCCGATGTATTCATGGAGCAGAGGAAAGTGCAGGACCTGGTCCGCAACAACTTGGTTGCAGGCTTCCTGCGCGCCCTGGAGTACTATCAAGGCATTTTGTTTCTGACGACCAACAGAGTGGGTACGTTTGACGAGGCCTTCATCTCACGTATTCACATTACGATACACTATGCGAACTTTACAGACGAGAGTCGGGCTGAGGTGTGGGAATCCTTTTTCCGCAAACTACAGAGCGAGAGGGAGGGCAAGGTGAAGATCCTAGAGGAAACACGGGACTATGTGACGGAGAGGGAAGTGCGAGAGCTTGAGTGGAATGGTCGCGAGATACGAAACGGTCAGGAACCCATTCCACTTTGGTGACCCAACGCTGACATTTATTTCCAGCTTTCCAAATTGCGGTTGCTCTGGCTCAAGTTGAGAATGATTGCGATGCTAGGGGACGCATCCAAATCAAGCGAAAGCACATCAGATCCACAGTCAACATGTCCAGGAACTTCAAGTCCTACCTCAAGGAGTTGTATCAGAAAGACGAGACGCAAAGGGCTGCGGCTTGGGGCCACAGGTACGATGCTTTCGGGCAATCATCTGCAAATGAAGGCAACTTCATGTAGTGCACAAATGAGATGCGGTGATCAGGGAGAGATAGACATGGGATTCGTATTTTGTCCTCTACCTACAAATTCTCTTCATCCGTTCAGGAAGAGCCAGGCAGCCAGTCATCTCGCTACGCGGCTCTCATCCACCAAGATTAGCAGGAACGTTTCTTACTTCTCCTATAATACCAAGAATATCGCGAGGTCGTAGTGCTTGCAGGAAGGGCACTAATTATTCCTGTGAGACATGCCGAGCACTGCCGGTAGGTAGCACAGCCAGAACGGACTACCCGGTCCGGCTAGCCGATTTGGGGAACCGCTAAGAATCTCACAACGGTCCAGGCGCTCAGAGGCACAAATGGTCAACGGTTAAGTCTTTATAGCTATATTTTACGTACGGGCCTGGGCCGTAGCGCAACGTCAAATAATGCTGCATGGGGCCAAGCTTCAGCGCCCCCCCGTTCCTCGGATCGCGGCATTGAGACTACTACTAGTTCGGCGGCTCTAGAATTTCTTTGGTCCACACGGAGACCCCTCCGACGGGCTCACTAAGCCCTTGAATAGCTAAGATCGCAACGGTGCCTCCTCTCGTTCCAGACCGTTCCCGCTAGAGTTCCGAGACCGCGGTCGGTACCCAGCGATCCGGCTCCATCGGCCCGGCTTTCTGTAGTCTTAGAGCCGCAAGCGCAACAACCCTCCAGCAACAAACCTTGCGAGAAGAAAAAAAAAAGCGACCAAGGGGAGACTCGGTGACAGTCGCTCCAACGTAGGACAGGTATTTTCTCTCAAGTAACAACGACTACGTTTCTGAGCGAGGGCTCCATGCCTCCTATCATGAACATGCGTTCCGGACATGGTTATCAACTGACCACGCCTGAATGATCGCCAATCGCATTAGTTCTAGTCTTCCTTTTGCCCTCGAGGAGGCCCACACTGATGGCGTGGTGTGCTGGGTTGGGTCAATTCCGAACACATTCCCGGGCGTGGAGGTCGATACTGCCGAAAGCCACAGCAGGCCCCTCTCCACATCCGACATCCGAAAGAGGGCAAAAGATCGGATTTGCGGAGTCGGAGACTTTTTTTTCCATGACCTAAGCCCGCGGAGATTGGACCCGAGCCAATAGAACGCCCGCTTTGCGAATGAGGCTGCAGTGGAGCGGTTCACGTGTTGCAAGGAGGGACCCGGAGCTAAAATAGCATGCTCCTCCACCTCCGCTCGGAAGGCATGCCCGTAGTAGCTCGTTCTGGAAAGCTTTTGCGGGGGCGTCCGACGCTTTTAGCGGATCTGCTGGCGGCGGCGGCGGTGGTGGTGGTGATGGTGGTGGCTGGTGGGGGGCTCATCGGGGCCTAGAGCCCGACTCGGATGTGGTGGACACGGACCTCGGTCGCTTGCGGGTCTTGGAGTGGCGAACTGGTGGGGTTTCGAGAAAGGCTTAGTGGTGTTTTTTGGGCTTCGAGAGCTTGTCAGGCTCGCAAGCGCCACCGAAAGCGCCACTGATCAAGCGCCCCCCTGAGTCTCTTTCCTGCCTAACGAAGAGGGGGGATGTGGCACAGTTCGCGTCGAACGAGAGAGAGAGAGAGAGAAGAAATGGACGGCGGGGGGGAAGGAATTATAATGATAATGGTAACAGCAACGGCGGGCTCGACTTACGTCCACAGGCGTTGCACAGCGTCTTGGGCCCGCCGGGCCCCCGTCTCCACTCTGGCGCTGAAGTGGCGCCGCACCACTGGCAGCAACGCTCGCCGATGGGCCTGCCGTCGTCGTCGGTGGTTTTCCTCTTCCCTCTGCGCTTCACGGGTGCGTCGGCGTGCTCCCTGGGTACGAAGAAGATGCCCAGGTCGCCCTTGACCTCACGGGCCACCGCCGCGCCGACTGCGGGGTAAGGGCTGCTGCCTGTGGTGGTCGCGGGAGAGGGGGGAATAGGAGAAGCAGAAGCAGCAGCAGCAGCTTCGGCGAGGGCCTCTTCCCGTAGCTCGCGGATCTGGCGCAGCAGCATCAGCTGCTCCGTCTTGAGGTCGAGGAAGGAGTCAAACGCGGCAGTGTGCTTGAGGAGCAGCGGTCGGGCAGTCAGAACCAGGTAGCCGCCGGCGTGCTGCAGCGAGCCGTGGAGCTCGAACGCAGCGTAGCCCGAGGTGTTGGAAATGCGGACGTGGAAGCGGAAGGCGATGCTGCTGCTGCTGCTGCTGCGGGCGGTAGCAGCGTCGTGCATCTCGGAGATGAAGACGGGGAAGTCGTCCGGGTGGATCAGAGCGGCCAGCGGCTGGCCATGTAGGTCGGCTGGGGCGGCGCCGATGAGGGCGGTGCTGCTGGGGGACGCGCGTAGTATGGCTGTGGTGGTGGGGTCGAGGTGCAAGAGCAGATCGCGCACACCCGTGAGCAGGGCCGCGGAGGTGTCCTGCATTGAGGGCCGTGGTGGGGCATTGCTGGGCGGTTCAAGCGGCATAAATAGGTGGGCGATGTAGATCGCAGCGTGCCCCTCTGGCGCTAAAGAAAAGTGTGAGCCGCCGCAACATCATTCCTTCGTGGCAAATGGCCTTTTCCGGGGCTTTGCCGCCGTTTGACGCGGGCCGAGTGGGCTAAGTAGCGTTAACCGTATGCCATAGCATCCTTCGGTCTCTGCCCCGCCCGTAGCCTTTAGTGGTGGCATGCTCACCGTCGTTGTTTGGTTGGCTGAATAATGTTTCATGGAGAATACCCCTTTACAATTGTGACATGGGTAAAGCAAATGAGGAAGTGAGGATATCATTAAAAATGTTCTTCTCATTCCTCTTTCCACTGGATGTGTGAAACTTGCGAACTACCTTGAAGCCCAGGAGTATCACGAAACTAGTCGCTCTGGCTGTCAGGCGATCTATTCAGCGAGGGCCAATCCTTGTGGCACAATATCAGACTGTTTTGAGTATCATCGCGTGGGATGTCCACGACTCATCTAGGCCGGGAGACATATGTAGCTCTGTCTGACCGGATAATAAGCTGCGGAGATGCCCGAGCGAGATATCGCCTTGCCGTCCCCTCCTTTGAATCGGGCCTAGCTGGATTTCAACATTGGATTTATCCACGTTTATGGATATTTTCGGCAGCGGATAAGTTCGATGGCTTTCCTTAATCTTTCAATTTGTTTTACCGGCCCTGCTTACTTTTTCTGCTCACCTTTCCTTTCCCCTTTCGTAATTACCTTTGGCCTTCACTTTACATTGCATGAAACCAATTTCTTCTGCTTCCCCAACCGTTGTTACGCTTGCCTAGTGACATTTCGTAGGGTGTAACACTGAATATTAGCTGAGCTGAGGGAAAGGTTGGCAGGGATCGTTTATGAGTATTCTTATTGGATACTCACAGCGTCGGTGCTGAGCCGGATTGACGAGCTTCTCAGGCATCCCAGACGGTGATGATTCATTCTTACCTACGGCCCGCTTGTATGTGACAGTGCAGTTCTATTCCTTAGCCTCTAAGCTTCTACATTTTGTAAAGATTAAACAAACAGCTATTTCTAAAGTGCGGCATCGGCGACAGATTATTTGAACAGAGCCTTGAGAAGATGGATCGCGATACCATCGAAATGTCCCGATCGGGCTACCCACTTGCGGAGCCGAGAATCGAGATCCGGGCGCTTAGAAGGCCAATGATTGTTAGCGTTTCAGCCCAAGAAGGTCTAAATGCGGGAGTTCCGAGGGGTTTCAGCACTAGCGCGGCTATTAAGAGTGTGGCTTCCACGTCGGCGCCAGGCTGGTGGGTAGGAAGAGAGGAGGGGGTGGAAAGAAGAAAAAGGCCGCTCGGCCCAAGTTTCGGTCGGAGCGGCCTCCGATATGCTCGCTTGTCCGCAGGCCAGGCCAGGCTTTCAACCTTAAAGTGCGGCCTTGCCGCATTAGGGAAGGATGAGATGCCACTTCCAGCTAATCAAACGGCGCTTGCGTGCGCGGCCGAACGGGAGTGGCGACGAACGCCTCACGTTTGACGGAAGCTTCAATGGGGATTTACCTATCGCCTTTGCAGCACATCGTGGTGCTCTTGTCGATTGGCGGGCCGTCGGATGCAAGACTGGTGAGGCCCAGCAGTCCCTGATTAGAGAATGGAGCTGGACGTTGCGATGGCCAAGGTGCGTTGCGAATGCCGTGCCGCTCCCAGAGTGGCTGGTGGTCTAGAACCACGGGTTGGAGACTCAGCTGAGACGCTGCTCGGCCCGTAGAGTTCGGCTCGCTTGCAGGGTTTGGAGTGGCGCACTAAGGCGGAGAAGGGTCCAGCCTTCGGCTTTCAAAGGGAGGACGATGATCACTACCGCGGGCTAAACGAACGCCACAGTTTGGACAACAACGGCTTCCTACAGAGGCCAGCAGTGTAAGGATCACCGAGGGGGGTTGTCTGGTCGGACTCTGAGGGGATGCTATAAGAATGAACGATGCGCTTCTTGTAGCGATTCCAGCGGTGAGTTTGAAGAGAGCCGACGGTAGGGGGCCACACTGCATAGCGTTATGGGCTAGGTTGGGGGTGGCAGTGGCGTCAGGCGCCATTTGGCGCTAACAAATGCCACACCAGTATTATAGGGTACGATTTCGCCTCCGCGAACATGGTCGTTTTGATTTCCCGTATGTCGATTCTCTGCTTAGCTACGAAATGGGCTCCGCACCTCTGCTTCTAACACAGGCGGAGCGTGAGCGGGAGCGTGACGTTATCCCGTAGGCTGCCCTCGCCCCCTTGCGTCCTGGCTTTGACCGTCTGCTATAGTTTCCACCCGCTCTCGCTCGATATCCCTGTCCTCGACGCTTCACCTCATACCCTGCCGCCGCCATCACATTGTCCGCGACCTTCCAGCGATGCCGTGCTCACAGCCATCGCCCAGCTCGCTGCCCTGCGCCTGGGGGCTCGGCGTGCCCTGATCTCGCTGATTGACAGCCGGTCACAAATCGTGCTGGCCGAGGCGACGCCCACGCTTCCGCTGTGCCCCGAACGTGCCGTCAACGACTCCAGTGCCCACGAGGCCCTATGGCTCGGCTGCGCCACCATCCCCAGAGAGTGCGGCTTGTGTGAGCTTGTGCTCGACGCTGGCGGCTCGGCCGTCGTCATCAACGATGTGCAGCACGACACGCGCTCCGCCGCCCACTCCTTCCTCAAACGCACGCCCAGCCTACGATTCTACGCCAGCGTGCCGCTCGTCGCCCAGACGGGCTCCACCATCGGCGCCGTAGCCGTCTTCGACGATGCGCCACGCAGCGGGCTGGCACCGCCGCTGGTCCGCGCGCTGCACGACGTGGCTGCCGCCGCCATGTCGTACCTCAACGCCTCGCGCGCCCTGGACAACAACTGCCGTGCCGAGCGGCTGGTCCGCGGGCTGACGTCGTTCGTCACGGGCGCCGACGACCTACAGCACCACGCCGACCTAGACATGCCGCGCAGCCCTCCGAATCCCACCGCCCTGTCACCACTTCCCAATGCCTCCAACGTGCCCGTGCTGGAGAGGCCGGTTGTCAGCAGGAACTCGTCAGCAGAGCTCCATCCACCCGTGTCATGCATCAGCCCTCTTGTTGATCATGAGCTGCCAAGCGAGACTAGGGACGAGCTGCCGGCGCTGCAGAACATGATCCTGCCCCCCGGCGCCAAACGCATGTTCTCGCGCGCCGCCAACATCATGAGGGCCTCGGGCGGCTTCTCAGGCGTCATCATCTTCGACGCATCCCTGGCGAATCCGGGCGGTGCTTCTGCCCCTAGCACGCCCGCCGCTTCTCCTCCTCTCGGCCCGCCCGACAGCACCATTGACGACGACGCCCCCGCCTCGTGCAAGATCCTCGGTTTCGCCGATGGCGACGCGTCTTCGAGCCGCGCGGGCACGTCGCCCAAGTCGGACTACCTCACGCTGGCCGAGTCGGACCTCAAGCGGCTGCTGAACCAAAATCCGCACGGCAAGATCTTCGCCTTCAACAGCGGTGCGGCGGAAAGCTCCCGCGAGGAGACTTCGAGACGCCAAGGCAGGAGACGCAAGTTCTCGGCCGCCGCCGCCATCCTGGCCGTCGCCCAAGACGCCCGCAGCGCCGCCGTCGTGCCCCTCTGGGACTACCAGCGGCAGCGCTGGCTGGCCGGCTGCCTGTGCTGGACGACGGACGCGCGGCGCGTGCTGTCGCACGGCAGCGATCTGCTGTACCTGCGGACCTTCGGCAACAGCGTCATGACGGAGCTGAGCCGTCTCGACGCCCTCTCCGTCGACAGGGCCAAATCCACCTTCATCGAATCCATATCCCACGAGCTGCGATCGCCGCTGCACGGCATCCTCGGCGGCATCGAGTACCTGCGCGGCACGGAGCTGGACGCGGCGCAGAGCGGCATCGTGGCGTCGATTGGCGTGTGCGGCCGCACGCTGCTCGACACGGTCAGGAACGTGCTGGAGTACTCCAAGATCAACGAGAACCTGGGCTCTTCGCCGTGGAGGCGCCACCACCACCATGCAATGTCCACCGCGACGACGCCCACGGCCGACATCCGCCAGCTGACCGAGGAGACGGTCGAGGCCGTGTTTGCCGGCCATTCGTACAGCGTGTTGTCGGCGACCCAGGCCGAGGACGGCGGCGATGAACCGTTCATGCGTATCGGCAGCCACGACATGCCGTCGTCCCCGACGGGTCCCCCCGTTCGCAGGGCGATCCGGATCATTCTCGACATGCCCGAGAACCGGCCGTGGCATTTGGCGTTGCAACCAGGCATCTGGCGCCGCATCGTCATGAACGTGTTCGGCAACGCCCTCAAGTTCACCCACACCGGCTTCATCCGCGTCTCGCTTTCTGCTACCGACATGGGCGAATCCGAGACGAGGGTGTCGCTCACCGTGGCCGACTCGGGGGCTGGAATGTCGCCCCAGTTCCTAAGCGATGGCTTGTTCAAACCCTTTTCACAGGAGAACCCCTTCGTGCCTGGAACTGGGCTCGGTATGAGCATCGTGCGCCGCCTCGTCGACAGTCTCGGGGGCAGCATCAGCGTACAGAGCCAGCAGAATGTGGGGACCGAGATTCGCATCACCGCCACTCTCCGAAAGCGCGTTTGCAGAGGCGAGAACGTCATCTCCGCCATTGCAGCACGGCTGCAGGGCACACGCATATGCATTCCAGACGGACTCGCGTCCAATAACCACGCAGCCCCGGCTGCCGTGGTTCGCGGGGAACGCTACTTTGTCGAATCCATCACTCAATCGCTCCGCGAATGCTTTGGGGTCCACGTCAGCACCGACGTCGATCCAGATGGCGATCAACTCGTCGTATACCCCGGCCCTGACATGACATGCATGTCCAAGTCACGGCCGCACAAGGGCATGTCCGTCATTGTCGCATTGGACGCTCTTGAGGCCGCAACGCTGCGGACCGACGCAAGGATCGCCGGAGGCTGCGTCGAAGTCGTCACTCAACCGTAGGTCCTTCAGCTTTCTCTCCCATTGCATCGTCTCCTACCAACCTTTTTCTAACATTTCTTCCAGATGTGGCCCGTACAAACTAGCACGAATCCTCGAGCGCTACCTCAACCGCTGCCAACCCGCAGCATCCCAACCTACTCAGACGAGCGTGCTACCGCTCAGCCACCCCAGACCGAGCACCCCCACCACCACCACCGATCCCGCGCGCCCCCCACATCCCCCTTGGCCCCTCGCCCGCCTCCCAACCTTCCGCCCAACCCCCACAACACCCGACCCTCTGTCCCCTCCCCGCCGTGCCTCGATCCCGCACCTCCTCTCCTCCTCCACCTCCACCGACTCCGTCCCGCGCCACCGCCAGCGCCACCATCATCCGCCCTCCACCGCCACCACCACCTCCGCCCTCCCCCCCAAACCTCGCTCCAGATCCGCCTCTACCACCTCCACTCCTCGCCACCGCAAACCCGAGATCCTCATCGTCGACGACAACCCGCTCAACGTGCGCCTGTTATCCGCGTTCCTGACTAAACACGGTTTCCCGGACCACGTCGCGGCGCCGAACGGGCTGGAGGCGGTGCGGCTGTTCAAGGCTGAGCCGCGGCGGTGGGCGGCGATACTGATGGATTTGAGCATGCCGGTCATGGACGGCGCGACGGCGACGAGGGAGATTCGGGCGTGGGAGCGATACCTGGCAGCAGCAGCGAGGGCGAGGAAGGGCGGGGGGGCTGGGGCTGGCGGACTGGTGGTGGTCGACGGCGAGGGGACGCGGGATTCTGCTGTGGCGGTGATCAGCGGGTGCGAACAGTCCTCTTCTTCTTCTCGAAGCCGAGAGGAGTTGGAGGACAAACGACAGCAGCAACAACAGCACTACTCAGCTCCGTCAATTCGGCCGAACGGGATCGTGGGTCAGCAGCCCGACGCTGACGCTGACGCTGGCGTGCAGATAATCGTTACGACCGGCCTCGGCAGCGCTACGGCGCGGTTTGAGGCCCTCAGTGCGGGTGCGGACGAGTACATGACGAAGCCGATACAGTTTGGGACGCTGATGAAGATGCTGAATAAGCGCTTCGAGGATAGGGGGACGGCGGCGGCGGCGCCGCGGCGTAGCTAACGGAAATGAATTGTTTTGCATTAATTCCGTGCTTGGGATCGACGCTTCGTGCCTGATGTTGTGAGCTAAGAGACAATATTAATTGTAAAAAGGATCAATTGGCAGTTTTTGCAAAATGTCCCCGAGAAAGCTGTCTTATCGGAACCTTTCTCGGAAGTTCGCTAGTAGTTTGCAATAGATTCACAGATGTGATGGCTTCGGGACCTCCGAAAGCTCCCGAAAATCAATCGCTCGGAAGATTAATTGCTAATCGAGACGAAACGTGGATGTGTGTGGCATGATCAGACGGACAACACATGATTCCTCACCTTGCAGTCGTAACAGCTATTAAACTTCACTTTAACTCGGCACTCTATTTCATTCTACTGGCAAGCATACCATCAACCTCTTAAGCTTACAGAAGGCAAGCATCATGCGTGTTGACAGCTGGGATTCACGTGCCGCACAGAAGCGCCAACAATGTGCAGCCAAGATCCCAGAACACTGGAAAGTTCCAGTCTCGATCCTCCACGATCTCCATGAGCCACTGCAAGACAACCGGAACAATCTCCTCGAGCTGGACATTGTACAGCGATGCGGTATCATGACGGAGCGAGAGCTACGCATCACAGAATCGTTCACTGTCAAAGATTTACTGGAGGCCTTGGCCTCCGGGGAATTGACCAGCCTCGAAGTCACGATTGCATATTCGAAGAGGGCGGCGATAGCCCAGCAATTAGTAAGTCATCTCATCAGCACATGATCCCTAAAGTTCTGCCGACGAATGTTTCCCCACAAAGTTGCAAATCGGTATGTGATATGAGTTTGCGTTGATAGAAGAAGGTCAATTGCCTTACAGAAACTTTTTTTGCCAAGGCAGAGGCTAGGGCACGCTTCTTGGACGACATGCGGGCGAAGGGCCAACTGGCCGGCCCTTTGCATGGGCTGCCAATTAGCCTGAAGGACTCTTGCCAAGTTGCTGGGACGCCAGCTACACTGGGAATTGTGTCCTTCCTTGATGAAGTTTCGGATTCGAATTCAGCGCTAGTAGACATCCTCCTGGAGCTTGGGGCAGTCTTGTACGTCAAGACCAATGTCCCACAAACATTGGGTGTATGTTCGCCCCCGATATACTACGCCATGCAACTCACGTAAGCGCAGACGGTAGACTCGGAAAATAACGTTTTTGGTCGAACCCTGAATCCATGGAACACAATGCTGACTCCCGGGGGGTCGAGCGGTGGAGAAGGAGCTCTCGTTGCCTTCCAAGGATCCCCTCTCGGCGTCGGTACTGACCTAGGGGGTAAGTAAAATTTCGCATGGAGTCCTGTCTAACTTTTGCAGCAAAGAGTATTATATTATAGCACTTAACTGATATATATCAGGCTCCGTTCGCATTCCCTCCCTCTGCTGCGGCGTCTATGGTTTCAAGCCTACGACGTCACGACTGCCGTACGGTGGTCAGCAAAGCCTTAACGCCCCAGGCACCGACTTTATGCTTGCCTGTGCCGGCCCGATGTCTCGAGACCTGAATGCCCTGGAGGTCCTCGTCAGAGCTGTCATCCACGCCAGACCAGCTCTGTACGATTCAACCGCTATTGACGTACCCTGGCGAGATGTGTCAAAGTTGGAAAACCGCAAGCTGAGAATCGGAGTTGTCCAGGAAGATCCTCTTTTTCCCCTGCACCCGCCGGTCAGAAACACCATGGATGAAGCTGTGCGGGTCCTCCGGTCCAAGGGCAACGAGTTGATCTACCTGGATCCGGGCGAATGCCACGTCGCAGACGCGACCGAAGTTGCCTGGAAGTTCTTCGGGCTCGATGAGACGGTCTTCAGCCATTTGAAAGCTAGCGGAGAGCCCGTGGTCAGATCCGTGGCATTCATCAACAGCCTGGCGGCCGCGCTGCCGAGGAAATTCCTTCCCGACACCAGCGGCATGGACAAATTCCGTCTACTCGCAACCCTGAGACATGCACGGGCTGCAATCAGTGAGGACTGGAGGAAGATGTGGCAGAGCAACGCACTCGACGTTGTACTTTGTCCGCCGGCGCAAAGCACTGCTGTGGAGCACGACAAGTTTGGCTTGCCGCCGTACACCACGCTGACGAACATACTGGACGTGAGTCACCCCAGAACCTTAAGACAGCTGGCTGATACTGATATCTCGGCGCAGTATCCTTCTTGCATCGTCCCCTTTAGGAAGGTGACAGGTCAACCAAACCCGACGCCGTTCGTAAAAGCACAGGGTCAGATTGCGCCAGACTGTATGACTCCGCTTGCTAGCTACGTGAGCGAACCCCAGCTGATCCATTGTTCTCTCAGACTATCCGAATATTCTTGAAGGAGCTCCCTGTTCCGTCCAGGTGTTTACCAAAAGCATGTTTGATGAGGAATGTCTTGCGATTGCTAAAATCATCGACGATTGCCTAAACGGTATCCGATGATGGATCTCTCCAGAGGGAGTGGTTGTTGCGTAGGATTTGGCAATCAGTGTTATAAGATGCCGTTAGTTGATACAAATCTTGTTCTCCTGAGAATCAGTTGCGTCGTCTCTTGTACTGCAGTAAAGCGTAGATATGCTATTAATTCTTACCTCTTTGCAATTGTTCACTCGTTCATATAGCTCTTCCAAATTACGTGTATATTTGTGATGTGAGTAGCATTGGCGTTCCTCACCCGAGTGCTCTCTGTTCAAGAGTTGTATTCCAGCCATCTGTAGACTTTGGAGATATTGCTGTTCAAAATCCATTCTGAGCTTCAACGCAATAGCCTGACTGACAAAGTAGCACGGTTCAATGCCCGTAATTGTCATTTGGTCAACTTTGCACAATGAGGCTACTGAATTTAAATTTATCGAGAAAGTGGTCACTAGCAATGATGATTGCGAACAGGTGTTGCATGTAATATTGATTTTCCGGGAGCGAGAAAAATCCGGCTGCGATAGCTGTTACCCGTCATTGTTCATGCTGACATGTCTTGGTATATTTCCCTGGACTATTCTCGGTTTCCGGTGGCGCTGGGGCCTCGTCATTAAAAAGTCATGAAAGGTCCGAAAAGTGTCCAGAATCTGAACGAGACTTGAAAGCCGGGACCAAACCGAAAAGACGCCGCCATGGCTTTAATAGAGAAGAGCTTTTGGTGTCGCAGCGTGTTGTAGCATACACCGATCAGCTTCGAACCTTTCAAATCCCCATTCGCAACAATGCCAGTTGGATCTCTCCTAGACGTCCTCATTATCGGAGCCGGCCCGGCCGGGCTTTCTGCTGCCCTGTCTATGGGCCGCGTCCTCCGAAGCGCCGTGGTCTTCGATTCCAAATCCTACAGAAACAGCAAAAGCTCGAACGCACACACGGTCCCTACAAGAGACCATGAAGATCCGGCGGCAATCCGCGAGATGATGAAAAAAGAGTTGACCAGCAAGTATAAGACCACCACGTTTGCCGAAAGCGCGGCCACATCCGTGCAGGAAGTGGACGGCGGCTACCAGGTGGTCGATGAGAATACGCGCAAGTGGAATGCAAGGAAGCTCATCATCGCCACGGGCGTTTACGACGTGCTTCCCAATATACCCGGGTTTTCCCATGCGTGGGGGAAAGGAGTGTACGAAAGCCCTACCCAATTTTGCTGAATCGCAGGCTGACACATGTTCAGGTTCCACTGCCTCTACTGCCGAGGGTTCGAGGAGGCTGGCGCTCCAAATGCGGCGGTCATCATCAATCGAGGCGACTCAGCGGAAATTGACATCACGGTGTTCAATAGCCAACTGGCCCATCAATTTACTCGAAACCTCACGATCCTCCTGAATGGGCACGAGCACCTCTTTAAAGACTCCAAGATCAAGACAGCGGTGGATCACGGGGTCAAGATCAATTCTCAGACTATTCGGCGCATCGAATGGAGCGGTCCGGACCCATCGACAAAGGTTGTCTTCGACGACGGGACGGAAGAAACGTTTGGATTTCTCATTCACACGCCCGAAACGAAACTGGTCGGATCTTTCCACGAAACTCTTAACCTGGAGCTTACGTCGGCTGGTGACATTGCCATCACCTCACCCTTCCAGGAAACATCACGCCCGGGGGTGTTCGCCTGTGGGGACTGTGCCACTGGGTTCAAAAAGGTGGCATTCGCCATGGCGGATGGGATTCGAGCTGGAATGGGGGCGAACTTGCAGATCATGGAGGAAGATTTTTCGCGGAGTTGGTGGTAGTACTGTCGGAGTCTGTCGTCTTTGAAGTAATCTCCCATGAAAAAAGTCATTAGTGGCTTGGGAACACACCCTCTCCAGAGGGCCTCGGACTTATACTTTGCTGCACTACGCCGGCCTTTCTCCGCGGAGTCTCCATGGAATTTGCACAATTACCCCATTTGGAGCAAATAGCTCTCTGCCACTTACGACAATATCGTGCCATTTCGTACGAGATGCAAAATTAAAGGGCAAAACGGTTGCAATAGAGTTTTCAGCGATGAGTAACAATAGACCTTTCCCCCATCCACTACAATATGAGGAAAAGTTGAATTGAACAGGGTCTGGATCATTGCGCCTGTGTCAAGCTGAAGACCTCATGATAGTTCAGTGCGGTCGAGGGATGTCAGGACAAATCTACCAGCCGCGCGTCCAGAACTCGCAGTTGGGTTAGGTTAGCATAGGTCGGGCTCATAATGAGCGGGTTGCTTGGACCGGCTCACGCGGGTGCGTTAATAGTAGGTAGTAATAGAATAATTACGTGGCAAGCATAGAACCGTCCTGGCAATCGTGCGGCATGGTGGCGTTGCGAGGTCGGATGCATGGGGCCACATGGCGGGATCAGTACTTCTGGCGGTGTTCAGATCACGAGAAACTACAGGGTCCGCCAGATGGTGTTGATTCAGTTCTTTGTCTAGTTGAAGTTTAAAGGTGGTCGAGGCTGGACATCGCTGCACTCGTAAATAAACACGAGATCTGGGCAACGCTATTCCTTGACCACATGGCTAAGCGATAGGGTTGGCATTGATAAAGTTTCGGGTTGCGGAGAAACATTGCTTGTTGCCACTACTATAACACTGTTGTATTTTAGCTATACAATTTGTAGAAAGGTCAGTTAATAGCACAGTTGCTACGGCTGGTTAGGGCGCTACGGTGTATTCCAACACGAGATAAATACTCTAAGCTATGGCTAACCAGTGCTCGGGTTTAGAAAGGGCCCCGCGCTAACATAAGGCCCAAGACCGAGGGGGCTAGCGACTCGAATGGTAGTGCTACGCACGGGCGAAAAAGAAGTACGAGGTACTCACCGACACTGCAGAACTACACTAAGCAAACTTTCCTGACTCGTCGCATCAGGAACTTAGCAAAGGTTTCCTTTTTTGTCGCGGTGAGGACGGAGTCGCCGAGTGAAGAAGATGTGCCGGGAGATCGTCGAATGAGCGTTGCTGAGATCGTCGAATGAGCGTCGCCGGGCAGGGCAGAATGATGCTGGTGATCCCTGCACCGCGCCGGCACCTCTGCCAGCCCCAAACACCACCACGGCATCTGCACCACGACCCTACGTGACCCCAAGTCTGAGTATATAATGCCATCTGATGTCCTCATTCACCCTCATCAATCACACCATCTCTACAAAGTTCTCTCTACCTCGACACCTCAACACCCAACACTCCATCTTCACAATGAAGTACACCACCATTGTCCTCGCTCTTCTCCCGGCTCTTGGCTTCGCCCAGGACGCCTACGGCCCGCACTGCAACGGCGCTGAGAGCTCGCGCTGCAACAGGGGATGGTGCGTCAGGCCCAACGCTGGGTAAGTACACTTCATTTGATGTTTCCAACTTGTCCCGTTTACTAAAGATGTACCAGATCTTTCTCGTGGTCCAACGGCCCTGTCTGTGTCTTCCAATGCAACAAGGCCGACTGCGCCCAGGCTTGCAGCTCTCAGTCGTTCGACAAGAGATACCAGACTGGTTACTGCTATGCTACGTGAGTTCCAGCTTTATCGTGTTGTATGAATTGTTACTAATCGTTATATCAGTGGTGGCAACAACTTCTGTGTCTGCACCGACAACTCGTTCTAGAGAACTACGGGGTGGAAGATTTGCAGGTGTTCTGAAAAATGTATAGAAAAGCGCCCGATCACACATGCACTCGCTATGTGATTTTGTAAATACAAATCAAAAGCCGATTACCTTTCTACCGTTGGCATTAACATTTCAGAGTGAATGATTTCTCCCACGACTTCCTGCCGCCAGACATGAGTGCCTTTCATCAAACCTACAGCTTCGTATCCACACCCCTCGGCCCCTCTTTCACCTCCCACCACCCCTCCTTGTTGTAAAACACCGTCACACTCGGCTTTTCCGCGTACGGAATCTCGATGACGCGGGTGTTGACGCGATCCTTGCCGAACACGGTGCGCTGCTCCCTGCGCCATGAAGAACAACACCATGACCGGCAAGGTCATGGCGCGCGAGCGTGTGCTGGCCGCACGGCGCCGGGGTGGTAGTGCCGCCCGTTTGCTGCTGGACGTAGACGGCGGGGGGGCACGTCGGCGCCGCGGTTGTTACGACCGTCTTGAAGATTGAGCGACGTCGCCGCCGTGTAGGATGCCGTTCGCGGGCGCCCGCTGCTCGTCCCGCCCGGTGCTGCTGACTGTCCAGTCGTGCTGGATTACGAGACGCTCGTTGGGGTGGAACGGGACCGGCTTCGTGCTCTCAAAGACGGGACCTGGTGCGTGCAGTTGGCGGTGAGGCTGGGAGGTGCTGTGGCGCGTTTTTTGCCGGCGGTGACGGACAGTTTAGTTGAGGCGAGTTTTTGCATGCGGCGTATGTGAACTCGTTTTTCCATGTGATGGGTCTGCGATGCCGAGTATGAATCAGCGCATCAATCTCGAGCACGATTTCTAGTGTCATTACCTGCTGCAGTGGCTATGACACTGGTCCATGCCGATGTAGTTGCTCTTGAAACCAAATGAAGTGCAAATGTTGAATTTCGTCCTTCGAAAGTGCGCAACCCAGTGTGGATCGATTTCCACTGTCAGTCAGTAGGTGGTAATCACAGTGCTGGAAACGTCAGTTGCAAGGTTCGCACAGCCGTAGACTTGGCTTGTTTGTTAAAGCATGACGACGCATAATGAGGATTGGAGTGGGATGAACTTTTAGGCAGAGAATCGTTGCACACGCAGGTTTCCCGCAGGCTCTCATGTTCCACAGGTGCGAACCAAAAATCCAGTTATTTTCACACATCACATATTCGCTGTCTTCAAGCTGCAGAAGCGAAAGTTGAAACATGTTCCATTTCTAGGTACACTTGAACTTCAGGTAAGGACTGGAAGCCACTACAAGACAGACGAATGTTCCGGGAAGATGCGTGATCCTTACTTTTCCTTCTCTGTCTTCTCTGCCTTTTTGAATGCCCACTTGCCTTCAGGAGTGTACTGAACAGTATACACCTCCCTGCGCCACATGTAGACAAGATGGGTCAAGTTGGAGATGTCATCAAAGTAGTCTTTGGCTTCCATCTGGTCGTCGAACCAGATCTTGATCTTCTCTATTGGGCTCAGGTCCTGCTTCCCAGGATGATCTGGGTGTGTATTCGTGATGTAGATAGGGACCTGCGAGTCGGCCACGGTCATGTAGACCACGGCGGCTGCTGGTGACTCTGTGTGTATGAACCGGAAAGCATCCTTCGCGACGTTGTTGTCTGGCCTCACGGAGGCGGCAGTTCCGTCCGGTGCCACGGTGATGCTCTGCCCTTTGCTGATCTCCACTTCAGTCGTTCCTCCAGCGACCTTGTCTGAATCCACTCATTAGAGCCAAAATGGAAAGCAATTTGTGGAGGTGACTGACCTCTGGCCTTGTAGTTGGATTTGGTCGCTGCGATAGCGTACTTATCGACCCATGTGATCGACATGTGCTGCCGAACCGCTTGCGGTTCATCACCCTTAGCTCAAGCTACTTATATGGGGAGGAGAGGCTTGCCAAATGCACCAGCAACAACATTGCAGTACTCCCGCCCGCCCTTTCTGACGAAGAAAGCGCAGCACAGCTTCATACCATTCTTGTTGAAGTCGCTGACCCAGGAAGGGTCGACCTCGATCTTGACAGTGTGGGTAGTAACGGGCGTGTGAAGGACCTTGACGACAAACATCGAATTCTCAGTGCCGAAGGGCTGTTGGAATATGGCTTTCTGAGAATTGAGACCGGCTTAAGTACTTTGGATGAAGTCAGATATAGGCCAAGCTACGTTACTAGAATCTGCTCATACACGGCATCGGATACACCCCGATGCGTTTGTGTAAGTTTGTGGTTACTCACAAGTGTCTGTGCGATCGACCTTACTGCAATCTAAGCATTATGGATGCACACGTCACTGATTCCATCCGGGTAGATGATTTTTCAATCTATATCGAAACTAGGCTCAAGAAGGGAATGCATTGCCACTTCAAGTGGGGTAGTGTAAGGGCCTGGTAGGGCCGGCTGTCTGGTTAGCCGTATCAATCAAATAAATGCAAATAGTAGATGAGAGAAAAAGGGAAGGCTGAACCGCATTTTCGAAGATAAGCGTCGCCGAGATCTCTACAGACTAATTGAATAAATTATTTCAATGCGCTCGAAAAGAGATGTCGATAGCACACTAGCATGTACTGCGTAAGCCTTTCGAGAGCACCTGCGAAACAGTACGTCCCGATACCGTTCAACGACGCGGTGGATGTTTCACGAAAAGGCCCAGTTGAATTGCGCTAGGATTGGGTAGCATGGCGCAACAACCCGTCCAGTTTCCCCTGCAAGTAGCAGAAAGCTGTCAAAGTGGATCACTATTCCTGTGCAAAGCCTGTTTTGTAGAAGGGTACTGCCGCAGCCCGCTCCGCAGCACTATGTCTTTGCGACGATCATAGCCAGAGCGAGGTTTTAGCTCTCTGCTCGGCTTTCTTTTGAAAACGGGTGTGTACACGAAGTGTTGGTGCAGAGCGAAGTTTCTTTCTCACGGGTAGCTGCGTTCCGACCTGTCACATCTCCACAGACTACCTTGTAAAGATTTTCGCACTAGGACTCCCTTACAGCAGGGCATTGTACTACAGCGCATCGTCCCATAGAATCTTCAGTCAACGACGATCTCGATTAACAACAGCTCAGCTCCTCCAAATTACTGCAGTTACAAGTGGACCTTCGGCCCGCAGCATGGATTGCAGGATTGTTGATGCAACATCATGTCGGTGTCGGCATTGGTGCCATACATCCTGTACGTCACACAGAATTGAAGATCCTACAAGGTTCTGCTGTGTATCACGAAATATTGTGCTCAGCTTATGATGCGTAAAGATGCAGCTAACAAATATGTACGAGCCAAGCAAGCCATGAGGGAGAAAATGCACTCCCAACTTATTGTGCAGTCTTTTCTGATTAGTAACTCATTAATAGCATATGCATTCCTCGCTAGTATAATGGGCTCAGCATCACAGACATTCCTACATGTGGGCCTGTAATTCGGCGCATAGCTCTGTATGGGAAGCCAGTATGACCTAAGGTGGTGTTTAAGAGCACCAAGGGAATACAGCTTCGTATCCATCATCTTCGCCGCTTTCACATTTGTCCAGCGTGGGGAGCAAATGATCGGCACATCACCCTGCAGATAATCACACTGCTTGTGACATCAGACTGACGAAGAATCCCAAGCAGGCCTATTTCTGAAACAAAGTAGCCATGTGGAGTCATCTCGCAGCCTGAGCTGCAAATGTTTGCACGTCAAGAGACGGGCACTCTGTGGAACGTTACAGCTGGCGGCGACCCGTGCATGCATGCGCTCCACATTCTCATCTACTGCATAGCTCATACATCGAGTGGTCAGGCAGGGATGAGATCCTACTATCTACCTTTGTTCTGGACCTACTTGAAACTGGAGCTCTGTGGGGCAGAATGCTGGCAAGCCGCCTGAAGGTCTCCAGCAAACGGTGCAGCCTCCACTCTCATACCTCCTACAGCGAAGTTGGAGAAGCTTTATGCACGCAGTAGCCTGTCCAATCTCCCATTAACACGGCGGCAACGGAGACACGCTAGGCCCATCGCCACCGTAAGTAATGTACATGTCTATGTGCAGGTCCCCAATCGCACCCATGAAAAGCTGTATTGCCCAGCCAAAACGGAGATTAGCCTCACTGCTCTCAATCGAATCATGCGTCAATTTCGGACCTCGCATTCCGTCATGAAGCTTAATGCTCGCCAGGTTCGATAATCCACGCAATGCAAGCTTGAGCCTTGATTTGTACTCGTCCGAGTTCTGTAAAAAGTACTGTTCAACCTGCTCCCTCCTCACTGAAAACAAACGCGCCAATGCCACTCGAGCATCCTCTTCCAAGGCGTCCAGCTCCTCGTCAGATATGCGTGGACGAAATAACTGATGCAGTGAGCCCCATGGGTTGTTTGCGCCGATTGAATCAATGCATGACCGGAGCGACCGCTGTTCGAATGCGAAGTCTGCAGGGCTTTATCGAGGTACGTAGATCTCGAGCTCCTTGATCGCAGGCGAGATTCTGTTGCACTGGCTCATGTCTCGGAGGCGATCAACGTGTCGACGACTCAAGCGGAGGGAAACTGTAGCGAAGTGGCATCTGAATGAATCCCAGAATTTCCTCTCCACTGCTTTACAAGTGAGCCTTACAGAGCATAGGCTCGTGATGTTAAGAAGCTCGCCAACGTGCGTTAAAAGTTCGACCGGTAGAGTGAGAATTGGTGGGGACGCGTTGGGATCCCGCGTCGGTAGCATGGAGAGATGGGAACAAAGTGAAAGATATTTTTATCAATGGGTAGTATCTGAATTCAGGCCATAGTAGTGTCATTCATTTTATAAGGTTTGGAAATGGTCTGAAAGTAGATTAGCGTGGTTGACCAAGCTCACAAGCCTCGGAGAGTTTTCGGCAGGTATAGCTTAACTTTGCCTACGTGTCATTACGAGCTATCTAAAGAGTGTAGAAATCCACCGACACACCTCCGACTATCTCACTGACCGTCTGAACACCCTCACTGTCTACGGAAGTGACTGGATCCATACTGGACTGCCGTGAAGATCCTGATTCAGCAAACCAATGGTGGGATATCTTGTGGTTTCCTCAGTCATATCGTAGACGCAGCCACATCCAAGTTCTCAGCCATGATCGTTTTCCAAACGCCAAAGCTACGAAGCGCTTGTGATCAATGTCGTAAGTACTCGTGGTTCGGCAAACTGCAGAGACAAACTCACATTTCATCAAGGTGAACGAAAAGTGAAATGCCCGGGTGGAGAGCCCTGCCAGAGATGCAGCAATGACAACGTCCCGTGCGCGTACTCGCTTATGAAGCCATTCGGCAGACCAAGGAAGAAGAGAAAACCGGACTCAGAGGCCCCCAGCTCATGTCGCTCTTTTTCGGAGACATTTCACCAGGCAGAGGACATGACCACCAGTAGCATGGGTGTCGACAACGAATCGCTCCTGGTGCCGGATGATTTCTCCTTTTTGGATGATTCTCTCTTCTCTACAGGTGTGTCTCAATCATCAAGATGACGAATCTTCCACTAATGCATGAACTATTCCCGCTAGAGGAACTTGGGGCGCCGGATCAAATTCCTCCTACAGAATCACACCCGACACTTCCATGTGCCTGTATGCACGTGGGCTACGTGGCAATTTCTCGTCTTCAGGCACTGAAGATTGATGATGTCTCCCACTCCTTGGATGAGCTACATCTAGCGTTGGCTGATGCCGGTAAAATCATGAATTGCCTTGTTTGTCCGAAGGACATCTTAACAGCGCAACAAAACATCAATTCACTCTCTTCTTTATTCGTGACTATCGTCGATAGTCTAAGGAGGAATGTGTGCCACTTCGATGAACTCACGCGGAGCGAGTCCTCACCGCCAGCTATGTTCCATTCTCAAGATTTATCACAGCAAGCTATGACGGGCGTCGAATACCGAATATTTGTGCGGAACACTTTACGATCAGAAATAGTTGGTAGCCCCGATGACACATCGCAAAACACCCTACTTGGATTGATGAACTTCTGGGAAAAGAGACAAGAGGCCTGGCACCAAAGTCCGGACTACTATGACCAGCAGGTGAAGATGTTCGGACAGAGGGCTACAATGAAAGGAACCATGGACAGGGAAAGCAGGTTTTGCTTCCGAGCCTTCCGCCTCGTTAAAGAAGCTATCGAACAGCTTGACATGTAGGAATGCAATACATGTATCGCTAGGGATCCTTACACGTATTCCAGCCGTGATTCGTTCGATCGAGGCTGATGATACTCAGCGTCAAGCTTCGTATCGAGCGATGTCATCCTGACCTCTGTGACATCCCAGCTGGCATCGACCGCGGCGCCCTCTCACTCTGTGCCCAAACCAAAACGCCAATCACGTTGTCCTCTCCGAATTACAGAATCCCAGGCATTATACCTTTCCACCGGACCATTATGTGTTCTGACATGGATCCTGCACTCGAGCATTCCTTGATCTGTGTTTAGTATCTCGGCAAGGAATTTTCCCCGACCATTCGGGTGGGTGGGATCTTCCAGATCGCGCGGGGCGGCCCCGTAAGTAGCGAAATACTTGGCGCTGCGGGGACGGGCCGCTCTACACGATGTGATCGACGTGGGGAACTTTGCCAGTTCAAATTCCATTTTATCCAGTGGTCAGGGGAAAGATAGTCACTCTTGGCGATCTCCAACCCAGCTTCGCAGTATGGGCCGGATATTCACGGCCACGACGATGCCAAAAGTGGCATTAATTAATGCATGAGACTCCCAGATCACATTTCTGAACTGAATGCTGAATGGCTCCCCTAAACGTACTCCCTGGTAGCAAAAACTAGTGTATATCTGGGTTATCCCCAAGCCAAGCATGCACATCACAGCATTCAATATGCCAATTACCTCTGTATCAGCTCTTTGTCTTTTATTATTTCCATCATCATGCTTGGGAGTATTGTCGCTCGACTATGTTGATCTATCCAAACAGGTACTGATACGATAGAGAATTTCCGCCGCTTTTCTCATCAATAACCGAGCCCCACCAAGACGTTGTGGACGTGCTGGCCCAAACCTCGTCAAGTAAGATAGACGTCGTAGTGAACATGTCATACCTCGTCTTCTCACTCCACCACGCGCAGTATTCACTCGCCAATGCCCTGAGAGCCGGATCCTTCGTCTCGCATCCAGCGAGAAAGACAGGCAACAACAGCTGCTTCTGCACCATCGTCGAACGCCGGCAGCACCACACATGGTTGAGAGTCTTCCTCGCAAGAAACGCTCCTCTCGGCGACGGCGGCCCCTTCCTATCCCACTTAAACACCCTCTCAACGTAAAGCAGCAAAGCGTACCGCCACGCCTCAGCACAGTGATGCAGGTCCTGCTTCGCATTCACCTTCTCCTCAACCGTCTCTCTGCCGCCACCGCCCTGCTCAGCGAGATCATCACCGCCCGCTCCACCCCCATGCAGCCCGGCCAAGCCGCAAATATCCCCGTACTCCTCCGCCGCCCACTCCCTGATGCTCTTCTCCACATCCAGCACGGGGTCGTTCCGGAACGACACGCACGTCATCGTCGACGCCAGCTCCAGCTCCCGCGCGTACTTGGCCAGGCATACCATGTGCTGGAACAGCTCGCGGGGGCAGCCCGAGACGTTGTAGAAGCTGATGGTTGTTGCGTCGTCCGCGTTGTCGTCGCCGAACAGCCGGCATAGATACGACTCGGGCATGACGTAGCCCTTGCGGCTCGTCAGCGCAAGCGTGACGTCCCACCTGCATGCGCACAGACAGGTCAGTCAGTCATAGCTGCTGCGGTTGTGGTAAGGCTGTTGCGGATTGCGCGGCTTACCAGACGAGCATTTCGATCTGGGCCCGCGCCCGGGGTACGCGCATGGCGGCCAACCCGCCGGCGGATTCGAGAACGCTGTACGCGCGGCTGAGGTGGGAGACCCAGGGGCCGTGGGCGGATGTTGCGCACTTGCGGATTGTCAGAGCTGTGTTGTGGCGAGACGGGAGGTGATGCTTACGTCTAGCGTGATGAGGATGAGGACTGCGTCAAGCAGACTTCCTTTTGTGTTTGATAGGTGCAGTTCTTGTTCCAGTAGCTTCAGCGCTTCCTCTTTGTGCTGCCTTGCTTCCATGGAGCAGTTTCCTGTGATCCTATTGATGTGACGGTACGATAGAGCGAGGATGGAGTGTATAAGTAATTGTGATGAACCGTTGGACAGCTTCTCGTGGCAGCGGAAAGGGTTCGCCTCGAAGTCAGAAGTCAACGGGAGGACGCAGAATTCATTGTTATCTGGGTTTCAATCAAATCAGCCTTTCCTGAATCAATGGTACAGTAAGAGCCTGTTCTTACACTGATTTAGCATGAGCATGAGGCTGTCCGGAATGCCACGATCTCCTAGTAGCGAGGAGAGAACATCCGATGCTTCGTTCCGATCCGTATTGTCATCTGGGACCTCGGAGTCTCCATCTGCCTGATTCTCACCTCTTCTCTCTCCGTGCTCTGGATCGGCAGGCTCAAGGTCTGACAGCTGGATACGCTGCTCTGGCCACAAAAGTCCTGGTGAATCCCTATCTTCGGGACGATCTTCGTGCGCTTGATGACTTGAGTCGTTAGGGATGTCTCCATTGCAGAGTGCTGACTCGTCGAAGGCGGTTAGTTCAGCCTCGGTAGGCCATGATGCTAAATCGTCCAGTTCTTGTGTTGCGGATAGCTGCGGATCAACTAGAGGGCTCTCCGCTGCTTCGGCCATCTGAGCCAGGCTTCCATTGGAACAAGAAGAACCTGGCGTTGGAATTGCGCATAGCAGTTCGAACTGTTTTCTGTATTGGTCCTCATCATTGTCTCGTGTAGTACTTGCATTGAAGACGACGGCCTTTTGACTGACTGGAAGGGTTGGTGCGGTTGCATCACGTCTATTACATGAGAAGGCAGGAGCTCCGCGAAATTGTTCCGGTGGTGCACGTCTGCGCTTTTTCCAGGTCCGACCGTCGACGAACTTGAACTCGCGGGATGTTTTCTGCGACATGAGCTTGGACTGCATCAGCACAACTCGGCGTGTTGAGGAGTTGGGACATACCTACTTAGGTAAGAGGGATTGAGGCGCCCAGCTCTTTGATGAGTGGTCGTCCTTGGATCAGACTTGCGATTTCCACTTGTAGGAAGACACGACGGCAAGACGGCGAATTGTGAATAGTGGCTTGTGTGTAAACTGTAGAGAGGCTGAAGGGCATCGGAGAAATGGCAAAGCTGCCGCACCCCCCCATTTCCCCGTTTTGCGTGCTACGGGGATGTTGCGTATGCTTTCCCCGAAACGAATTCACCGAGGTCACCCGACCACTCGATAAAATACACTCATCGTATCCAATAGCTACTTCGACGCGATATCCTTAGTTATACAGACCACCATTGGCAGACAAGACCGACCCAGTAGTCCATCGCGCGTCATCGGAACACAGGAATGCCACCAGAGGCGCGACGTCATCCACCTCTCCGACCCTTGCGGCAGCTGGGGTGGAGTCTATCAAAGGCTGCATGTCCTTCAAGAACTGCTCATCGCTCTGAAACCATTGGTCTTACGCCGGGGAAATTAATCAGCAGCTGCAAGCGTTTTGGGGAGAAGTGTAACCGGACATACCTGTTGCCACAGGGCCCGGGTTGACGGCGTTGACGGTGATGCCATGCGACTGTCCGAGCTCCTTGGCCCACACCCTCACTAGAGCCTCGTTTGCGGCTTTCGTTGCCGCGTACACAGTCTGACCCGCTACCCCAAGCCGCGCGCCGGCCGACGAGATGAATACGATGCGCCCGCCCTTGGGCAAGTGCGGCTCGACGGCCTTGGTGAGGAAAATGGGGCCTTTGACGTTGGTGTCGAAGTGCCTGTTGTAGAAGTCTTCTGTAGTGTCGACTAGATTTGCTTCGTTTCCCTGGGCCGCACTGCCCGAGATAGTCAGGGCACAAAGCATCCATAGCCAGTGTGAACTGTTACCTACTTGTGAATCAGGATTTCGATCTTCCCGGTCTGGCTGATTTCGAGGGCGCTCCTGACCAGCTTCGGGATGTCGGATAGATCGCTGACGTCTGCTTGGCACAGAATAGCTATGGTGCCATTGGCCTTGACTTCTTCTGCCACCTTCTCGGCTCTTTCTCGGCTGGTCGGGGAAACGTAGTTGATGACGACGTTTGCACCACGCTTCCCGAGCAGCACGGCGATGCCGGCTCCAATGCCACTGCTACCGGGTCAATGCGCCATCAAAGGCATTCGCGTGGAAAGCTTAATCTTACCGAGACGCGCCGGTGACAATGGCCGTTTTACCGGAAAGATCCAGTCCCTTGAAGTCCGGCATTTTTACGTTGCACACATTTGTTTCCTGGACGGGAGCTTTTAGTATTCAATGATGTCTCTTCTACATGACAATACGTGGGATACCATGTGGGGCGAGGGCTGGGCGCAGTTCCACACGCCGATTGGGACTGATGCCGCAAGGGGATAGGCCGGATTGCGGTTGTTTCCTCATCGGGTAATCGAACCAGCGCCAAGCGCATTGGCCGCCTCGAACAGTTCAACCCCGCCTTGGCGCCCAACTACCTACAGACTCTGCTCGACTTTCTCATAGCCTTGGACGGCAGTAAGCAGTGTACCCTTGAGCCTGCAGGATTGGCGTTCGGCCAAGACACTACTGTAGCTACACTGTTCGCGGAATGGTACCCAAAACATCGGACGGATACGTTTGGACGGCCGATGCCGGCGTGTCGAAGGGCGGATTGGAATGCGTAGGGGTGATTCAGCCGCTTCAATCGCCACAGACCTTGCAGTCAATCAAGTATGACGTGATTGTCATTGGCGCGGGGTACGCAGGGCTTGTGGCGGCTCGAGATCTCACAACGACTGGTTTGCATCCGCGCTTACCGAGCATTGCCAGGTATGCCAGCATAGCTAACACATGATACTCGATAGGACACTCCGTCCTGCTTCTCGAGGCGAGAGATCGAATTGGCGGTCGGACATACACGGTGTCCAAGGATGGTAAGATCCATTTCGACTATCCACATCGAACGTAGCGGACTGATTCAGCATAGGTTTCAAGTATGAAATGGGAGGAACCTGGGTGACGCACCACATGCAGTATCTATTCAGGGAAATGACCAGGTACGGCATGGACCGAGATCTGATCCTGACCGGCGATCCCGACAAGGCGAAGGGATATTACACGATCAACGTTCCAGGTACGTGGAGATGATCCTCCTCCTGATTGCCATGTGACTCTAAAGCTCTGTGTACAGGCGCTATCCCGCGAAAGCTTCCACATGACGAGGCTGGGCGAATGACAGCTCGGGCGTGGGATATTTTCGTCAACGTCGATGGCGCACAATGTCGGAACGTCTGCCCTCTGCCACATGCACAACTGGGCAACGTCGTCGTCGATCGGGCCACGGTTGAGCGGTGGGACCGGCTGTCCTGCCGTGACCGCTTCGACCAGATCAGGCATCAGCTCAGCGCCGAGGAAGCCGGTCTGCTCGAGTCTCTCCTCCTGCACATATCCGGTGGCCATATGGAGACTTCGTCCCTGTGGGACATGATCCGCTCACATGCGCTCCTGGCGTACAGCTCGGATAACTTCAATGATATCTGGCTTCGCTACAAGCTGCGTGAAGGACAGTCGGAGTTGGCGAAACGGATGCTCGATGAGGCAGTGGATACAGGCTTACATTACGCCTTTTCTTCCCCTGTTGATGCAATCGAGGAGATGCCGAAGAAAAGCCCTCAAGGAATGGTAAGAGTCCACGCCAAGGATGGAAAGACTTACAAAGCAGGTCGCGTCATTTGCACCGTGCCTCTAAACGTCCTTGGCGACGTAAAATTCACCCCCTTGCTCTCTGCCAAGCGTAGAGAAGCCATTCAGCTGGGTCACGTCAATCATATGACCAAGATACACGCCGACGTGAAGAACTCAGAGCTGGCGCGCTGGAATGGCATGCGCTACCCAAATGCCCTCATGTACGGATACGGCGACGGAAATCTTCCAAACGGCAATGTCCATGTGGTAGCTTTCGGCAAGGATGAGAGAGATACCTTTGTGCCTGAGCGCGGCCCTGAGAAGGCTGTTGACGCTCTGAAAAAGCTTCACGACATGGATGTGGAAAGACTGGTTCGTCTACCAATCGCTCCATGATTTCACTGGCTGCAAACTGACAGCACGATAGCTCTTCCATAACTGGAATACCGACCCGTACTCAAAGGGCGGTCCAGCCTGGTGGCGACCTGGATACATGACGAAATACCAAGATGAGCTACAGAGTAGGCACGGAAATGTATTCTTTGCCTCGGCGGACTGGGCTCATGGGTGGCGGGCCGCGATAGATGGCGCCCTGGAACAAGGGACAATTGCTGCGCATCAATGCAACATTGAGCTAAGAAAGCTTCGAAAGCTTATCTCGACAAGTAAACTCTAGGCAGAGGGGGAATTTTCATACAGCAAATTTCTTGCTTGAGCGAATTGCTATCAACGTTTTCTATTTTTATAGTCATAATTCAAATGGTTCATACCAAATCTAGAGAGGAATTCTATTGAACACGCAGTGGATGTTGAGATAGAAGGAGTTCTTCAAAATCAGAGGAGCACTCTCAGCCTTGAGGATGAGCCATGTATCGGGTGATGCAGTAGCACGAGTTGAGCTAGTTGCCCGATGTGGCGGTCCCTGATGACGGGGTTTTGTCCGTGCTGCCTCACCGCCCGGCGGGGCAGCGGGGTACTTATAAACCCTCGCCCCGTTGAACCCCACGCCTTTCCTTTCCAAACCAGAGATTCGCAACCATCCACTTCACACCATGGCAAAGACACAGAAAGACAGTGAAATCATCGAGATTGCCCGTGGGCTCACCGGAACTCCATGGTGCGAGGAATATGAGAAGATGATTTCGGGCATGCTGTGAGTCAAACACCTCGTGAAACATCCAATGGAAATTCTGTCAAGCTCACTGCGCCCACTAGATACGATCCGCTGAACCAGAAGTTGGGGGAGGGCCGACACAGAGCCCGTTGTTTGTCGTACAAATACAACAACCTCGACCCCAACGCAGCACCGTACGACAAGCACACCGAGACGCAACATGCACTACTCAGCGAAATGCTCGGCAAAGTTGGATCCGGAACATTTATCGAGCCGCCGTTTACCCCAGACTACGGATGCAACGTCAGCATAGGAAAGAACTGCTTCGCAAACTTCGGGTACGCAAACACCCGTGCATGCACATGTGCGTTGCTAACCCCTAGCCACAGTTTCACCATCTTGGATACCAGTCTTGTTATCATTGGAGACCGAGTCCAATTCGGCCCGAACGTGCACATCTACACGGCCGGCCACGAAACCAGCGCGCTGTCCCGAATCAAGTTTGTCGAGTTTGGGCATCCCATCAAAATCGAGGACGACTGTTGGATTGGCGGTCAAGTCATCATTCTGCCTGGCGTCACCATTGGAAGGGGTTGCACCATTGGCGCAGGATCCGTCGTGACGAAGGACATTCCCCCTTACTCGATCGCGATTGGCAGCCCCGCTAAAGTCATCAAGAAGGTTCCAACAGTGGAGGAAGAACGGGCCGACCCGAACAACCCCTTTAACCAGCTTCCGGATCGCCAGTAGCGTCGTTTGTGTCGTTGTTGAGACATGATTTCTCTTGATGCTCCTTAGAATAGAGTAGATATACACTTGTCCTTATTCGGTTTCACTCGTTTCAATTTGTGGTGAATAGATGCTGCCATCTTTTTTACATATATGCGACGAACACGAGCCCTGAAAGTTTCATCGCACGGTGTCAAAGATGCTGTGTTCAGCCAGGATGTCCATTCGACGACCAATAGAGCGTCATTGAACAGGCCAGCCACACAGTAATACGGGTTGAAAGTGGTAAACGCAGTGGCACATTCTCGTATTTTTACGCATCCTACCTCTTCCGGAAGAGGTTCTGCACTCGTACGTAAGATATCAGATTTGAACTGTTGCCCAAAGAGGCTGTTCCTTGTTCTGGTAATTTCCTGTAGCGGACAATCACGTGCTCTCGGGGTGGAATCGCGGAGGATTCCGCGCCAGGACCGTCACTCGGGCTCTCAATTCACTACTCAAGCATAAGCTCTGGCGACTTCCAACACCATGTCGTGCCAGAGTGCAGTGAGTGCTGGAATTCTGACCAAATATGTCCTGTTGAAGTACATCGGAATTGTTACGTTGGATTCGGCCGGACGTCAATAGCTGAAATTGGGTAGAACAGAATGATGATAAGCGATTGGCCCCTGGACAAGTTGCAACAATTGACGTCATTCACTGCACGCAGGGAGGCCGTTGTAAGGAGACTTCGAAACAGGAGAGTACAGAAAGAGCGAAAGCACTTATTTCTCCAATTCTTTCATTTCAATTTGACAGCTATATGCACCAAAATCACGAATATTTACCTTTTAGCAGAGTTGTGGACATTTTTACCACGGTGTATTCCAGTAATGCTGCACACGGAGAGCCAAAGTTGATACTCGCCATAAGTGCCTTGCCTTGAACCGTCTCCACAGTAATACTATAGAGGCGCACCATGTGGGTCTTCAACACGCGATAGGGGCTACGATTCGGATCGCCAGTTCCGCGCAAATTTCAGCTTCTATACATATAGGAATCCCGGATTGGATGGCTGGTCTCTCAACACGAACCAAGAGAACGATCATACATGGGAAAGATGGCGGCTCCATTGAAGGATGTTGAGCAAGTCAGAAAGGCCTGGAGGCTGGAGAATGTACCCTGGTGCGAGCAGTACGAACGGATGATCTCAGGAATGCTGTAAGCCATCCCTTCCCGAACACATCCCCTTGGCACGCCAAGTATCCTTGTCTGGCTTGCGGCTCACTGGTACCCCACAGCTACGATGCCTTCGTTCCCGACCTGGAAAACGCACGCTTCAAAGCCCGCGCCTGGTCCCATCGCTACAACAACTACTTCCCGCCTGAAGCCAACGCAAATTTCGAAACGCTGCAAAAGACGCGCCTGGCCATGCTCCACGAGATCATCGGCCGCCTCGACGACGACGAAACCATCATCGAGCCTCCTTTCCACATCGACTACGGCTGCAACATCAGCCTGGGCAAGCGATTCTACTCGAACTTTAACTTGACGATCCTGGACTGCGGCCTCGTTACGATTGGGGACAGGGTCATCATCGGACCGAATGTGTCCATCTTCGCAGCCACGCACGAGACGGAAGTCCAGAGCCGGAGAGATAATGTCGAGTTCGCGAAGCCGGTGACGATTGGGAACGACTGCTGGATTGGCGGGCACGTGGCGATTCTGCCGGGAGTCACGATTGGTGATGGATGCACGATTGGAGCTGGCGCGGTAGTGACCCGGGATATCCCTGCTTGGAGCGTTGCCGTTGGTTGCCCTGCGAGGGTTACCAGAGGGATCGCGAACTTGCCCAAGATTGAAGAGGATCCGGTACCTCAAACTCCGGTGACGAGAAAAGGATCGGTTTGAGACTGATGTGGTAGGGGATTGGAGAGCTGGGCAAGGAGAAGTGGCTTTTCCTTAATAGTCAACTACCAAAATAGGCAACGTGGATGATTACCCTTGCGCAGCCGGAGGTAGTAGGTCAGGTATCCTTTACGTAATGCATCCTTTCGAAAGAAATACAAGCAAACCGAAGCTCCGCGGTGATCCAACAACGTCAAACTAATGATTCCGCGTTCTGGTATGAGATCATTTCTCTTTCACGCCTGCGAGAACGAACGAACATCTCGACGACGAAGGAAAGAATGTTGCTAAACGATTCTGGCAAAAGTGTGAGGATACAGTACGCAATACAACTCCAGGATTTATCCAAAGCACCACTGATGCGGCTATTGCTCTCTTGTAGTCTTGATAGCAAGGACATTGTGTTTCGTCAAGAGCACAGAGACGGTCAGAAGAAGACCATCGAAGGCACCGTGACCTTCTACACGCAAACGGAAACGACCATCAGGTCCGTCGAGGTACGGCTTTGTGGCGTTCGCAAAGTAAGGTCAGTGCTCATTGGTCTCCCAAATATTTCGAATACATTCTGACCAAGGACGATATGTACTCAGCTGGGTGACGGATACGCTACATCCGCAAACAGTGGAACAAAAAGAGACCGTTTACCTGCAAAGTCAGCGTCTCCACATTATGGTAAAGAATGCCATGCAAGCCAGTAAGGCTGGTCCTGGTCTTTACAGCTGGCCATTCACCTTCCAACTGGATCCGAACATGCCCGAGACAGTACCGCACCTGCCAGAGGATGCTTCCATCTGCTACTGCCTGACGGCAGAGGTATCTACCGGCCTTTTAACAAAATCTTTGAGCACATGCGAACGCATACGAATCATCAAATCCCCATCCTTCTGGGCCGATCAATTGTTCATTGCTCCAGAGGTCAGTGTGAATTCAAGGTTGAGTCACTCGTTGGTCGAAATTGAACGCGCTAACGCATCGTGCCTTGCAGACGCATCGCATAACGATACCTTCGACTCTGAGCTGTCAAATATCTCTTCCGCAACCTTACCAACCCGTAGATGGGGAACTTGATCTGGAATTTGCATTGATTGCACATTCCAGCGGCCCTCTCAAGCTCCACCCGATCAGAATCGAGCTGTTCCAGACAATTCAGCTCATAGTTCTTCAGGACGGGACGCCATACCGCACGACCAAAAAGACCACAGTCATCACGTCTATGACCAAGCAGCTGGAGGATATAATCTCTATGAGTACAAAGATTGCAGCACAAGATGAAGGCGTCGGTGGAGATGATCGGAAAAGCTGCTTTTCGATACCACTACCGCTGCCATTGCCACCGTATTCCTGCGCACAGTCCGTCGATGAACCGGGGCTTAAGGTGCGATACAAACTGCGGGTGACGCTGAGCGTTGATAATGAGCATGGAGAAACTTACGAGGTAGGCGCTTTGGAAATGTCTCACTGGGGCTTTGCAGCTGACATGCGGGGTTCAGGAACAGGTTCACTTCTCCCCGAGATTGTTTCTTCCAGCGAGGGGGCCAGCTCCACACTCGGTCCTCCGGCCAGTCACAAATAGCAATGCAGATCAGCACGTTTTGAGCGAACCCGAAGGGTCGGCACCACCTGGCTATGGTGAGCATCTCCTTGATAGCATAATTTCTGGAGAGCCAAGTACGTACTCTGGGTAGTATAAATGGGTGGACAGTCTGTTTAATTTTGGGAAATAGGTTGTGGAGTGAGTGGAGGCGTTTAATACTTTCCTGGGAATCTTGAATGTGGCGTTGAAATCTATCGGGCGGTTCGCTCAATTACATCAAAATACCACTACTTTGTTATCGGTTCAGTAAGACGCTCGCAGTCAAGGGAAATTAAAAACAAGCATGAAGAATATCCATGGTTAGGCGGAGATTAACCACCGTAGGGCTGTAAACCAAAGCAAACGTGCTCCGCGCTTTTCATCGCATCCAAATGACGTAGAGATCTGAGACCCTTGCAAGGATAGTTCAGATACTCAGCGACAGTGGCGATGTGGGACCTCGGATCTCAAGCTCGCGGCTTGTGATATAGATTAGGCCTATCAATTCCGGCCGTAGAGGATTTAGGGCTTGTACGGGATCTCGGGAATGCTTCGTTTTAGTTTCCACATTTTCTGCAGGGGCTATCTTTAATATAGACCGTTTTATGTGGCGTGTAGGGATTGATAACGACTTGTGTGAAATAAGCTTTGGAGTTGGGGGCCAACAAGCATGTTTTTCAGGGCCCGGTAGCGAGGACGAGGGCTAGAACTCTGGTTGGATTTACCCAATGTGGGGATCTTTCCGGAGCAGGCAGCTACCCCCGCATCCTTCATGCACTCCTAATAAAAGCTCCGTGGGGCGTATTCGGCTGGGCTTAATATATTTCCGCGTATGCGCCAGAAGATTGTGCTGGCATTCCCACCGCTCTTTTATTTTGCGCTTCTCCTGCATTTTCGAGGGGAAGTTGGCAAGATGGGGTTCCTTTCACGTTCTTTGGTTGCTGCTATATGCACGCTCTCGTTCTCGGCGAATGTGGTTGTCGCTCAAAACTCGACCTGTAAATGCATCCCTGGTGATGCATGCTGGCCGGCAGCCGACGCCTGGGCAGAGCTCAACACCACCGTGTCCGGCAAGCTCATTGCGAACAAACCGCTAGCCCACGTCTGCCACGACCCGGACTATGACGAAGCCGCCTGCACCGCGCTCAAGTCTGAATGGGTTTGGCCGCTCGTGTTGTAAGTTTTCCGAAAACAGACAACGCGAAAACGAGTACGACTGACCATGCATCCGCAGCCAAGATGGGCCCACAGCCATGATGGACCCAGTCTGGCAGACCTGCACGCCATTCACCCCACGCGAGGAGCCGTGCGAGCTCGGCCGCGACGCCGCGTACTCGATCAACGTGACATCCGCCGCAGACATCGCGGCCGGCGTCAAATTCGCCAACGAGCACAACATCCGCCTCGTCGTCCGCAGCACCGGCCATGAGTAAGTTACATCTTCAACCCCGTCCCTCACCACCAACACGTTCTAATATGGCCCCAGCTTCCTCGGCCGCAGCACCGGCACCGGCTCGCTGAGCCTGTGGACGCACAACATGCGCTCCACGACCGTCATCGACGCCTACACCGGCAGCGGCGCTTCCTACTCCGGCCCGGCCATCAAGCTCGCGGCGGGCGTGCGCGGCACCGACGCCCTCTCTGCTGCAACAGAAGCAGGCTACGTCGTGCTGACCGGCAACTGCCCCACCGTCGGCCTCGTCGGCGGGTGGACGCAGGGTGGTGGCCACAGCACTTTGACTTCTATTCATGGCATGGGCGCCGACCAGGTGCTCGAGTGGGAAGTCGTGACTGCATCTGGTGAGATCGTCACCGCGAGCCCGACAGAGAACGCCGACTTGTACTGGGCGCTGAGCGGCGGCGGCGCGGGCGCCTACGCCGTCGCCGCGTCCGTCACGGTGCGCGCGTACCCAGATCTCACTGTCGGCGGAGCATCACTCGCCTTCGCCAAAGGCGGCAGCACCTCCAACGACACGTTCTGGGCCGGCGTCCAGGCGCTCATCTCCACCCTCCCCTCCCTCGTCGACCAAGGCGGCCACGCCAGCTTCAGCGTGTCGAGCGCCGGCTTCCGGCTGCTGCCGCTGACGCTGCCGGGCGCCGACGAGGCGGGCGTGCGGAGCGCGCTGGCGCCATTTACGGATGCGTTGGCGGAGCTGGGCATCCCGTTCGCGCTGAACGTGACGAGTTTCCCGTCGTTCTACACGCACTACGCGACGTTCCTCGGCCCCATCCCGCGCGGCACGATGAACATCAACGTCATGATGGGCGGCCGGCTGGTGCCGCGGGACGTGGTGGAAGCGGACAACGGGACGGCGCTGGTCGAGGCGTTTCGGCAGCTGCAGGAGGTCGAGGCGCCGGGGTTGGTGCTGGCCGGCATCGGGCTGAAGGCCGGGGAGGTGGGGAATGCGGTGGCGCCGAACGCGCTGCTGCCGGCGTGGCGGGAGAGTTTGATCTCGGTGCTGTCGGTGATGCCGTGGGACTTTGCGGCGACGGAGGAGGTGAATCGCGCGAGGGAGAAGACGCTGAATGACGTCGTCGTGCCGCGGTTGACCGAGCTGACGCCCGGTTCGGGCGCGTACATGAATGAGGCGAGTTACTTGAATCCGGATTGGAAGGAGGACTACTATGGAGAAAACTACGAGAAGCTGGCGGCCATCAAGGAGACGTGGGATCCGAACGGGTTGTTTTATGGGCCGGCTGTTGTGGGCAGTGATGCTTGGGTTGAAACGGATGGCAGGCTTTGTAGGGCATGAAGGCTGGTAAATGGGATTACTGGTTTGATAGAATAAGTATGGATTGATACTTCTGCTTATTTTTACGAGCATCCTTAGTTGCTGTGTTGAAGTGAAAGGAGTCCAAATGGCAGAAGCTGTGCCAGTACGTCATTTAGATACTGCTAAGAAGCTGGTGGCAGGAAGATGATACTGAAAGTCTCTAAAGATTCTCTACCGCTATTTTGGAAGTGGTGGGGAAAGAAAGCCCTCATGGTCGTTTGATAGTAGGATTCGCACGCTACTTAGCAACCCAAACGGAAATACAACAAGAGATCTGTGCCTGTTTACAATCTGGCGTCCACTACTACTCCTGGCTTCGGCTTGGGAAGCCAATTGAAATGCGGTGCTTTCCCGAAAAATGAGACATAGGCATCGGTCTTGAGCGCGTCACTCAGCCATGGACTCAACCACCGCGACACAAGCTTCAGGTACCACGTGTCTTGAGACTCGTATCTCGTGATCAGACCTGACAGCCAGGTTACCGTATCGGCCCGCTGACGGTGCGTTTCTTCAAACTCCTGGAAGACTGCGGTGAGCTCGCTCAGTGAGGGTGTCGGCGACCGCGCCAGGAGCTCGACGAGTCCGTTGGTAAAGCACACGATTCCTTCGTATGCCGTGTTCCCACCGAGTCCGGCATTGATGGTGACCTGTCCATGATATTTAGCGCTGAGTCACTCGAGATCGTTGGTTCGTACGCACCTTGTTGATCGAGTCGCCGACCAGAACAACACGGCCGTGGCTCCACTTCTTGAGCATGCCCTCCTCCAGCGGAGCCATAGACGCTTTGACCCGCAAATCCCAGAGGTCCCTGACCGTGTACGTCGGCCCTATGGTTTTGTCGCCGAATTCCTCTATCGTCGTTTCCATATCGCCTTGGCTGTATCGGGGGCAATCCGGGGCCCGTACTGGGGCAGGTAGCTTGATGAACAGAAACCAGAAAATAAGACCCGGAACGCCTGTTGCCGTCAATATAGAGTAGTAATCATAGTAGACGGTGTTCGTCGTCGCGTCTGGCATGATAGGCGTATTGGACCCGTTGCGGGATACGCCAAAGACACATTTGTACTGCGCAACGAAGCCTGGACCATGCTGTGAGTAGTTTGGCCAGAATTGTGGACCAGTGGGGCCCTACCTGTTCTCAGCTCCTTCGCGAGCACTGGATCCGTCTTGGAAATCACGTCCGCCATCAACCCTCTCACGTGGCTGTGAATCCCGTCCGCACCCACAAGGATGCTCCCGTGCACAACCTGTCCGTCATTGGTGGTAACAGACACCCCCTTCTCCGTCTCCTGATACGACTGAATACTGCAATGCGTGTGGATTCGATCCTTCTTTTTGATGTGCGAAGAAAGGATGCTCAGCATCTCACACCTCTCGATGAACAACATCGGATGTCCCATGCTACGCAAGGTCAGTCATTTATCCACTCTTCTGCAGCTAGCCACACGTACCTCTGTGAAATTGTCCACAGCGCCTTTGACTTCTCTATGCACCTGCCATTCTCGTCGAATATCAGCCTGTCGACGAGAGGCACCGCGATTTTCTCAATGTCGTCTCGCAGTCCCAGCTGCTCGAGAATCCGGACCCCGTGCGGATGCCAGCCTATCGAAGCTCCCAGCTGCGGGGCAAGCTCGCCCTTTTCGAATAGCTCGTATTCGATCCCTGCCCGTTCGAAGCACAATGCCAGCGCCAACCCCACAAGGCTGCCTCCCGCGATGATGACTTTGAAAGAAGTGGAAGCGTCGGCCATGGCGAGCAATGTTGTAGTCGGGAGAGCGGATCGAAGCAACTCTCCGACCTCGGATCGGAGAACCAGTCGGTTGAATCGGCCCCCACCGGATCAAACGGATGCGAAACCCAGCGCACCACTCTAGCGGAGCAAAAAGAGGTGGAATTCAACAGCCATTGAACTTCTCGCCATCTGAGCAACAATAAATACAGTAATCAACGAAACCGGCCCCCACCCTGAAATGCCGGTCGTCAATAACGGCCCAGGCTGACGGCAGTAAGTCTTGCCCTCTTCCGAGCCAGACACCTACCCTTTTCGTCTCAATCTGCCGCCGATCTCCCCCAACGCAACAGCCATTTCCGGCTTGGCTGCATCATCGCCAGCCCTACTTCGATCAGGCGGTTGCCGCTCGTCGCCTTCATTGGTCCGCTTCAAAAAACATGCGCGGCCACTAGTTCGTGCGTCAAGCTCTGGAACAGGTCTCGCTTGACGACGGCTCCGAAACTACAAGCAAAGATCAGTCTTACTACTTGCGAGATAAGATTAGGCAGCGTTACCCATGGCATTCCACATGCTGACGCAGCCTTTCTGCCAAGCTCCTCAGCTTATCCACTTCAAGCGCGTTGAATGCGGGGTGCCGTCGAATGTAATCCCACGCTTGTATCGGCGTCACCTCGTCCGTTGAACTCAGGTTCGGAGATAGCTTTAAAAGACACTCTAAGCTTTCTTTTGGTATACTCCAGGAGTGAGAGTGTGTCTGTGAAGCTGTTTCCGATGGGGCTTGGTAGAGCAATGGAGCTGAAAGCGTGAGGACGTGGCCATGAGGAGCGGAGGAGTCCTTCAGAGCGCTCTCCATGTGCGGTAGACAAGGACGTTCGAGGCTAAAAATCATCGTGAGTTTTCCAAACTGGGACTACTCCGTCTGATTTGATTGTGCACTCACGTCAATATGAACTCGACTCCGATGTTTGTTGCGTCCTGGTCCCTCATGCACTTCGAGATAGGTCCAGGGTCGACTGGGCTGCTGCCGGTGTTGGCCGGAAGCATCGTATCTCTCCAAGCTGAAGATGGCGCTGTCAGTCATGTGTTAGGCATGTGGGAACTTGATACCCACGTTTATGGTAATCTATCCTTTGGATTCTACGGACGCCAGTTCCCGCAAGCTGCCCTTTGTGCAGTGCGTAGCTGGCCGCTCTCCGTGGTAGCAGAGCACGGTCCTTTCTCTGCGGATCAGCGACCGGGCTCCGGATGACGAGCTGTTTCTGGGTGTTGTAAGTCTCGATGGAGACTGTGGATTCGAGTTCTGGCGGCTTGAGCGTGGCATGGCTTTGGGTTGATGTCGGCTCAATCCCGTTCACTCGCAACACGTCGTTTAGCCTTCTGATTTCTTCATATAGAGTTTTGGTCTCTCGGAGCAGATTTGCCTCGTTGCTTCGCAGCTGGAGAACCTCAGCTTCCAGAGCTTTGGTGTAAGCTTCTTTGCGCTCGCGGTGGGTCCTGTATAGTCAAGTTAACACTTGCTGACGCCTGGAGCGAAAGCTACGATTTACCTTTGTGCCTTTCGAACTTGTGCACGTCGTTTATGGAGTACCTTCTCGGGATCTGCCTTCAGCTGGCCCGAATCTGCTTGAAATTCAGGTCAATCCGAGTACAAAGCTTTGCTGTGGAAAAATAGAAAGCTATCCACTACACCTACCTTCAGAACGGTGTCCAAAATTACGAAACCTGAACTTCATGTCAAAATGTTGAAGGAACAGCTCCTGTGAACGATTTGTTGACTGCTAAGCTTGGTGTTGAAAGTGTGCGGACAGCTGGATGACGGGACGTCGATGTGGGTGGTTTTGGGAATTGCGGCTACTGTATGGGCCAGGGTCTTAGTAGACTTGACTTATACTGCGAGAGGGATGAGACAGGAGCGTGGAAAGTGAACCGTTACTGTTGGTGGGGTGAAACCTCGCAAGCGGCGGATGACGTTTCAGGAGCCGGCAACACCCGAGATGATAGGCAATATGACGACAAAACATTGTTTCCGTGCAGTGTCTAGCTTCTGGCACGGTAGCTGAGGCCACGTGCGAAACCTTTGTAATTGTAAAAGTGAAAGCCGCATTGGTTTAAGAGCTCGCCCATGAGCAAGTAGTCAGTCTTCATTTTTTTTTTCTTAGCAGCTGTTGTAGAAACCTGAACAGTCGAACCCCCCAAGAACACACCCCTGCACCGCATTCAGCAGCGCCAGCTTACTGCTTTTCGTGTTCACATCTGATAGGAAGCTTTGAGCCGTATATGCCTGGAGATTACGAACGATGGAGCATCAACGCGTTGCCTTTGTATTGTGCAGATTCAATTGGTCCGTCTGAGGTCCGTGCTGATACAAGATGAGTTTCAATATGCTTTCCGCCTGATCAGTGATCCAATTTTCCCTCATTCAGCTTAGCGACACGTCGATCAAACCCCAGTGTCTGTGACCACATTTCACTAGCTCGATGCGGCAATGTTGATTCAATAATCATTCACCCATTCGGGAACATTGTCAGCATCATCCAGATATACAGCATGCACTTGACAGAAGAGTGTGTCTCTAACGTCGCGATGGTGTTTGGTTGCTCCTTATCTTCCAATGCGAAAGTCAGAGGTCAAGTGTTATAAATTGAGAACGATTGGAGTCGAACATTTGGACAGCACGCATCCTGAACACTCTCTTCACTGGCAAGCTGGATTCTTGTCATCTTTCTCCTCTCCTCGCTCGTTTTGTCCAGCAAAGCACCTGGCTGTAATAACCATGCCCACGCAATCGTCCCTCCTTCTCTCCAGCCTCTGGCTATTCACTCTGGCCGCAAGTGCACCAGCCCCTCACTGCGGCGCTGAATGCCAAGTAGCAGCAAGATCTCCAACGGTTGGGAAAGCCGTCTACTTCCTCACAAACGACGCACAGAACGCCGTGGTCGCCCTCCCAATCGCCGCCGACGGCACCCTGTCCGACGGCACCGTGACCGCCACCAACGGCGCCGGTTCCAACGCGATAGACGGCACGACCAACAAAACCTCTGCCCCAGACGCACTGGTCGGCCAATCATCCCTAACCATCGCCGGCAACGTAAGTCCCCTCCCCTCCCCTCCCCCGCCAACCACACACCCTCTCCCACCACCCCCCAACTAACGGCACACCACCCACAAAGTCCCTCTTCGCCGTCAACGCCGGCTCCGACACCCTGACCATGCTCTCCATCTCCCCCTCCAACCCCACGCACCTCACCGCCCTCGGCCACCACCCCATGCCCCTCCCCGGCGAGTTCCCCAACACCGTCGCCGCCTCCCCGAAGCACCGCCTCGCCTGCGTCGGCACGACGGGCGCCAAAGCCGGCATATCCTGCGCGCCGTTCCACCCCAGCCACGGCTTCGTGGGTGCGATGGACGCCCTCCGCCCCTTCGACGACACGCTCGGCCAGACGACGCCGCCTGTCGGCCCGACGAATACGGTTTCCCACGCCTTTTTCTCGGCGGATGAGGGGAGGTTGTTTGTTACGGTGAAGGGCGACCCCGCGGCGAATAAGACGGGGTTCGTGTCGGTGTTTGATGTCGAACAGCAGCAGCAGCAGCAGCAACAGCGGCGGTGGTGGAGCAGGGGCGCGGGGGGCAAGAGGGCGCGCGCGAAGCTGGCGTCTTGCGATACGCGGTCGTCGCCGGCGGGCACGGCGGTGCTGTTCGGCGCGGCGCTGGTGCCGGGGAGCAAGGACAAGGTGTTCGTGACGGACGCGGCGTTCGGGGCGGCGGTGTTGTCGGTGAGTGGCGACAACAACAATCGGGCGGAGCTGCTGGCGAAGCAGGCGGTGGATGGGCAGATGGCGACGTGCTGGGCGACGGTGTCCGAGGCGACGGGCACCGCGTTCGTGACGGATGTCGGGGTGAACCGCGTCGTGGAGATGAGTGTCGAGGATGCGAGCGTCGTGGGCGTGGTGGATTTGGCGGCGCAGAATGGCGATCCGGGGCTGATCGATTTGAAGGCGGCGGGGGATTTCGTCTACGCGCTCTCGCCAGGGAATGGGAGTAGCCCGGCTGCGGTTACGGTGCTGGATGTCTCGGGTGGGAGGGGAAAGGCGAGGATGATTCAGCATTTTGAGTTGACGGGGATGGGGGTGGGGAGGAATGCGCAGGGGATGGCGGTTATGATGTAGATTATCAGAGGCGGGTTGCTGTAGAGTAATATACAGTTACTGGGTAATCAGCTGTTCGCACACCGCAGTTTGAGGCCCAGAGAGATGAAAGTCGCTTTACGTTGTTTGGCACTATTCCCTTCTACATGGCAGGGATTCAATGCTGAAGTTTCACTTTGTTGCGGTGCGCATGATACTACTGTAAGCCTCTTCCAAGATTCAACAGCAGTTTATTTTTTTTTCAAGTAGTCGTTTCATTTCCCGTCAGAATAGCACAGTCAATTATCAACCGCCAGCATCCCTTACATCGTCCAGCCAGATATCACGAAGAGGCCTGAATAGTTACTCCAGTCTCTTATCCCCTGAAGGGGGGAAGGAAAATATTAAAAGCTATGTAGCACTCTCGAGGTTAATTGCGAAGGATACAGTGTAATCCCGTCTTTAAGTGCAAAATCCTTCTTTCTCATTCGACCAATAGACCTCCAAGGATCGACATATACTTTCATTCCTATGCCCTCGTTCTCGATGTTGTAAACTCGAAGGAGAATATAGATGTTTGATCTATTCAAGTTGCCCTCAAAAGTCAATTCTTCCATCTGGCAAGGTGATTCATTAGTTATGTAATCCAGAGTACTGGATCTAAAATAAACTAGTGGAGCTTACCTGTCTACACTGTGATGATGTCAAAGTAAATGGCGTATTGCATTCCCCAGTCGTTGTCTTTACTTCGAAGAAGTATGTTGCATCAGTGCGGACTCCCAATCTAGGCGACAGGTAGCCTTTTTTGGTCAAAGCATGCCGCAGAGAACCGTCGTCATCTGTGTAGATAATGTCGGAAGTTTCAAGGTGGCCAGTCCAGGGCTCGAGGTCGCGGTATCTGTCGCAGACGCTGACTTCATTGCGGATTACACTCGTCCAGTTGGACTCATCGAAGCCGGGAAGGCATAGACTTTTCAGCATTTCGAAAGCCTAGCGGGTAAAAAAATCAGTTTAGAGGAGGATGGCCCAGAATGGTGTCCTTACATATAGCTCCCCAGCGGCACCGATCTTCTTATCAATGCCAAAGGTAGTGGTGAATGTGGATCGAGGTGCCGTGGCTGGATTAGGTGCGTCGCCTCGAAGAGGGAACACAGCGCTGCTGGCAGAGTCGATAACATGGTTGAGAAGCTCAGCGTATGCTCTATCTTTGCTGGGGGGTTGTGTCGTTGTGGATGTGCCAGCCGAGTCTAGAAGGACACAGTGATCGCGCAATCGTAATTCTTCGAAAGAAAAGTCTTGATGTGGTTCCTGGAATGTGATAGATTGGTAGTGACAATTCTGAAAAGAGAAAGGATTCTGGGAGGTGGGGACATCGCGTTCTATGTGCGCTCGGAATTCCGACCATATAGTGCCGTCATTTGAACTATCACAGCAAACTTGAAGAAAGCTCTTGATCCAGTCGAGCTCTTCACCGCTTTCTACCGACGGTGCGGAGCTGGCAGGATTCAGTCCAGAATCAGAAGTGCTTGAAGCATCACTGTTGCCGACATCTTCCTCTTCTAAGTCTCCAGGGACGGACGATGAGCTGCCAATGCTATTAGAGCTCGCTGATAAAGCTGCGCCAGGCGTGACGAGGATCGGAGACGATTTGGTTGAATTTTCGTCCTCTACGGGTATGTGTCCCTCGTTTTCAGCCGAAGTAGAAGCTGCGTCCTGGTTTGCCGGAGATGTCAAAGAGACTTGAACTTCTGAAAGCAGTATAGTATGGTCCGTCCCGATATTGGTGTCTAGTGTCGTGGTGGGAATGTCCAGCTCAATGATACCTGCATCCTCCAGAATGACATTGACGATATCGAGACTGCTGCTTCCCAGGACTTGAACAAGTACCGTTTCAGCAGAGGAGTCGGAAATAGACAGAAAGCGGAGAACCGATTTCGGCAGCTGTTGAAGATAGCAGATTTCTCGATTGCGTTCATCGGATGGAACATACAGCTTCAGCTGACCATCAAGCTCTTCGATGTGACAATTGGCTTGGTTGCACTGAACGGTAAACGTTTGGAGGCTCTGAAAAAGGCTGATGGACTTGGAAATCTTCTCACTGACGTAGACAGTGGCACAACGGAAGAGCTCAAACACGGTGCGATCACCTTTTTGGGCCATGGTGCTGTTGAAATGTGCGGAAATCCTATTCTGAGTCAGTGAAAGGAGTATGGTAGAGGTGTCTAAAATGATATGACACAAACACCGCTGCGGTGAACAATGGATGCTCATCGTAAGGGTTTGCTTTGTAATCCCCTGCCGTTTCTGATAGCAGATTTTAAACTTACCGAAAAATTGCATGTGCCTTTTCTCTCAACGCATCAGTCAAGTCAAGGTCTGGAAGGCTTCCTTGTGCCGACGTTTTCTCTTCAACAGCCGCTGATATGAACCTCCGACCCAAGTCCAGAGCCAACAGAAACGACCTACAAGCATGGACTTCATTGAGGGAAAAGTCTAGAGTGGTGATCTGGCCTTGAAGAGCTTCTCCGTACACCTTACGATCAATGATCGCAAAGTCCACGCGAGCATTTGTTAGTTTGACATCCCCGCTTGGGAGTCGTACGGGTAGGATATTTGCAGAACGCAAGCTCTTCAAACTTTTGGAGGAAGGGTCCATGGTGCTGATCAAGCTAATGCTCTCTTTGATTCGAAGCAAGGAAGGAGGCTGGTCTTTGGAAAGCTGCATTAATTCCTGAACGTACATTCGAAGGTCGGGCTTCTGGACTTGCAGAATTTGGCAGAAGAATTCTTGCAGCGACCCGTATGGCGTGCTGATCGGAGTCCTTTCGGGGATCCGAGTTCTGTCATCAGCCCAAATGCAGGATGAAGGTGGAAACCACGCGTTTTGAGAAGGACTAAAAATCAGACTGTTATTCTCAAATCTCGTTCTAGATGTCGCAGTTAATACCATATCATCAGATTTACGCAGATTTACTTACTGCAGATTGTCATGGTTGCTGTCCTTTTCGAAGTCGCGCCAGAGGCTGCGATATATCTGCCAAGCTTTTGAATGATTCCTTTCCAGGTTCTTTCGCATTGAGGACAATTCGTCCAGTGAGTCATGCCACACGGCATCACGTATTTTGAGGACTGTTTTGAAAAGATGTTTCAGATGATGAGATCCAGTGACGACGCTGAGGCGTGATTTTACTGCTAGCCAGTCTGGGCCATCCCAAACGCAATCTCTAACGGAAAGCCACCGAGATTTACGCAGCTGGCACGAGGGAATGTATATTCTTTCGTAATTCTTGAAATAATTCCTCGGTACGGTCAGTATGCCTCCTACATTTGAATGGTACAGATATACTCACAAGACTCTACTGCAATCTTCGTTGGTAACGCATTTCTGCATAATGCTACCATAGACCCTGAAGGTAGCTTGTTCAGCTTCGGGGCTGAGAGTGCCTTCATTACTATCAGCGATGGAGTCTAACAGCTTCATGTAGAAGTCTGCGTCGTCCACGAATCGGACTCCAAATCGGCTCAAGAATTTCCAGGACTCCTCATCGTCATCTTTGAGATTTGACGGTGGAAGTACGAAAAAGGAAGCCTTGGAAACTCCGTACCTTTCGGCCAAGGATTTCAACCTCGGGAGCGGCATGTAAGAGCCCTGAAGTTGAATCGCTGAGCCACTCAGGCTGGGTACCTTGCACTCTTTCAGGCGGTGCTCGATGTAGCTTGTTATCACCCCATCATAATGGGACCAGTTTTTCTTTAGGAGTCCGAGAACAATTTCTGAGCGATGTCTTAGGATATAGTCCAGTTCTGGTGAGTTGCTGCTGAACCCGGTTGGATGGATTTGAGGCATTCGCTTGACGCCAGCAACCTTTTCAAGCCAAACTGAGGCAGACATGCCATGACTTGCAGAGCTGCTGGATACAGACGAAAGGTAGACGCTAAGAATGAATTTGGCCGGATAGCGATGCAGAGATGTGTCTTGTGGCTGGAATACATTTTTTGGATCGTACATATCTTTCGAGTCAGGGAAGTAAGCGCGCTCACAGCTGAGGTCAACTGTGCCTCCTCCCTCAGTAGCCATTTTGAAAACTCGGTTCAGACGGCTGTCAGTAGGTAGATTGCAAAATAGAAATTGAAGATGAGGTACCGTGTTAAAAACACTGGCGTCCGCCATTTTAGCATGCTTTTGATGGATTGCCGAAATCACACTCCCCGGGTCACATTCGGTTACACCCAGATGTGCAAAGAGCTTTTTCCGGGCGTCATTCTTGATTGCGTAAGGATCAACGAGACGGTAACCCAAATCTCTGGGAATTTCGCTGCTTCCTGAAGTAGGGAAGTAGATTCGCTGGCCAAAAATGCCGTTGGGAGCAGATACCCAAGATTTATCGACCAGTGGAATGAGAGGAAAGGATTTCACACGTAAGATATGTTCTTGCGAGCATGCAGAGAGTACACTCGCAACCCTCGAGTGCCAGTCGTCCTCAGTTAGCACTGCTTTCATCTTTGAGTCAGGTCTCTCGAGATCGGCCTGAAGTCTGTCAAGGAAGTCGGTGATGTTGAGGTTCCGAGTTCCGAGACCGTCGAGGAGCTGGAAGTCGTTATATGTGTAGTCAGGAGCAAGATAAACCTCATTCGGGAGGTCGGGAAAAAGTGGATCCCCGTACTTGTCTCGTGCATTGCTGGCTACAAAACGCAATTGACCAGGATGGCATAGGCGGCCACTCCAGGATCTTAACACGGCTGTCTCTTTGAGAACAGCTTCGATCGTAGGTTTGAGCTCCCCCCAAAACTCGTCAGACGAGTCATTTGGTAGATACCTCATCCACTGATACTGCAATTTCTTGTGCGCGCAGAATTCCAGGACCGCGTCTCGGAAGGTCTTAGCAACGCCAGAAAGAAGGGCCTTATTCCTAGGAGAGTGTACGACAACTTCTCTACCAGCCTGGGTAGTGAAGTCCGATTGGATCAGGAACTAAGTCGATTATCAGCATGGTAGTAACGAAACATAGTCAGCTTTCTTACATTGAAGCCAACTGATCGAATAGGCCGGTATGTAAAGACATGCTGTCCCTGCAAGATTGCCTCATCGCCTGTTTCGTTCACAGGGAACGCTAATAGAACATCTGCCTCAGTCTGCTTTCTTGAGGTATCGTGGGGAAGGTCCTTGATGGTACGCCTGGTGACGCGAAAATGTCTCTTTTCAACAACCCACTCTCCATCGTTGGATCTGGACTGTTTCTCAACTGTTTTAAATCCCCTAATGGGGTCTTGAGGACACGAATATACGAGTTGCGTGGAGTCTCCAGTTTCGGGGTAAATGTTGACCAGGATTGAGCGAAGTTTCTTCACAAAAAGAAGCAAAGTGTCCGGGACGTTGCTCAGTTCATCAACCAGTTTGCGGAGGTCTACACTGCTCAGCAATGTCAACGTAATCCTCGTGAGGACATCCTTGGGCAAATCCTTGAATGGCTCGGTCATTGGAGTGACCATGCCAAGCCCTTCGTCGTCAGAGTCGCGGGTATGCTCAAAGGAAAACGAATAAAAGCCTGATTGGATATGCACCCGCTGTGCGATTTTGAACACAGACTTGAAGCCGATGCCCTTTTCGCCAACGCATCCCTGCGGGGCTGTCTTGGTGCTTTGTCCGATGCCGCATATAGCTTTGACATTTTCGGCCGTGAAACCGTCCTCGTTGCAGTCGATCACAAGTTGGTCTGGATAGAGGCTAAAGCAGATGTACGGCTCCTCAGCGTTCGCCTCAGCGCGCGTGTACTGATTATCGTCGGCATTCTGAATCAGTTCGTATAGATACTGGGTGTCCTTTGAGTAGAGATCTGTTGCGAGCCTGACCGCTCACGTCAACGTGGAGCCATGCAAAAGTGGTTGCCGCGTGCTCACGTTTTAGCAGCAGATCCGAGCTTCCGTCGGACAGTTTGCAGCACCTCCCAAGCTTCCGGATAGTCTCTCTTCATCCCAGCTTCGACCTCTCGGGAGACGCCACCGTTCTCGCGTCTGATCTTGGCCACCCATTTCTGCGCATCCCGGGCTAAGTCATAGGGTGCGACACGCGGACGGCCCTTAAGCGGCTTCAGCCTGTAAACAATAGCATCAGCATTAGAAGTGAACGTGAACGCAGAATGCGCCAGGCCCCGCGCGATGCAGAGCCGCGCTAACAGCACACGCCACTACGCGCTCCACATCTTACATCTAGGTAATAGAACCGCACTTACTTTCGCTTTACCAGCTGCGCAGCTGCAGCCTGCCTAGGCTTGTCGTTCTCCGATAGCTCATTCGACCCATCTCCGAAAAAGCTGCCATCTCTGCTCAACTGCTGCGTCGTGCCGCGCTTCGACATGGTTGCGGGTTCTGGACACGCGCGCGCGCCACGAGCTTTCGACCGACCGGCGACGGTCTTCTGGCTCGTGGAGGTACGGTGAGGATTTTCTATATACTTAAAGTTTTGTGCGGCACAGCAAGCGGCCAGCTGGTAAGGCTATTGGTCAATTCGATAAATCCGCGCCCCACCCTGGCGTCTCGACTGCTGCCTGCTTTGACAGTAAATATGGAGACTGAAGGGGCCAGTGTGATTGCGATGCATAGCGCGTTAGAATGATTCGACAGGATTGCTTCACGGCGAAGCAACTTTTACAGTGTCGCCATTCGCCGCGATGTGTTGCTAGCCGCCCAAGCTCCGGCACGTGACCCACTGGCACGCGATCCAAGGTCCGATTTGGCGCCGCAGCGTTTCGTCCATATGTAATCCCTGTCAACGCCTGATTCTCGTGAAAGTTTTGTAGCACTATGGTGGGGGCGGGAAGATCCCCGTACTCTGCGTCACGTCAAGCAGCGTTCTCCTGCGGCCGGAATTCGCGGGGAGGCCGTATCCGAAGCTCTCGGTATATACCTACATACGATCTTGACCTACTTCACTGAAGTCCCTCGGTACAAACCTACATAAGAATCCGATTTACTCAACGGAGATCTCTCCTCCCGAAGCCGATCGGCTATCGGATGCAGAATTGAAACCCCGGCAAAAGAAATTTCATCAAGAACGTATGATTGGTTTCTCGGCATGAATTTGGCAGTATAAGATGAATATAAATTTGACTTTCTTCCCATTCCTTATTTCGTTAAGAGCCTCTATATCAACCCTGTTCTCGCTGCAGGGAAAGCCCTCCTGATTACCAACTCTTTGATTTTCTTTTGAGCTGCCCCTTGGCCATGGCAAATCCGATACAGAGAAGCCTTCCACTCGGGGACACGTCTCAACTCCCAAACATCATCGGAACAACCCTCTTGCTCATTCTAGCATATGTCGGCTACTCTTTCCTCTCGTCAACAAGGGCCTATCCAAACATTCCTCTTATCATCGGTAAAGGTGGGATTGAAGAATCAAGGCAAAAGTTCCGCGAACAGTCTGTCAAATTCCTTGACACTGCTCTGAAACAAGTCAACGATGTCTGCCAAGTTTGGACGGACGGTGGCCTCAAGATTTTGATACCGACGAAGTACATCAATGAGATCCGCAACGACAAAAGGCTAGATTTTCTCGAAGTTGTCAGGAATGTAAGTGTAACCTAGCCAGTACACTGTGTATAAACGAGGAAGCTTCTATTTTCGCTGACACATGTTTGATTAACAGGAGAACCTCGCTCATTATCGCAGCTTTTCCCCGTCATACTTACCCATGAAACACAACCACGTCACTGATGCCATTAGGACCAAACTAACCCAGTCACTCGGTGTGTACTTCAACTATCAATAGTATTCGATGCTTGTGCTGATCCTCACAATAGGTAAAATCACCGAGGGGCTTTCGGAAGAAACTGACTTCGCATTGAAAAACCTCTTCCCTCCAAGCAAAGGTGAGCCGGTGAAGTTACATTCGCATACCCGTCCCATTGCTTAACAATCCATTGTGTCAGAATGGGTGGTTACGAAACCTTTCTACCCCATCGCTGTCGATTTTGTATCACAACTTTCCGCACGCGTCTTCCTCGGAGACAAGCTTTGCCGTGACCCCGAGTGGATCCGCGTTTCCGGGGACTACACTGGCGCAATTTTCATGTCCATCCAGAGCTTGCGCAAGTACCCAAAGTTCCTCCAGCCGATTATGTACTACCTGGGCCTTATTCCCGAGATCAAAGCCCTGGACAAGCTGGAGGAAAAGGCCACCGAGATAATCGAAAAGGAAGTCGCCAGGCAGAACGCCTTGGGCCCGGACAACGTCGACTCCAACTCGCTAAAGTGGTTCGCCGACGTAGCCAAGCAGAAGAAGATCTCCGAATACAACCCCGTCTTCGCGCAGCTCGCCCTGACCATCGCCGCCATCCACACCACCTCCATGTCGCTGACCAACGTTCTCTTCGACCTCATCGCCCACCCGGACCTCATCGCCGAGCTGCGCCAGGAGATCATCGCCGTCATCGGCACCGACGGCTGGAAGAAGACCAGCCTCGGCAACCTGCGCCTCATGGATTCCGCCCTCAAGGAGAGCCAGCGCCTCAACCCGCCCGACGCCTTCTCGATGCGGCGCAGGGCGACCGAGGACATCCGGCTGTCGAGCGGCGTCGTCATCAAAAAGGGCGCCATGGTCGTCGTCCCGCCGCGCATCCTCCGCGACGCTGAATTGTACCCGGATCCGGATGCGTACGACGGCCGGCGCTGGTACCGCTTGCGGCAGGAGCCCGGCAATGAGATGAAGTTTCAGTTCGTCCAGACGTCGGCTGAGATGCATGGGTTCGGACATGGCGAGCATGCTTGTCCGGGCAGGTTCTTTGCCAGCAATGAGCTGAAGATTGCGCTGTGCCATATGCTTATGAAGTATGATTGGGAGTACGCGGACGCCAGGGAGCGGCCGGAGACTATCACGAAGGCGGAGTTGATTATGCCCGATCCGACGGTGAGGCTGAGATACAAATCGAGGGAGCCGGAGATTGCTCTCTGAAAATGTACTCAATCTTGCCGTAGATAGGTCAAGTGTGGTTCAAATTGAAGTAGTTGAGGGGACTGGTCGACCTGATATTGATCAGTAAGAGATCACTTGTTGCACTTGGAATTGGATGGTTGGCCACTGAAAATTGGCATTCACAAAGTAAAGCTTCATATGTCAAGCTAAAAAATAGCACATATATTTCCTTTGAAGGTAAAAACGCCCTGGCGTACCCCTTACTGATTAGAAACTCCACTCCTCAAGCCTATGAATATACTTTTTGATAGCATTTCCAGGTAGAGGTCTAGGGTCCGTGACTCGAATAATTATTCTGCTAATGCTGATGAATTTTCCGCTCTGGAAATAGATTTAGGTGTATTTCCACCTCTTCTGCAATGTGACACGGACACGCCGGAACAGCCCACACCATGCGTCCAATAACTTTGCCTCCCTTCACGAGGATCGCGATCCCGTCCTTTAGCGTTGATCTGAATTTCAGTCCAGGAATTCGATATGCAACGGCCCCAAGAGCTTCCGAAGGAGGTACATACAATGCAGCCCTAAAGAGGAAGCTTCCAAGACATGACGGGCAAGTAATGCCTACAAGTGCTCCACGCGGGCCGAGATGCATCGTCCCACCATGCGCCCTCATAAAACGCATTGGGGGCAAGCCGTCACAGTTTTTGAGATCTGTCGTCGACAAACCCAACGCCAGGGCAATTTTGTCGGTCACTTCTACCTGCCAGGGCTCTTGGCCGCCTTGGGAGTTGAAACGGTCCACCAGCGTATGCTCTAGCAAGGATCGCTCACCAGCATAGACATGGTGTTTATGTCTGTCCAGAATTTTGGAGGTGGAAATATCCATGGACGTGGAAGAAAGTAGCATGGCCGTGGGTGTTGCTGCACTCTAAATCTAGAAGCCGGTGGTTGCTGATTTGGTGGGACCCGATATAAACTACAACTTCGGTCTCATAATACTGCGATGGCCAAGCAAACATCGTATAGGGAGCAGGGGTCGTCGCATAGATATAAGCTTTTAAAGGTTTTTAACGCATTCATCGTATGCTTATGTTCCTGACTTTTGCAGTAATTTGGACCATGACTTTGTAGAGAGGAAGTTCCCGCCTGACTAACAGTCAAAACTTTGCGAATCGAATAAAAATTATATTTGGTATATGTATTTTGGGAAGAGACCATGTGAATATTTAATAAATCAATGATCCAAAAAAGCCAGCGCAGAGTAGACTCAGTGCTCCCGTCCTCTTTCAGCATCTCGGACGCTTCCAACCTCCACAAGTGGAACAAAGTCTTTGGTATCAACACTCTTCGGCTGGGCGTGTGAATTCGACTGATCCGTGCGCCCTGTATAGCCCGATCTTCCAGTCGATTTGTCTCCCTGCGTGGTTCCAAATATCGTAGGGAAGATTCTTTTCAGCAGTGCTTGGACGGCAGGCATGCAGGCGCACACAATGCCGACATCCATCTCGATCGTACTCCAGTATCCGAATGGTGCGCTCTCCCATGTAAAGTTGGTGTTGTTCGAGAATTTGAAAAGCGTCTCGAGCCGAATGACACTGACAATGGTGACGCTGTTTCTGATTAGTCTTCTCTTGTACTTTTAAACATGGCCCGGAGACTTACAAGCCACCAACTAAGAACATGAGCAAGAGTTGGAGCTTCTTCTTCCAGCCCATGACAAGCTTCGAAAGCTGCCGGAGAGGTAGGAAAAGAACTGTGAGGTCCAGAGCGATGTTGAAAGCTGCTGCCGCCCAGCCTTGCGCATTGACGTTATTGCAGGCGCCGTGGTATGAGCCGTCCCAATGTAGCCATGCCGCCTTTACCGGGTTGCATTGGAATATGGAGACAATCAAGAATGTAATCAAGTATGCAATGCAGAATCCCATGACGCCGTAGGATATTTTTCGGAACGTCTTGTCCGGAAAGATGCGGAGGTAAAAGAATAGGATGGATAGCTTGGTCATGGATATGACAACAAGATAGAGCAGCTCATCGACGAAATATACCTGACGAGAATTAGTGTCGCTAAAATAAAGTAGTTGGAGATTAGAAGTACCTCGAGGATGTAGGTGATACTGTCGAACGGAATGGTCCAGATGTCTTTACCGAGACCATGTTTGGCAACTGATAAAACGTAAGTATTCGTTAATAGCAACGAGGATGCCAGATGTCTTACGCTCTGTGGATAGCGCCGAGAAACCAATGAGACAGGCCTAGCACATCAGTGAATGTCGACTTGAGGCGAATCGCAGCTGCACTTACCATGGCCGCGGTAATAGTATAATCATCCATGCCGAAGTCGAATCCACCAAGCGTTAATCTTGACACTATCCTTGCGATAAAGAAAAGTAGTGTAACAATACATCCACCCACTCCGAATCCATCGATGAGATGAGATACATCTCTGACAGGGACGCCACACGCAGTATCGGAGACATTTTTTGTTGCTGGTTTTATTAGTACGACGGTAACGATGAGGCGTTTGCATGAAAATAACGTACTCAACTGCTCTTTGACGGTACAGCTGCTTTGGACGCACACTGAGATGCTACTTATGAGCTCTTGGTTTGTGCAGATGCAAGTTTCATTGGTCAGCGAGCACGTAGATTCTCCAATGGCCGCGATGGTGCACTTCAATCCGCAAGCTGGGAGAAGGGCTGCAGACTCTGTCAGACCAGCCTCGACGAGCGCGCATAAACAACTCGCCAAAGCGAGGAATCCCCAGAGCAGGCGCATCTCGGAGACTTAGGCGAGCGGAAGTGCGGAGCTGCCAAAAGAGAGTTCAAATCTAGTCCGCAGGATCCGATCACGGGGGCCATCTTTTAACAGTTTCAGGAGGAAAGTGCCAATAAGTGCCCCAGAGATGGACTAATCGAGGCTGCTACAGGGACCCACTCGGCCGAGTTGACGCGGCTGCTCAATCATTTCCCCTTGGGTTCACGAAGGCAGGGACATGGCTTTGGGCGAAGTTAAGCTTTGACGTTCCTTTGCGTTGGGCCGATGTATTTCCATAATGAAAGCAAACAGGTAGGAATCCAGAAACCGGGTTGATGCCTTAAGCGTCGGCTAAACTCGCTCGTGGACGTATTCATGCACGGAGCATCCGGTCATGACTCTGGCCGGTGTCGGGGGGGCCGAAAATCCCTTGGTAAAAACTCGTCGGAAAACCCTTCTCCGCCTGCATGCTGTGGAAGTCTGCGCCTACGGCGCCCAACGTGCCGCACTACACAAGGAAATAATGGACATTTGTGGATAAGGAGGCGAGGATCCCCGGGTAATGAATTTGGAGGTGAGGGGCGCGGAATCGGCCTCGTCATGCCCGTGTCCAAGTAGAGTCATGTCTGTGGTCTGTGCGGGGCTTGCTTTGAGGGATCCGACGATCTGCATCTCTTATACAGACAAGCACTAGCCTTTTAACTGACTGTTGCCAAGAGACTAGCTCCCGAATCCTCGATAACGGTTCCGGAAAAGAGCGGTGTCGCCGACCAGAAGGATGCATCCTGCGCATCCGCGACCCAGCACTGTGTGCCCGTGGGGGCCGCGCGCTTTCTGGAATCTGACAAGCCCCAGATCGAAGCCATAAAACATGCAAGCCCCTATGCGTCCACTTCCTCTCGGCAGAATAATTACTGCTGCTTCGGAAATTTATGCAGATGCTGATGCTTTCTGCTCGACAACCGTGTGAAGAACTGGAGCGGTCTAAAGGAGACACACGCAAAAGAGCTATGACGAGTCATTTGATGGAGCTTTACAGCTTTGGTAAAAGTTCCGCCCCGTGCCGCACACGGTTGTGCGGCACGGGCTGCGCCACAGATTGACATGTTTTACTTCGCGAAGCCCTTCACTACAGATCAGCAAAGCACACGAGTAAGTGAGTAGCGTGGGGAAATGTCCCACGTCTGTCGCCATCGATAAGAGTAGCAAAATAAGTCCCCGAGCTCCGGTTTTTTGGTAATGATTTTGCGCGGCTGGTTTTGAGTATTACTATTCAATCCGTATCAGCAAAAACGCTAAGGCCCCATGGGACTCATTGCAATAGGAGACAAGTTGAAGGATCCACTGGCATTGCTGGAAACACCCTGGTCAGCGCTTTACCGCGTAAGGCTGAGCTCCCTGCCTCCTTCAATTTCGAAGTTACCAAGCGGCCAAAAGCACGGCTCACGTTTGGTTCATGAGGACTATGCGAAGTAGATCGTTGCAAGATCCAGACGTGGCAGTGGGAATTCGGCGGCTCTTCCCCCCATCCGAGCCGGTAAGCGCATGTGATGGGGTCTTCCTATTTCTTGGTCTTGCCCGCACAGTCTCGACTGCCTCACGGCTCTGCCTCATTGTCTATCGTTTATGTCACTCTTTTGCTAAGGACGTGCTCATCGTCGTATTTGTAATTCGTAATGAAGGGCCTCACTATCCCCGTGCTCTTCACATCCGCAGTTGCGGCTCTGTAAGGACCTATATCTCCCTCCACGAGGATCTGCGTCGCTAAATGCACTATGTGGCTGGGTCGCGGTATCGCAACGGAACAGCAACGCTTGGCAGCTGAAGCACCCTTCTGGGCACAGGCGTAGCAATACTTCTTCTACAACGTGTGTCTAAAAGGTTGTTTCGGCTGCTTTTATGCGGTGGCTCCATTGCATTACCTTGGCGACCAGCCCTGTAGCAAAACAGGACTGTCCCATATTCTCGCAGCAACAACGCTCATTTGCATGATGCATTCACGAAACGCGCATCCAATACTTCCCAGTACGACTATATTGTCGTGGGTAGCGGCCCTGGTGGTGGACCACTTGCCGCAAGACTTGCAATTGCAGGGCACAAAGTTCTCCTGATAGACGCTGGTGACGACCAAGGGAATGCAACCCAGTATCAGGTCCCGGCGTTGCAGCTCCAGTCAACCGAATACGAACCCATGCGCTGGGACTACTTTGTCAACCATTACGACAATGAAACCCGGCAGGAACAGGACTCCAAGATGACGTGGAGGACGCCAGCTGGAGAGCTGTACGTTGGTCATGCTCCGCCATCTGGCTCGGAGCCTTTGGGTATTTGGTACCCGCGTGCAGGGACGCTTGGCGGATGTTCTGCCCACAATGCTCTCATCACCATATACCCTCATGAGGTCAGTATTACTAATGTTTCGGCTTTGCGGGGTGGGCACTGACATTCATCAGAGTGACTGGACCTACATCCAGACCCTGACTGGGGATGAAACTTGGGCGCCAGATGCCATGCGCAAGCACTTCCAACGCATGGAGCGGAACAGGTACCTGCCTTCCAGTTTTGTTGGCCACGGCTACGACGGATGGCTCGAGACCAGTCTCACGGATCTGTCGTTGGTCGTCGAAGACCCGAAGCTCCTTTCCCTCATTATTTCTGCCGGCACTGCGGCAGGCAAGGGTCTTTTGGGAAAGATCATCAACACTGTGACCGGGCTCGGAGAGGTTCTTCTCCGAGACATCAATGCCTACACCAGCGACCGTGACTCTCAGGAGGGTCTGTTCCAAGTCCCTCTCGCTGTCGAAGAACTGTCCAAGCACCGGAACGGACCGCGCAACTTCATCCTCGACACGGCCAATGCAGTCAACTCGGACGGAACTCGCAAGTACCACCTCGACATCAAGCTCAACACCCTAGTCACCAAGGTCCTGTTCGACGAGTCCGGCAGCAAGCCCCGCGCCGCCGGCGTGAGCTACATCGAAGGATCCAGCCTCTACCGCGCCGACCCGCGCGCCAGCTCCACGTCCAGCACCGCTCCCCAGAAGTCCATCAACGCGACCAAGGAGGTCATCATCTCGGCCGGCTCGTTCAACACGCCGCAGCTCCTCAAGCTCAGCGGCATCGGCCCGAAGGAGGAGCTTGACTCGTTCAACATCCCCGTCCTTGTCGACTCCCCCGGCGTCGGCGCCAACCTGCAGGACCGCTACGAGACCACCCTCGTCGGCGAGACGCCCACCGATTTCACCATCACCAAGGACTGCACCTTCCTGCGCACCGACGACGACCCATGCCTCAAGCAGTGGCAGGATCTGCCGGGCCCCTCGCTCAAGGGCACCTACGCCACCAACGGCATTGCCATCGCCATCGTCAAGAAGTCTTCCTCGGCCGCAGAAGAGGATGATCCCGATCTTCTGATCTCGGGCGCGCCCGCCTACTTCACCGGCTACCACCCCGTGAGCCCCCTCCCTTTCTCCAGAACAAAAAGAGAAACATTTTTACTAATACCAACACACAGGGCTACGCCGACCTCTCCCTCAAGGACGCGAAGCACTGGGCCTGGATCGTGCTGAAGGCGCACTCGCGCAACAACGCGGGCAGCGTGACGCTGCGCTCGACGGACCCGCAGGACATGCCGTCCATCAACTTCAACTACTTCGACACGGGCGTGACGGCCGACGGCGCCGACGACAAGGACCTGCAGGCCGTGTACGAGGCCATGCAGTTCTCGCGCCAGATGTTCGACGACCTCGTCCCGCTGCAGGGCGACTTCGAAGAGGTCTGGCCCGGCCCCAACGTCACGACCGAGGAGGGCATGAAGGAGTTTATCAAGAAGGAGGCGTGGGGCCATCATGCGGTGAGTGATAGAGTGATGATGTACACATTTGGTGGGTTTTTGGGCTAATTTTTGTTCGAAACAGTGCTGCACGGCGGCGATCGGTAAGGACGGCGACGAGAATGCTGTGCTTGACTCGAAGTTCCGCGTCAGGGGTGTGGATGGACTGAGGGTTGTGGACGCGAGTGTCTTCCCTAAGATTCCTGGCTTCTATATCTCTGTGCCTGTCTACATGGTCAGTGAGAAGGCTGCTGAGGTTATCCTGGAGGATGCGGCATAGTCAACCGCTATGAATGGATTTGCGCATTGCGTCATGTTTGGTGGTAGTTGCGTAATTTAAAGAAGTATGTGCCTTGAATCATGATATTCCCACATTCGCCGTGAAGACCGTGCGGGTGAATTGCGGTAATGCTTTTCCGCATCTCCGTACCAGCAAGCATCATTCGAGAAGGTTTCCACAGAAATATGCACACCGGCATCTTGAGTTCTATGATCGGATGGCAGAACGCGCCTCCCGATTTTCCAGTGACCATATTTTTCAAAGGGTATACAGCCAGCATCATTCATCATTGACGACACCTGAGCTTTAGTTCCACGACAGGACTCATAGGGAGTATTAATCTCGTTGGTTTTTATAAGTAGTGCGCTTTAATGCTCTCAAAAAGGTGACATTTTATCCCCACTTGGACCGCTCAAGCAATGGCACAGGTGCCCAAAAACTCGACGTACGTATATTCACTTGAAGATCTCTTACCAACCCTCGGTTTTGAGAGTGTGCCATTGGCTGAACAGGTTTCATTAATAGGAGAACATTTCCTTTGAATACGGCTGCCGAAATACCGGCCATTGGGCTGGGTACCTGGCAGTCGAAGCCGAATGAAGTGAAACATGCCATGGAGACAGCTCTGAGGGCCAGGTACCGCCATATCGATGCAGCAGCAGCGTATGGGAACGAGCCGGAAGTTGGCGAGAGGAAGCGAGCATCTGGTGTGCCCAGAAGTGAGATTTGGCTTACAACCCATCTCCACAACCAATGGCACACTCGCGTCCAGGAAGCTCCTAAAAGCTCCGTGCGGTTACTCGGTACTGAATATATAGATCTCTACCTCATCCATTGGCCATTATTGACAGACTCGATGGACTTGAAGAAGCATCTGCCAGACTGGGACTTTGTAAATACGTAGGCGGAAATGCAGAAAATTCCAGGGACCGGAAAGGCCAAGAATATTGGTGTTTCCAATTCCGGCATTGGAAGGACTCCTTCAAAGCTCATCATGCAAGGTACAGTATCCCGCTTCAACCTTAGCCACTAGCACGTGTTAATCACTGTCCTAGATTACCCCGGCGGTGAAACAAATCGATCTCCATCCCAACAATCCTTTCCCAAAACTGGTAGCGTACAGCACAAGCAAGGGAATACACAATACCGGACACTCTTGCTGCCCGGACCGTATGTCGGATTTTCTCTTTAGAGTGTGCGTCAAATTCATCCTTCACGCCATGTCTGGATGTAAGGCTACGGTTAACAATTGTAATAGATTCATGGGCTTCGTTCATATTTGAATCACAGGAACTCAGACGTTTTGCGGTGGTAGGTTAGATTCCATGTGATACCAAGGTCGGAACAATAGAGACATGGGACGGTTGTGTGTACGATTTATTCTCCATTCAAGCATGATCTCGACCCTCTCTACAATGTCCGTCAACGCTCAAAGAGTATCGTCTGCAACCCCCACCAGCGTTCCAGTCTTCATCATCTCGACAAAGCCCTTAGGCGCATCTTCGGCGAAGAAAAAGGATTCGCTCTTCCTGCTCCTTGTGATAACATCAATGGCATACGGGAACATCTCTTTCTCGTACTCGGTAACGGCCTCGGTGGTAATACCGTACTTTTGCAAGCTGAGTGCAAGGTAAACTGAGTCGCGTAATGCGCAGTTGGCTCCGTCCCCAACGTAGGGAGTTGTGACATGGGCTGCGTCGCCAATCAGAGCAACACCTGGGACGGTCTCCCAGTTCAACGACTCAGGGGGGAAGTAGTATAGGAGCCAGGGCCAGAAGGGGCCCTCGGCCTTCTCAATGATCTCTTTGAACTCCGGACAAATGGTGCCGAATTGGTCGTCCTGGAGGAGGAACTTCTTGACGGCCTGTTCATCCCTGAAGTCAACGAGCTTGCCGGCGAAGTCTTCGTCGCCCTCGAACCCTATATCAATCCTGTAATGGCCGTCGCCTTGCGTTTGGTTGAACATGTGTTTCCTTTTGCCCATGACGATCATGGAGCCTTCCTTGGCCATGGATTTCATCTTCGGGTAGAATGGGTTGCTCGGGTTAATTTTTCCCGAGAGGTAGACATGGCGCGTGAAGATGGGCTTCACTGGATGGACCTGGAAAGCTTTGCATCAGCAGAAAGTCGTTTTCACGAGGGCAGAAAATGCATACCAGATGCCGAATCTTGCTGTTCACACCGTCGGCTCCAACCACCAGTTTAAACCCTGATCTCGTGCTCCCGTCGGCGAACTTCAGGACGACTTGCCCGTCTGCGCCTCTTTCTGCACTTTCAACCATCGTATCCCAGACAACCTTTTCCTTTGGGATTGCGGTAAGGAGCGCCTGCCGCAGCTTGAACCGATCAATCTCGGGCGCGTCGCGGCCCTCTCCCCACCCCGTCACTTGGTTGCCGTCAAAATCCCAGACCTCATGGATGGTGGCAGGTCCGTCTCGAGACATGCGCTTGAACTCATCGTAAACGCCCGCTTCTTTCATGGCGCGCTGGCCACTGCCTGGGTGGAGATCGAGACAGCCGCCGCGGGGAGGGACATGCTCGCTGCCACGTTCGTAAACGATGTAATTGCCGAGGCCTTTGCGCTCGAGAATGGCAGCCAGTGCAAGTCCGGATGGGCCACCGCCAACGATTGCGATCTCAGGAGTCATGATTTTAAGTCGAGTTGAGGATTTGAGCTTGAGAGATGATAACAAAATTATGGATACAATGGACCAGTTGTTCAACTTGGATTTAATACACACGACTAGCCAAGGACAACTACATGCTGCATTGCAGGAAGTACTCTGCGGGCGGACTTCGGGCCGCGAGGCTCTGCGGAAGGCTTGCGGAAGGCTTGCGGATGTAAAGTGTGCCCATCTTGCGGTGTGCGGGGCAGCGCTTGGTGGCCGTTGCCAGATAGATCCGCTTCACACGAGTACACATCGTTAATCTCGGCCTCGGACACTTGAACCACGCGAAAAGGGGCACATGCGGAGACGGCATGAATGGTAGCGGTGTTTAAGGTATACCAGATCTTCTATAGTGCGTACACGTAAGCATAAATTTGAGTATAGGATTCTTTAAGTCTAAATTGGCGGATCTACGTCAAGGATCGAGCGCATTGTTGACTGTGTTTATAATCGCCTCAGCTCGTAGAGTTAAAATCGAATTCAACTACAATTTGACTCTAATGTGGGAGTTCGTGCGCTTGTAACGCTGCTGCCATTGTGTGTGTTGCTGGCTTGATGCACCAATTGGAGAATTGTTGTCATTTCACGGAGTTAGGAGTTAGGCATTCGCGCTGTGCGGCTCGTCCGAAACGGAGGATCGCCGTTGAAATGCCCGAGTATATATAGGTCTCTGCGCGGTATTTATTGCGGGGGCGGAGATAAGGCGGAGTATGTATGAGGGGAATTCCGCCGGCGGGTTGCCGCAAAGAAGTTGCGGCGTTATTCAAGCTTATCTATTTTGCGGCTTCTCCGCTGCTTTCACATCCGCACCTACGTTTGCCATGTCCGCACCCCCGCACCCATCCGCCAAGCGAGTCCGAAGCGACGATGGCGATAGTCTCCAGCAACTATCCTCCAGGAAAAGGGCCGTGCGCAAGCGTGCAGCGGTAGCTTGCGAGGAGTGCCGCATCCGCAAGAGGCGGTGTGATGGCGCAGTCCCCGCATGTGGCGGTTGTGCCAAACGCATGTCAGAGTGCGTCTATTCCGCCGACGTTGAGGCTAGAGCGTGGCACAGCAGGTAAGAATGCTTTCAAGATAGCAGTGAAACTTGCTTATGATCGCCGCTAGTACTATCCAGTCCTTGAGGAATCGTCTACAAGAGCTGGAGGCGGCGGAATTGCCGCCACGAGAATCCCGCATGAACACAACTTCACCGTCTATTCGGGCGCCTGGGCGCAGCAGTATATCCCCAGAATTGACAGCCGCGCCAAATTCGGGCGTGAACAAGAGTACAGCCCCGCTTGCGGAACCCTCAGCGCGAACGCCATCCATTCTCAACCCGGTACCCCCGCAAGACCCTCCGGACTCGGGTACCGCTCCATCATCTCGCCAAACGTTGAATGCACAGGATGCGTCACCGTTGCCCTATGTCGAGCCACGCAGCTTCGAGCAGATGATGGAGCCACTGATCGGCGAGCAAGACGGCTCTGCCGAACCCACCATTGGCTGGCCAGGGGGCCCTGCAAATTCTGTGCCAGGTGGCGCCCAAAATGCGAAACTGCACTGCACGTGCGACCTCTCATTAAATACAACAGACTGGTCTTTACCTCTACGGCGGGCCTCAGATGCGTTGGTGGATGACTACTTCTCTAGGTTCCATCGCTTATACCCTTTTCTTCACCAACCCTCATTCCGACGGCAGTATGAGCGGCTATGGGCACTGGATTCGGGTACTACGGGCGATAACACAATGGCTTGCTCGGGTCTTTGCCGGCAAAAGAGTAGAGGAAAGCTTTTCCCAGCCATGTTGCACGCCGTCTTCGCCCTGGCCACTCTGACCATTGATCCCGCCTCACCCGGAAAGAACGCTCGTCGAGCTGAGGCTTTCTTCCGTCATACTCAGGCGGTAGACCTGTTGAATGTGCCCGATGATGAGGTTGGGATTGAACTGATTCAACTGGGACTTCTCATGGGCTTCTACCTGCAAAGCACCGAGAAGTTCTCCAGATGCTGGAACATCACTTATCTCACGATACGAATTGCTAAGAACATTGGATTGGAGCTCAGTGTAAGCGATCCCCGCAGAAGGGATTTTTTTGCATGGCGTCCGACCCAACTGGACTGCGAAATGAGAAGTCGTGTATGGCACGGATGCATTGTGCTGGAGAGGTATTTATCCTTCTCCGCATCTCTTTGTCTCTCCCACAGGCGCTTGTCTGGTTCAGACTTTCGACCCGAGTACCCAGCCAGCGCTCCAATTACTCCCCTGGCAGCCGGCGTCTCAGGATCTAAGCAGCTGCCCTGTATTACCTTGAAACAAAACTCTAATCGAGGTCAATAGGGAAGTAGCCATGTCATTTGGGTGTCCCTCAATGATCACTACGAGTGACACAAAGAGCAGACTGCCTGAAGCGATCGATGATTCTCGATTGAGCAGTGAGCCGGGCAAGTGGAATCCCCAGCCAAAGGGTCATCCCAGCTTGTTGGAATCATATATTCAAACGATTAAGCTTTACAACATCCTTGGACGAGTATTGAACCGAGATGAGCCGCAAGGTTTGTTGTCCGCCAGAGACAGCAAAGGAATACTGTCCGAGGCTGCGACAAAGGTTCACGCTATTTTGGAACTCGATACGTCGATTATGGAATGGCGGAATTCATTGCCTGACTACATCAAGTACCACCCAGACTCCACAAAATATAGCCAAGCGGGAGGTGTGGCTGCAGATGAGCTTTCAATTCCGTCTTTTGACTTATTCATCCAAGCGAAGAGGCTTTACCTGAGGTTTGAGTCTATCCTAAGCTCGTTGAACTGGACTGACGTGCTGAAGATTCCTACACATCCGCCTACTTATTTTGCGTCCTGGCCTGGAGCTTCTTTTTAAGAGGCATAGACGGGAAACAGCAAAGCCTCACCAACGGCTACTTGAAGCAAAACTTGAAGATGTGCTGATCAGCAGTATCGCTACGCAGTGTGTCATCACTTCTCAAAGCTTTATCAAGTTTTTTGACTCTGAGATACGATCACGCAACCTGGGGGCTTGGTGGTACGACGTGAGCTGTAAGTGCCAAGGACGCCGTCTGGTGAGGATTATGCTGACCATGTACAACATGGAGACTTGCACAGCTGTGCGAGCACGCTTTTGATGGCTCGGTTATGCACTTTCAGTGATAGCACCATCACAGATAAGTCCCTGTCAACTAGCTGGGACCTGTGTTTGAAATGTCTCTCTCGATACACAGAGATAAGTATGATCGCCAGAAAGTCCTATCGTCTTCTTCGAGAGAGCGCAAACCGAATGCTCCCGGAGGATCCTGTTCAGTCAATGGAGCTGGAGAGCAACGAATTGGCCAGTCATCCTATTGACAGCGACCAGAAGCCGAATCAGCGGGACGGAAGAAAACGAGGTCAACATATCCTCACGAATGAAGAAATTGCCCACCCGCAGATGACTCAGAGTCCAGAGAAGTTGGCTCAAACAGGAACCAATTCGCACGAGGATCCGTTGGGACAAACATGCGACATTCCATCGCCCGCTGCCCAGGTACAGCAGGGGTTGGACTGTACTCTAGAAGACGCCATTTCTAATTGGGATGACCTTGCCAGCGGATTTTGGGCTTCTGATCCCGCGGAGGCCTCGTACTGGTTTTTGAACCCGTATTTCTCCCAGCTTGACACTCTGCCACTCAACATGGATGGCATGAATGTTGTATCGTAGTTCACTCGAGACCATGACGTAGAATTGATAAAACTATCGTGATTGGCTTCGTCTACAATACCTATCTACAAAATCCAGACTTGTTGCATTTATGGGGCTTGGCTATCTGCTTGTCATTCTGCAAAATCCAGTGTGCGTCTTCACTGGTCATGGAGCCACTGCCGAAACCACACAACTGCCGCATTCTTTGCCCTCTCTAAGCCCTTCATCTCAGGAGGGTTTGTGGGATCGCCTCGTATGGCGAAGCCATGCTCAAGGCCTGGAAAATGCTGGTAATCATAGGCAATGCCCAAGGTGGGAATAACCTGGTTGCTATAGGCCTTGAGCTCCTCTGTGAACACCACATCCTTTTCAGGAGCCAGAATCTGGACTGGGACGCCAACATTTTCGATCTCGTGCTTCTCGAGGAGGCTTGGATGAGCGGTGGAAATGCAGTCAACCAACTGGTTGCCTTTAGCTCCAAGACGGAAGACAGCCCAGCCGCCGAAGCAAAATCCGATTGCTCCAACACGACCGTATTGATCGCGTAGGGCTTTCGCGCAGGCGAAGATCTCCGGTTCCCGTATAGTCTTGGAGTTGCGAACCATGAAGGATGGAATATCGATTTCGCCCCATCGGCTTTGATCCGAGACGATCTCGGCCGGAACGACTTCACCGCCGAAGCTGTATTGCCAGCAAATATTAGCAAGGTTTCTACTGAATATGACTTGGAGTGGACTTACAAGTCGGGGACGTAGACGGTGGCATCAACCTCCTGGGCGTAATGATCCGCCAGGATTCGTGTGTTTGAGAACGTCCATCCATAAAGGTCGTGGATGATCATGATGGCCACACTCTGGTTTGACCCCGTGACATAGCAGTCAAACCCGCCAAGTTTGGCATCTCGGCCTTTTGGTTTGTCGTTCCACCGGAAACCTTTGATACAACAGTCTCCCATGTTGAAAAATGCAAATTGCTTCAGCCGCAACCGGTCAGTGTTGAGTGCGGGTTTAACACGTAATACTTGGAGGTGCGTGAGAATGGGTCGGGGTTTTGAGAGCACATAAAGCATCCGCCGTAGCCGTACCCTCGGGGTTTTTCGGACGCGCCGGACAGCCACTCGGCCGCACCGGACAGCAGCACGGACGCGGATCCGCAACAACGATGCATCATTGTTTCACCGGGAGCTACCCGCCTTAACTCCGCAAGCAGAAACCCCAGTGCTTATCAAGCAGGACGAGTCAAGTTTGTAAAGGATGACACTGTGTGGCTAAGTTCTAGCTCACGTCTTCACGCAATGGCTTCTTGGGGGTATTAGTTGCTGATCTTTGGCAGCAGAGCAGCATCAGGTGAATTACAATAAGAACCCTGCCTCTTTACGAAGGTTCCGCCCGCCTCGTCTATGGCTCGAGACAATGACCATGTCGCATTCGGAAAGTTCAACTACACCAACGGAAAGCAGACACTCATTTGATGAGGAGAAGCTGCCCGAAACAGCACCACAAGAAACAGTGGAACAAACAGGCTGGGATGGGCCACAGGACCCAAACAACCCCCAGAATTGGCCGGTTTCGAAGAGATACGGCCATGTAGCTCTTGTCAGTATACTCACTCTTCTAATGTAAGTTAAATGAGCTCCGAGGCAGCGACGGATGGTTCTAAATTGTGTGCTCTCAGGAACCTCTCGTCCACGATATATGCACCTGCCGCCAAGCTACTCCGAGATGACTTCGACATCCATAGCAGCACAGTCAGCACCCTCACGACGAGCATCTATATGCTTGGTTTATTCGGCGGTCCGATTATCGTGGCGCCAATGTCTGAGATGTTCGGCCGGCTCCCCATTTATCATGTCTGCAACGCAGTATTCTTGGCCTTCACCATCGCCTGTGCGACCAGCACCGACACCGGCATGTTCCTCGCGTTTAGGCTCCTGGCTGGTGTGGCGGGCTCTGCTCCGCTCACCATTGGAGGAGGGACAATTGCAGACATCATACCCAAGGAAAAACGGGGTGTAGCGATGGGAATGTTTGCCTTAGGGCCCACACTGGGCCCAAGTCTGGGGCCCATCGCAGGCGGTTTCATTTCACAGTCAATCGGTTGGCGATGGACATTTTGGGTACTTGCTATTGCGGTAAGCATTTGTCACATCTCACCTTGGTGCCGTTTGGCTGGAATCTGACCAGTCATAGCACGGCACGGTCGCGTTGATTACCCTTTTGTTCATGCGAGAAACTTTTGCCAAGGTCCTGCTGCAAAAGAAAGCCAAGAAACTTGCGGCGTCAGCAACAATCAGGCACGAGAAGGACACAAATGCAAGGCAGTTGCTCCTCGCCTCATGTGTTCGACCCCTTATGATGCTGCTCTTCTCCCCAGCGGTCCTCTTAATATCACTTGCAGTTGCCTTTTCGTTCGGGCTAGCTTTCCTACTCATAACCACTTTTTCCTCCGTCTTTCAGAACCAATATGGCTTTTCTCTAGGGATCTCTGGCCTCAGCTACCTTGGTATGGGGTCCGGAATGCTGGTCGCCGTAGCTATCTTCAGCCTCACCAGCGACAAAGTTCTCCGCTGGCATGTGGCGAAAGGTTTTGTTGAGCCCGAGAACCGCTTAGCAATGATGGCCGTGTTCACTCCAGTCATGCCAATTGGATTCTTTTGGTATGGCTGGGCGGCTGATGCAAAGACACATTGGATCGTGCCTATTATCGGAGCTGCATTTGTTGGATTCGGTAGTTTGTTTGTCATGGTGAGTACTCGAGTGTCTTTGCGCGTAGGGAAATGTTTCTGACCATCTTGACGTAGATGCCGGCGCAGCTCTATCTCGTGGACGCCTTCGGTCCCGCACAAGCCGCCTCTGCACTTGCAGCGTTAACCATGCTGCGTTCGATATTTGCTGCCTTTCTTCCCTTAGCAGGACCTCCTCTATATGAAGCACTCGGATTGGGATGGGGAAATACATTACTAGGACTCTTAGCTCTCGCCTTTGTCCCTGTTCCAATCCTCTTTTACAAATACGGGACGGTGTTGAGGCAGAAGTTTCCCCCAAAATTCTAGATGGCTCTCTACTTCTGCATAGTTCAGCGGACTCGCTTGGTGCGCCGCAAAGGATAGTATCAGCCTATAGATGCTCTGTAGTACTCCTAGTGTAATCAAATAAACATAATGATGGACTCACGTTGGCTCTAAATGATTATGAATACCACCTTCTAAAAAGGAAAAGGAACTGGATATTTCGATGGAGAACATACTGTCCCTGAGTATTTGTAATGCACTATGTAAAACTGCCGGAGAACGCCAGGAACCACGTCGTAACCAGGGAAGTGACGTGCCAAAGCCAGATGCCTTCACATAGGCAGGATGAAACCCAGAATGATCGAATCGTAGAACTCAAGCATCTATCCAGGATGGGTTGCAGCAGCAGACTGTGACAGTCCACCCAGCAGAGAATCATCCCAGGTCAATGCAAATGTGCTCCCGTATATTGAATCAAAAAGAGCCGTGTCATCGCTGAGGGACCCGTTCCATCCGTACCAATTGCCGCCGTTGGAAGATTCCCAATGTCACCCGTCATGATCTCGTCAACAAAGCTGAAATGCCGTGGTGTTGCTGAGGGTGCTGTCATCTTGTTTGATTTGGAATCCCTCCATGTCTAGAAGATGGGGAACCTCGACTGCTGCTTCACCAGGGCTGAAGCTTGGCTCGCGTCTGCCTTGTGAAGGTATAGCAACGTTTACATCATCCTCATTTTCGTGTGCTGGAGTCCATCTCTCGACAATGCCTTGCAACACATATACCGCTTGTGCGCAACTAGATACAAATGCCCCATCTCGGTAAGGGTAGAGATACATTCATCGAGAAGTAGACTGTGATTCTGATTCTTGGTCAATGTCAAGTTGACAAAATGAATGGTGGCGACAATGAAACTCCAATAGACGGTTTGCACCGGCACCTACCTGATGCTGTAGTCTTGCTGGTATCATACACAAGCTTTGAAATGTTGGTTCTGGTGATCATGCAGGTCTTTATGGATCTTAGTGGCTCATCTAATTCTTACGGTAAGTCTTGAACGATTCTTAAATACTACGGAAATGGACGGTGGACAAGAATAAGGGTCATGTAAAATTCCATGCTATCGGATTGGTTAGTTGACGGTCTGGGGGACTGGCAGAGAAAGGCTTATTGCAACGTCAGAATGTAAGGAGAAAGTAGGACATTCTCATTTCCACAGGCCCAAAGAAGCTTACCCGGGAGTGTTTAATACCATTGCCAGAGCTGTGTACACTAAAAGGTCTCCTGGTCAAGGACAAATGCATGTGAATGTTGCAACGCCTAGAATAAGTCGAGCAGGCGAGAGACAATGGTCTACTGTTCAGGTGAGACCTCTGCAGCTCTAGCCTTTTGGCTGATTTCTGCTTCTCCGCTGGGAGTATTCGCATTGACTTTATAGATCTGAAGGCGGAATTAACCTTCGGAATATTGGAATAGGCTGGTGGGTCCAAAATACACATCATTCCCGCTGTCACACCCCAACAGGCCGCCTGCAAGTGCAATAACCTCGTCTATGGCAGTGGGGAAGTCTTCCAATGTACTCTGATAATGGATTTGAGGCTGATGTGTCTTTGCCATTATTCTCGAATTCGATGCTGCTGTGGTGTGAGAGAAGGGACCATCGGAAGTTGCTGTGCTTGAGAATTATCTTTCTTGATAACTCTATGCTTCCACCATTGATAATGGTTCCGCTGTCATGTTCATCTTCTTCTCGTATTGAACCTGCGTTGCCGTTGGAGCACCCCCTAACCAAGCTCCCCAAGACCGCAATATGGCTCTGTAGCTCTTTGTTAAGCATCTGACTTCGCCGACGCCGCTTCTATTTACCATACTACACCCTGCACTCCTAGTTGCGGTGATGGCATACTGTGTATGGCTGCCTTGATCCACTGTGAGATGTCATCTCCCATTATCCTTTTTTACACCGATCGCATTTTCGAAATTAGGGCGGCTACTGTGGCCACTCCGCAGTCCTGGGTAGTCTTGATTTGCCATGGTGATTCATGATACCTCTTTGCGTGAGTAAAGAGTTTGGTCGAACGGCCGGCCGTCGGAGCGAAGTGAGAGACTATTGATCCACTTCCACGTAGGAATCCTATTTTCCCGCAAAACGGAAAAATCTCTAAGCAAATTAGTGATCAGCATTGGAGCACTGCCATTGGCTCATGACTGTTTCCTGTGAAGCGCCACATCTTGGATTGCCCCGCCCTTCGGAAAAGCGGCAACTCATTTTTCATTTTTTCATTTTCCTCACTTTCGGTCGAGTCAGCCCATGGTGTAAACTTGAATCCACCACTTCTCCATTTAAGCAGATTTTTCCAGTAGTAAGGATACTGATAGATAAGATGCTGTCAACGTAAAAAAAAAATGAAAGAAATGTAGAATTCAATGGGCTATTGATACTTAAACAAATCACCCACGCCAGACCGCCTCAATCACTGCGAAGAAGTTCTGCTGCGGGTTTGCCTTCACGTTGGAGACTTCGAAGCGCTCATCTGCAAGCTTGAAGATGTTCTTCCAAGCATCAACCGGACGCTCCTTTGCGTTGAACAGCGCCATGAGTCTCAGATCCGTAGCCGTTCCCATCTGCTGGATGGACCGCGGCAGGGCTGGACCATCGCCAGACTCGTCATGGCTGCCGATGTACTCGAAGAGCAGCACGCGAGCGCCAGGCTTCAGCGACGGCACCAGGGCGCGCAGGATCTTGGCGGCTTCCTGGTCAGGCCAGTCGTGCAGAATCATCTTGAACATGTAGACGTCGGCCTCGACCGGCTGCGGCTCGAAGAAATTGTGCTCCATGAAAGTCACGCGGTCCTTGAACTCTGCTGGCACGCTGGCGTCGAATTCAGACTTGACCTTTGACAAGTCCTGCACCGTGACAGTAAGGTCGGGGAATTCGCGCGCCAACACAACTGCATCGTGGCCTGCTGAGCCGCCAACCTGTTGGTTGATGTTAGCCAGACTGACAAGCGGCCTCCAGATTGATTTCATACTCACATCGACGACTTTAGCTTTTCCAACCGACTTCCAGTCATGAGCATCCAGCACCACGCCTTCAAGGTGGAAGATTTCCTTGACGTAGCGCATGAACTCGACGAAATTCCTCGACCGCCAGCCCTTCTTCTCGCCCTCGCCGTCTTTCTCGAGAAGATCCCACGAGTTGGCGTGCTGGCCGTAGATGCCACCGCTGTGGAAGAGCGCGAAGGCAGTCTGGCTCATATCCTGCGTCAGCTCGGGCTTGCCGCGGTTGTAACGCTCCAACGCCTCGTTCAGAACCATCATCGGGGCACCGGCGTCGTCGAGAATGGTCGAAGTGAGGGCCCTCAGTCCAGAACTGCGAGCCAGCGCCGCCGAGCGAGACGTGTGCTGCACGCGAGTCGTCTTCTTGCCGGGCTCCGTCTCGGAGAAGATCCGCAGGGTTGCACCGTGCTGGATCACACGTTTAACCACGTCCTCCGGCAGGGACACGTGCTGCGCAATCTCGGCGTAGGATGCGGAGCCCTCCAGGGGCACAGCGGACCAGAAGTTGAAATAGTTCAGGACATTGAGGCAGGCAGCGTCGGGCATGCACTGTGGATTGGAATTAGCACGGTGGATGTCTTTGCTGCAATCGAGGACTTACGCAGTGGACGTAGTTGAAAATACTCTCGCTCGGACCCTGCGTAAGGTACCACATGTCGTTCAGGTTGTCCAACAGCGCCTGGCGTATCATGAAGATTTCCGGCGACAGATTTGAATAGCTGGTAGGGCTATCTGCCGCAAAGGTCGGCGCTGGGACATTGTTCTCCTTGAGGTACTTGGTCAAGGTCTCGGACAGCTCAGTGATCTTGGCCGCGAGGCTAGTGAGCGTCGGTTGTTCGTCTGCCATTTTGAACTGCGACATGCACCAAAGCAAACTTGATTGCTATTCAAGGTCTATTCGGCAGAGAACAGGGCTATTTCTACTACAAATTACCCGGGAAACAACCCTATCGCTTAACGTCCGGGAAGGCCGCAATCGGACCACCACATTTTGTAGGAGAGGAAGGTGGCAGGGAACCCAGGCGTCGACTTACCTATCTGATAAGATTCTCCACTTGCCCCACGTCGCCAAGAACCTATCGCATCCAATACCGCCTGCTCGGGCTTGGCAAATGCAAGATGAGAGAGAGAGGGGTCGTTTGGATCATCTGATAAGATCCTTCTATCTTTGCAGCCACATTCTTGGCATAGAGTCAGGTTGCCTGCATTGACGTGGGAGTGGGGTTGCGAAATGAATAGAGGATACGGCCAATCACTAAACCTTGCGCGGTAAATATAGTCGGGACATAGTCGGGATCGCGAAGACCTGCTAAAAACCTGAATTCCAAGAAGGTCAACGTCACTTTGGAGATCCGTACTTAAATCGCCTGATCGTTATTGACCGGAGTACCTGCTATTGGCTGGGATCTTTGTTTAATTCTTCGGACTTTACGGGCCGAGAAGGTTTTGGTTCTCGGACCCCGAGCTTAAGTACCTGAGCCGGTGTCCGCAGTGTAGAATCTAAATTTTACCAGCGACTCGCGCTCCTCTCTCCATTGAGCACCATTCTCCGAGAAACATTTGATGATCGAGGCACAGAGTCAATTAGCTGCAGTTCCAGGCCCGTGCGCCCCGAAGACCCTACTGGCCAGCCCCGATGAAGCGTGCACCTATTCCTGAGCCGGCACTGAGGCTCCGATACTCGCTCTCTGGGCCCACCATCAATCTCTAGTGCAATACGAGGTAGTGTGCCATGATTCCTGAGGAGTGGTATGGTTACATTCGGTAGGGCTCGTGCCGGCACTTGTAGAATCCTTGACTTCGGGAGTTGCCATGCGTCGTTTGCAACCCCAGTGCAGTGATGTGCTAATGATGAGCGCGGAGGGACACCCCGCATTCCCATCGATAAGGGTTATCGCAGGTGATGTCAGTGCAAGCGAGAGGCTAGTCCAAATAAGGCCGACGCCCGGGGCAGGTGGGCCGAGCGGACAAGCGAAGCTTCCCCTCAACATCGTGTGTTGTTCACACACGACAGCACCGCATCTTCCTTCTTCACCATCACAGTTCAGCGTTGATCTTGCCGCATCTGTTTTCACCGCCCTGTTACGTTTCTCAGGGACATCAAAGTCCTGTATTGACTGCTCGGCCGACCTGTACTCATATTCAGTTGTACCCCTTATTGGCACTCCCTTACGTGTCACTCAGGCGCGTACCGGCCCTTTCCGCAAGTCCGTGCGCTATTCCTGTTCCTGCTCTACGTTTTGTCTGTTTGGAGCAAGCCCTGGATTCGGAAATCTACTTTCAGTACGCCAATTCTATCACACTTTACTCAATGTCGCCGTTCGAGTCCCCTCCACATGTTCATATTCACGGCCGAGAACCGTCGCTTGACCAGCTCGTCAGAGAGCCTGTTTTGATGGGATGGCGTGACCCCATGAATGGACAGTACCAGCACGTGGGATGCCTGCAGGACACTGGGCAGTCAAACAGGGGGAACCTCGTCATGTGGATCGGAAGGTCCTCGACCCACAGCGGACAACGTCTCCTCATCAACTTCTGCCTTCCGTTCAGCACTCGATCCACGCTGCACAGATCCAAGAAAGAAATGTTTCTGGTCGTCCCGGCTGAGCGTCTCCATATGGATCTTCGCCGCGTGGATGCCGATGGACTGCCTGAAGGTACTCTTTCTCAGCTGAAAGGGGCTGGACCGGCAGCTTTAAGAGAAGGTGTCTTGCAGGCACGCTTTTCCCTCAGTAACCCGGCATATGTTGTCATGCCAAAGCTCCGGAGGCCGTTGGCGACGCCTTTGACCGGCGTTCCGTCCAGGCTGATGTCATCCATGAGGTCCTTGTCCGGCGTTCGAGAGTTCGATGTGTACTTGTCTCGCGGGACTGTCGAGCTTGAATTGCAGGTTATCCGCTCCATGCTGAACCAGGGTGATGTCGAGACGCCGGAACTGGACTTGAATGCCACGTTCAGCGGTGGATTCGGCGGCGGGAAGAATCTATGGCAAAGCTACCCTTGCGAAGAGAAGGACAATTCATCGTGGAACCCGCTGATTGATAATGATCCTCCATCGTATGAGAAGATGGCCATGCATGCAGACGTCCACGCAGACCCATGCGCCATCTTGAAAGAGACCAGGCAACGTCTCTGCAAGAAGCCCGCCTCTGAGAATTTGTCGGGCGGTGTACTCAACCGCGTCAGGCCTTCTGCAGAAACTGCGCCCACGCGGAACTTGGAGCCAGAGACAAAGAGAATTCCTGGGATGCATGGCCACAAGCGTAAAGTCAGCGAAGCTATCTCGGACTACGAAAAACAACATTTGGGGAAGCGTGATTCTGGCGAAACTACACCGGAGAAAGTCAAGGAAGCCCCGGCCCCGGCCCAAAGAATTGCCCCGACCCATCAGAAACCAGCTGGTCCTCAGCCCTACCGCCATTCTTCTGGCCCAGCAGCGCCGTATAACATCCCACTTGCCGGAAAAAGCAAGACAGTCAACGAACTCGAGCGCTACAAAGAACTCTCCATCTCCCGCTCCGCAGCAACCGGACCCAACACTACAGCGCCCGCCCCTCCCGCCCACAAGACAGCGTACCACAACCGCGCCACCTCGAACCCGCTACCGCAAGCAACAAAATCCGCACCCCTGCCCCCCCTCCCAACGCCCCCACCATCCGCAACAGCCGACCACCAGGACACTTCGTCCACGCCCCTCCACCTCCGCGCCGCCGTCATCGAGTGCCTGCACGCCCGCGACGCGCACTCGTCGCTGTCCGACCCGGCGCCCTTGCACACGCCGCACCTCTTCCTCGAGCTGGCCGAGTTCATCGCCACGGCGTCGCGCATCGACCCGCACGCGCACGAGACGCACAGCGCGCTGCTGCTCGCGCTGGGCGCCGCCGCGCGCGAGGGCGACGTCGGCACGTTCGACGCGAACATGCGGCTGTGCCAGCAGCGCGTGCTGCGGGACGCGTGGGAGCTGCGCGGACGCGGACGCGGCGGACGCGGAGGACGGGAGGACGTGGCGGAGGAGTTGCTGGGGGAGTGTCTGGCGCTGCTGGATTGGCTGAATGGGAGCGTGTGCAGGATTGCGGGGACGGTCATGATGGGGATGCTGGTCGGGTTGGGGGCCGGGCTGATGGCGCAGGCGCAGGCGTTTGGGGGGATGGGCGGGGATGCCGAGGAGAGGGCGAGGAGGGAGTGGGCGGAGAACTTGGCCAAGGTGAGGGCGGCGGCGTTTTGGGCGTTTGGGTAGGGTGGTGCGTTGGGGGTTTCTGCATCGGCAAGTATCAGTGAAGCATCATTTTCTGTACTATTGACGAGGAGTTAGACGTCTGGGTAGAGATCTTGGATAATTGGTCGAAGTAATGAAGTACGGTAATGAGGGATGGAAACGGTAAAGAGGACTACGCGTAATGCCTAAACAAGTAGAAGCAAAGCAGAGTCGATTAGTATTCTCACAAGAGAGCTATTTCTTAATGTACTTTAATACAAATATATTTCTGTTAAAAAGCCTATTGCGGATAGAGATATTTCGTAGTTTACCGGTCAAGATTTTAGAAAACTGAATTTAAGTGGATGGATGAGTATGCATGATGAAGGTAAATCGTAATCGCACAGTTTAGGTCTTCACTCACCCCCCGCTTGATCACCTGGTGAACCTGTACCACCAGCAAATTTATACTTAAATATATACATTTAAGAACAGCACTCGGATCTTGTCTTATTACATAAATGCCGGGAGAACAGCGCGCATGCACTGTATAGCTGGATTGTCGTCCGTATTTAGAATGGAAAGAGACACAGTTAAATCTTATCCAACTCTGCTCCTTTCATCCTCTGGTATAAATGGCGGTCAAAACCGTATTGGTGAAACAGTCATTATCTGCCTTCTTCCAGACCGCTGACGAAAAGGAAGCGGCCCCCATGGGCTGTGGCGCAGCACGGACCTGGTGCCACTGGAAGTCTCCATTCAGACAATGGCCGGTAACATACAATCCTTCGCGCGGAGAGACCTTGGAGATTTAATGTCGCTTATGCAGGGGTGATCCTGTTCGACGTCGCTTGATAAACAAACAGCCGCGTCTCTCCCACATCGCACATCTTCTCTCATCAACTTTTTTTTTGCCACTTTCTTCTCACAATGGCACCCGGCGCCCTCCTTCCAGAAGACGCACAGCGCGATGCGGAATTCCAGAAGGCAATGCACGGAAAGTCGGCTGAGGCTCGCCATGCCTTCTTGTCGATGTTGAAGAAGGACAATGACGCGCATCGCATCATCACTGATGAGTACGTGCAGCGCTGGGCCAACGACGAAAAGTACAAGACGGTCGAGGAGGCGCGTGAAGCTCGCAAGGCCGAATACATGGGCCTGGTCAATAAGTAAAACCCCAATTGCTATGACACCCGAGTACAAATAATCTGACGCGTGATGCAGCTACTACGACCTGGTCACGGATCTTTACGAGGAAGGCTGGTCCCAATCGTTCCACTTCTGCCGCTTCGGCGTCAATGAGGGATTCTTGCAGGCACTTGCTCGCCATGAGCACTACATGGCGCACCGTCTCGACCTGCAGCAGGGCATGAAGGTTCTTGATGTCGGCTGCGGCGTCGGCGGTCCCGCTCGCGAGATTGCCCTCTTCGCCGGCTGCGAAGTCACCGGCTTGAACAACAACGGGTACCAGATCGAGCGCGCCACGGCCTACGCAAAAAAGGCGGACCTCGCCAACCTGGTGTCCTTCGTCAAGGGCGACTTCATGGTATGACGTTCTCAAGATCCCCCCGCACGCTCAAACATTAATACCCCTCAGCACATGGACTTCCCCGATAACTCCTTCGACGCCGTCTACGCCATGGAAGCCACCGTCCACGCGCCGACGCTGCAGGGCGTCTACGAGCAGATCTTCCGCGTGCTCAAGCCGGGCGGCAAGTTCGGCGTCTACGAGTGGGTCATGACGGGCCGCTTCGACGAGGCCAACGCCGAGCACCGCGCGGTGCGCCTGGGCATCGAGCGCGGCAACGGCATCGCGCACATGCGCCCGCGCGCCGACGCCGTCGCCGCCATGCGCGCCGCCGGCTTCGTGCTCGAGCTCGAGGAGGACCTCGCCGAGCGCCCGGATCAGGTGCCGTGGTACTACCCGCTGTCGGGCGAGTGGCGGTACACGCGCACGCTGTGGGATTTCCTGAGTGTGGTGAGAATGTCGTGGCTCGGACGCACGGCGATGGGCGGGTTGTTGCGCACGCTGGAGGCGGTGCGCGTCGCGCCGCGTGGCACGGCGCAGACGGCGGACGAGTTGGCGGCGGGTGCGGAGAGCTTGGTTAAGGGTGGGAAGATGGGGTTGTTTACGCCCATGTACTTTATGATTGGGAAGAAGCCCGTGGCGTGAGTTCAAGGGGAGGGGGTGGTGTGAGAAAGATGACACTTACGGGAGATAACTAATAATTAAAAAACCGCTTCTTCTCCGCTTTCTTCTCTCGCAACACTGACTTGAAAATCCCTTCCTTTTCCTGGTCTGGCGCTTTGTCCAATGTTGTTCTCGTCGACGCCCTGGCCATCAGGCCTCTGATCGTCACCGGCTCGGCCCGCCACGCTGAATTTTTGCGCAATGTGCACCTCCAGCTCCGGGGTTGCCTTAATTTCTCCAGATCAGAGATTGGTGATCACAAGAATCCGATGGAACTCGTCCACGTCGTCGTCACCGTTGCCGCATTGCTATCGCGCCGCCAGCCTGCGAGCATCGTCAGCTGGGCGACCATCAGCCGGCCCATTTTGTGAAACTTGGCTGCAATGCCCTTCAGGTCGCACGTCTTCGGTATCGCAATCGGCAAGCAAGCGAACTGACTCAAGTGGGCTCCATCAGCGGGTTCGGCACACTCTCAATTTCTGGGGGAATTGTAAGTTGCTAAGATGTTTCGCTGATTGAGAAATTGAGTAGCATTGAGAAGTGGCTGGGTAGCAGAAGAGCGACTGCAACGTAATGCCTCATGCACGCTGCATCCATCGCATTGACAGGCCCACCCCACGTCAGCATCGTCTCACGTTGGCCCCCACCATCTCGCCTCCGCAGATAGGGCACTGGCTACGCCGAAAATCCTGCAACTGCCTATTCCGGATGCTTAGTCCGCCACCCCACCAGGCAACTACGCCAAAATACCTATGTTTTATCGCTTGCCGATAACTTGGTAGGCGCTCGCTTCTTCTATTTCCGCCTGCCTACGCTTAACGTGGCTTGGAATATTAACACGCGGCCAGTCCGAATTTTTCTGTTCCTTCCGTCACTCAAAGGCTCCACTCCATGCCCTTGCATTCGTCCTGTTTTACAATTTCGAAGTCAAGCGCCTTACCGGGCGGTGTTATTGAAGCCGCCACGGATTTCGGGTTGAGTTTCGGATCGGCCCAGACTCCAGAAACATACGCCGGCAAGCGATAGGATTTCCCCACTTCCGGAGTATCTTCCGGGACACGCGTTCCAAGAGGCGCGAAACGGCATGTAGGCCGCAGTCCGCTTGCTCTTCCTCTGACTGTCGTTCAAGAACCAAGTCAGGTCGAAATATTGCGGGCTTTTCCCCTGAGCCGAACCGTGACAATTGGTTGTCGGCGCCGATATCTGCAGCACGATCTCCACTTTGAGGATATTCCAGTCGTTGAGCATCAGATCCTTCGTCAGCATCCGCGTGGGGGCTCCGTTTAATGCAACTCATGTTCCTGGGAGCTCGCCACAGGGAGCTTGCAGTTCTCCCGGATACCGGTCATGTCTACCACATTTAGACCGGAGTTTTCCATCACCAACAACCTCATACTGCGCCTCGTTCCTGATCTGTTGCAGCAGATTGGGCCAAGAGAAGATGTCGAGAATGTGGGCGGCTCCGTACTGGACGTAATGCCAATTCCTACTGCTGCTTCCAGCCTGGCAATGTCTTCGGTGCGTTCTCCGCTATCGTGCTGCACCTTTCATCCGCTATAAGCCACCCCCGAAGAGCCGTACTCCCCACCAGCTACGCAGTACTTTACAGTGTATATTTCTGCCGTGAAAGCTTTTCTTGGCGTCACTCTCGTCACCATCTTCACCAGCAGCGGGGGAAGGTCTGGCTCGACGATTCAGGCATCATCTGTCAATGAAACTCCGTCGTAATTCGACAGGCAGTAACTAGGAAAATATTCAAGGATATGACTCGGTGGTTGCGTTGCACAGCTGCCACAGTTGCTGGCGAATTCACCAATGTGCGTTGTTGCTGAAGAGATGGGCATCAGCATCCTGCGAAATCTACTGGCTATGGATGCTAGCACGCCATAGCAGACAATTTTGAACGCATTTCCAACGAATGGAATCTTTGGCTGAATAAGAGGAGCTCTCTCGTATCATAACTGCAAGTGAAAGAATACAGGAAACGTGCAAGACGCATGGCAAACAGAATGGTAGGAGCAGAAATAAGGTGTTCCATTGCTGAAAAGCATGTGAAAATTGCTGAGTAAGATTTCTAGAATAGCCAGAATCCCCGTCGCCGAATTAATGGTCCGAAAGGTGCCGCAGGGCTGGTACCGTGTGCGGGAGGTGCCGGATCGGGAGCTCCGCTCCACGCGCTCGCAGCGAAGCCGATAAAGGATCCGATCCTTCGAAATCCTCTTATCGGTACCATGTAAGATGTAGGGCTCCAGTGCCAAGGATTGGGATCCGGTATGACTGCATTCGTGGAATACTGGATGTACCACCAGCCCTCTCGCCGGTGGCTACACGGGACACCGCACCCAGGCCCACTTCGCCTTCCTGCGCCTCATCCCAAGTTCAGCTCGCTTCTGCGTAAGCTCTGAAGACCCTGCTTAGCCTCCAAATTAAGAAGCATCCGGCGGCGGCTACGGCGAAGGGTGCAGAAGTCTCGTCGGCAGATGCTGCATCCCAATCATTAGCGTGTTGGCTTTTTCCCCGAGAAATACTGTGCTTACCCGCTTGAGGAAGGTTGAATAATACTTCACTTGCGAAAGTCGACATGTTGGCTGGATGAAGTGAATGAGTTCTTGGTCCACGAGGAGCTGGGACCTTTTCCTCAATAAATAATCCGTATGCAACGCAGCTGAACACCATCTTGACCATCTGACATAATACACGTATCGAGCCTAAAGTTCCAATAGCTCGGATGCATGCATCAATATCTTTTTTTGACCTCAGCCATTCGATAGCTTCGCTTCCTCCAGCGGCTTTGGCTGAAAGGATCCAGGTACGAATTGCTTCGCATAGTGTTGGATCAGGCCAGCGCCCGCCCCCAAAGTCAGACTTTCTGCCACATGCTGACGCTGGTAAGCCACTGTTGCCTGGTGGTTTGCTTCGATTGGTACGGTCCTTAGAATGTGACTCTGCTACAGTGTGGATCCGTTGCTGACGCGGAACTATCGGGCGTTGCGGGCAGAGAGTGTTATCAATATCAATAGCTACCTCGTCCCTCAAGCTGTGCTCTGCAATCACTTCCTCACTGTTTTCGCAGTGAGTCCTTTTTCTCTTCAATCATGATACCCAATCAGACACAGGCATCACTCGAGCCCCAACCTCTCTCCGGCACGAGTGACCATGTCGTATTGTCACTTCGCAAAAGCGTTTTGGCCACGCTTGCGGAACATCCCCTCGAGACGTTTCTAGCGGCCGCATGTCTATTACTTGCCTTGTACATGGTCGACACCCTTCGAACACGCTTCTTCCACTTGAACGTATTCCAGGGACCAAGTTGGGCAGCCTATACAAGACTCTGGCTATGCAAGACATTGGCATCGGGCAGCTCAGCACAGATCTTCGTCGATGTTAACAAGAAGTACGGCCCAGTGGCACGCATCGGGCCAAACAACCTGGTAACAGACGACCCCGAATTCGTGAGACGGATACTTGCAGCTCGATCTCACTACACCCGTGGTCCGTGGTTCGATTCCATCAAGATTGACCCTCACGTGTCCAACATCGTGTCCGAGAGGCATCCGGGCAGGCACAACCATCTCCGGTACCAGATGTCCGCTGGATATGCCGGCAAGGATATCAGCGGTCTGGAGTCGACGGTCAACGAGCGCATCTCCACCTTCATCAGGCGCATCGAGGACAACTGGCTGTCAACGCCCGAGTTCACGAAGAGGTTCGACATCGCTAAGAGAATACAATACCTTGCCGTCGACATCATCACGCATCTCGCATTTGGGAAGCCGCTTGGCTTCGGGGAGGCCGACGCGGACTTGTTTAACTTCCTTTCCACCATCGAGATGCAGCTTCCCATTGTGCAGCACTTCTCGGTCATCTTGGAGCTCAACGATCTGCTGGCTTGGGTGGCCAAATTCAAATGGTTGAGGAGGTTCATTGTGCCATCTTCGAAAGACAAAAAGGGCATCGGCATGATCATGGGAGTATGCTCTCACCGACTTCCCCTCAATCCATTTTCGAACTGCTGCTAAAAAGCTCCCAACAGATCTCCCACGAGGTTATCAAGAAGCGTTTTGGGCCTTCAGCGGAAAAGAAGAAAGACATGCTCGGCTCCTTCATCTCCCGGGGCTTAGACGCCGACGAGGTGGAGATGGAAATATCTATTTCACTGTTCGTGCAAATCCAACCAGCCAACCCAAGAGAAGCAAGCTGACGAATACCTTTAACAGAGTTGCTGGGTCTGACACCACGGCCACGGCGATGCGTTCGACACTCCTCTCGATCATCTCGACCCCGCACGTCTACTCCCGTTTGAGGCAAGAGATCGATGATGCCATCTCACGTGGTGAAGTCTCTTCGCCCATCACTGAGGAAGAGGCGAAGCGTCTGCCCTACCTTCAAGCCGTGCTCAAGGAAGGTCTTCGCCGCTTCCCGCCGATCACGCAACTGCGTGAGCGCATGGTGCCACCGGAAGGCGACTGGTACGATGGAAAGCACATTCCCGCAGGCACCTTCGTGGGTCTGAATGCGTGGGGTCTCCAGCTGAACCGTGTGTTTGGTGATGACCCTGAGATATTCAGGCCGGAGAGATGGCTCATCGACGACCAAGACCGGCTTCGTCGCATGGGTCAGGTGCAGGAGCTGATATTCGGCCATGGGACCACAAAATGCCTGGGAATACCCATCGCGATGATGACGCTCAACAAGATCTTTGTTGAGGTAAGTCAACGCCCTGATCGCGGTAGTGTCTTCGTGAATGCTAACGCTGTTCACCCCCACCAGCTGCTTCGACGATTTGATGTACAAGTGATGAATCCGCACAGGCCCTGGACGAGCATTTGCTACGGCATTTTCTTCCAGAAAGACTTTAACGTCCGCATTACACGTCGTGATGATTCCATAGAGGCCGCATAGTTTGTTACTCTTTAGCCTGCGCGAATGTTTTCCCTACTACATGTGCATAGTCACCATTCTGAGATAGACGTAGAAAAAGTAAACATCTAAGAACTTTTCTCCGTGGCGTAGTAAAGCTTTATAAATTTCTTCGTAAGAGAGCATAACACAGAAATTTTGCAATACATTTGGGCACTAAAAAGACAAATGGCTGCCGCTTGTGCGCGTTGCTAAACAGACAACACTACTACTATAGGCGCTACTGGTATTAGACTAAGCGCCACCGCGTTCTTGTCCAATAACGGGAGTCTTCCTCAGCCGCGTGTGCCTGATACGGTGGCAGCACACTATGTCGTCTTAATTGCCTACGCACTAGCCCCGGGTTAGGCCGTTTCGAGCGTAAGCGCTCCAGTAGCGAGCCACCATAAAGATAAAAGATATTTAACTTTGAGTTGCGGAAGGCAGGAATACGATTTACCTTTACAACTAAATTGCAGCTATAAACCCTGTCGACAGGGTTCGGGATCCTTGCGCTAATTACCGACAGGCTTTCTTAGGCACCTACGCCAGAGGCTATGCACGCATGGGCTGCGCAAACGAAAGTTTGCTTTTCCCTCTAGCGCGCCAGCGTGCTAATGATAAAAGCTCGCTTTCCCGCGGTGACCTGGGTACTGGACCATCATTCTTTGACTTCACCGCCACAATGAAATTCGCCGAAGAACTGCAGGTTCGGCTTCAGTCGTTCCTCGGGAACAACCCGCCATTGGCTCTGATAACGTGCATAGCTGCTCTTGTGAGCCCACCACTAAACACTCACAAGGTACACACAACTCACACGGTTCCAGATCATCGCCCACGCAATCGGAACCATCATCTACAACCTCTACTTCCACCCGCTCTCCGCCTACCCCGGCCCGCGCTCCGCCGCCTGCACCAACCTCGCGTGCTGGCGCGCCGCCGTCTCGGGCGACCTCCTCCCCTGGATCCGCGCCGCGCACGAGAAATACGGCGAGACAGTCAGACTAGGCCCCAACACGCTCAGCTACACGAACCCGCAAGCCTGGAAGGACATCTACGGCCAGCAGAAGCGCACCAACCCGAAAGACACGCTCTACTACCCACCGCACCTCAACGGCCGCCACGCCCTCAACGCGCTGCCCTCCGACGCCGACCACGCCCGCCTGCGCCGCGTCTTCGCCCCGGCCTTCTCGGCGTCGGCCCTGCGCGCCCAGACGCCGCAGATCGTGACGCCCTTCGCCGACCTGCTGGTCCGCAACATGCGCAAGCTGACCACGAGCAAAAGACTCGACCTCGTCACCCTCCTCACCTGCACCACCATGGACATCATCTCCGACCTGACCTTCGGCGCGCCGCTCGGCCTGCTCGCCACCTCCGACGACCAACAGGCTGCCTACACACCCTGGGTCGCCGCCATCTTCGGCTGGCTCAAGGCCGCGGACCTGTCGCGGATCGGCATCGAGTACCCGTGGCTGGGCGCGCTGGCCAAGGCGCTGACGCCGCCGGCGCTCACGCGCGCCGCGCGCATGCATTTCGGCGAGGCGGCGGCGCGCGTGGACGAGCGGGTGGCGCGGGGCGCGGGGGAGAGGCCGGATTTGTGGGGGTATGTGTTGAGGGAGCAGCAGCAGCACGGCAAGGAGGAGGAGGAGGAGGTCATGGATATGGAGGACATGTATGCGAATGCGACCATCTTCATGCTGGCCGGGTCCGAGACGTCGGCGACGCTGCTGAGCGGGCTGGTGTGGCTGTTGTGTCGGAATCCGGAGAAGATGGCGGCGCTGTGCGCGGAGCTGAGGGGCCAGGAGGGTGATGTGGAGGCGTTGCCGCGGATGAAGTATTTGGCGGCGTGTATTGACGAGGCGATGAGGCTGTATCCGCCGCTGCCTATTGGCCCGCCGCGCGAGGTGCATCGCGATGGGAATATCATCTGTGGGAAGTGGGTGCCGGGGAAGGTATGTGTGTACTCGTTTTGAAGGTGTTCCCTTTGTTTACTGACGATTGCTGCGGGTAGACTCGCGTGAGTGTTGCGCAGTACACGGCCTATCGCTCTCCGCTGTACTTTAAGGATCCCGAGGCGTTTATTCCAGAGCGTTGGCTTCCCGGTACTGGATATGACCATGATAGGAGAGATGTCGTGCAACCTTTCTCCTACGGTCCACGGAATTGCATAGGCAAACCGTAAGTGCTGCCCCTTTCGAGTGTTCCGTGGCTAATGTACGAGGCAGTCTTGCATACCAGGAAATACGCATCATCTTGGCAAAGATTCTGTGGAACTTTGATCTTAAGCTCTGCCCTGAAAGCGATGGATGGATTAACCAGAAGAGCTATTCAATGTGGAAGAAAGACCCCTTGTGGGTCGAGGCAACACCTATCCGGTAGATGGATAGACTTTTGGGGGGATTCTGAATGAAGCAACTGCGATTTTCTCGAGCTCCATGTCGATACTCCTCCCGATCTTTATCCCTTAAAGAATTATCAGAGGCGTAGCTGCAAGGTATAACGGCGAGCCTCTACCTCTAAGGATATCTAACGAATATGTATCATATATACGTAGGGGAATTGTTACAATCTAGAGTTTACAACGTTTATCTCTTTTGGTGGTTTGAACTGGCTAAACTGAAGCCTCTATAAAACGTCGGATTGGCAGGAAATTACGACATCTACGGGCTTCTTTCGGTAAATCTGCTCGACGACTGTCTGTGTCTCGGTCCTGTGAAGGCTGGCGTCGTAACACTGAGCCGCCCATTCTGAGACGACATTGAGTTCAACACCAAGTAGATTGAAACGATAAGGCAATGCGCTTAATTTATTAATCATTCGACCGATTAAGCGCAAATTTCATTAGAAAGCAATTATAAGAGCCTGAAGTTACGATGAATTAATCTCTCCAGATCGATTCAGTTAACCTGAGCTACGTATGCGAGGCTCTTCCTTAAGACAACCTGGGAAGGACCGCAAAATTCTCAACTAGTGTAGCCTTCCTTAATCCTAACAGAGTGGAGTGGAAATGGCTCCCTTAGTGCGGTGTTAGTTCCTCAAGATAGCAGGATAGTGGTTATAGAAGTCGAGTTCCGCAAGAGCCTACTAACCTTCAGTCCTTGCATTGGCAGCAGCCTCCGCAGGCACCGCACATACCGCAAGTGCTGGTAGGATTACACTTTCCACAGCTTACGATGCAGCTGCAGTGCGTGTGACTGGCACAGCCGTCACATTTCCCGCATGAGCCCGCCGAATTCGTGCAGTTCGTAGTAGAGCATTGAGCCATGGTCGAGAATGGAGAGAGATAGTAAAATGATCTTGAGTCTTAACGCAACTTATTTGAAAAGGTCGTGCTAGCAGAAAATGTGGCTATGGGAGAGTAAAGTCATGTTAGAAACAAGGGATTTTATCTATATGCCACACCTAACGTGTCATGAGATGACTGGTGAGAATAGAAAACCAAAATAATGCGGCATTACCAAGTTCAATTTGCATGACAGAGTGGCTTGATGCATTATGCTTACGTCTGCTTACGTGCATGCGCCATGCGAACGTTTAGCGAGACATAGCTTTCTTCCCCGCTCCAACGTTGCGGCAGTAGTATGCAGATTGAGGCTTACACTCAATCTTTGCCTTTGTTGATCAGTTTCAGCTCGATGGCATCGTACATATCCTGCGCCAAGCACCTCCGCACCAGCAACTCCGCACTCTGGAGACCGTTCTGGCCTACTGATCGCTGAATCTCTTCTCGCTCGCCTCGCTACTCACTATCGGGATAGTTACCGCTTCTGTAGGCGCCGTCGACATCCACTAGCTGCTTAGAAGTCACACGCCCACGCTTTCGTCCAGGCCGATCCTATACTCAGCGAGACACTTTCACTAGGAATGGCTCGCGTTCAACGCTCATAGGACGGTCCTTGGAGGGTGGTGGAGCTCGATAGTCATTTCGATATTGTAGTGGACCATCCGTGGCAGCTAAATGACGCTTTCGGCCTCGCGTGGCTCAATTTGCTTTTAGGCATCGCGCCCACCTGGCCAAAGCCGAGAGGGCAGACACGTTGACTGTATCAAGCTGATGACTGAACACCTCTCATTGTCTCCACACGCCACATCGGAGTATGCAAATTGACTCATCACCTTTTCCTGCCGCCTGTGTCGGTATCAGTCGTGCCCGACCAGCTGTCCTCCAAGTCCTTTTTTACCCATAATCCAATCCCTGGGCAGTATCGATGAAATGGCAGTCGCATTTGAGCTGAGCCGATGTAAAGAGGACGTCCCATGAGCGTAGGCCGGAGCTCGAGGAATTGTTTTGCCTTCTCGACTGCGTCCTCTCCAACAACGCTTTGCTCGCTTTCACTATCGTAATGAAGTTCTTCCTGGTGTTGTCCCCAGGTTACGAAGAAAAGCAGGCACAGATCACAACCGGATGGATCAAGCGCACATTCCTCGAATTCCGCAAGGTTTTTGTGACGCTCAACGCAGCAAGAGGATCCGTCGCTTTCTTCCCATTTCCGAGTCCACTCCTCATTGCCTGATCCCGAACCTATGAGTGCGATCTCGCGAAAATCAAATCTGGAGCAGGATTCGCAGAGACCCATATTGAGGCGAGCTTCCGACAGGGTTGACTGATCCCTGTTGATGAACCTTACGAACGACGAGCCAGCGGTAGGAATTGCAAAAAACCAACAGAGTATCGTTCTCGGTGATATAAAATTTCAAGCTGATATGGAAGTAGAAGATTGAACTATGCTATGGAGGAAGAATCGAAAGACATGTTGAAGCGCAGATTTTATCAAGTCGTCACCTCATGTCTCAGCCTTCGGAAATCCGACCAGTACTAAGGTGCCACGTATGCTCACGGCTGCAAAAGGCTGACTGTGCATCCCGATCAACGCCACAATCCTTTCATCCAGTATCTTATCAACTAGGATGTTTCTTCTGTTTCCAGGCGCAATATGGTCTTGGCAAATGGGGGCCTAAATGTAGCCCCACCGCCCGAAGTCAGCCTCACAGCCCCTCGTCTACACGACACCTTTACTGCTCCTTCGATATACTTTTTTTGTGATAATGATGGGGCGCTCCTCTCTCTAACAATGGATCACATGTTCGTACCAAAGCACACAGCATGTGCTCCTCCCCGGATCCGTTACGTTTGCCAGCAGGAATACGATCGTGGCGCCTTTCTTACCTATCCGGACCGCTTCATGGGATGGAAAGAAGAGGAAGCTTTCCAAGAATCCGCGTGGGAAAGCGTTGATTCCAATCACGCGTCCGCGTTTCTCCAGCAGTGGCTGTTTTTCGGGTTGCTGGATGCATTTTTCGGCGACTTGGTCAAACTTTCTGACTTTATTGACACCGAAGAGGGCTCTGCTCTCTGGCACGTCCACACCAGAGAGTTAATTCCCATGGCGCAGAGTCTCATTGAGAAAGACAAAGTACATGGTGTGTTGGCCAAGCGCGGGCACGATTACCTCCAAACTTGCCTGGAGACGGCAAACGCCGCCTACGTGGCTCTCACTGGGAGCGGTTTGAGGAAATCTTTAGATCCCTACTTCATTGTGTCTTTGGCTGCCATCGGGAGGTTTTTTAACTGTCTTGCACTAGCCATGCACCCTGACAAATTCGTCACAATCATCTGGCTCGAGCCCCAGGTACCAGACCCAAATGATGGGAATCTCCGCAAGTTCGTAGCCGCGAGCGGCTCCACCGGCATATTTAGCCTTGAGATGGCGCGGAATGGGTGGTGTCCAAGACAAATCTCCATTGCTGCAGAAGGATCCTTTGAAACCCACTTCTACTGCTCTCGAATTCCGCCATTTAAGACGGAATTGGACCATCGGGCTTGTACGCGAACGAGGTGTATAGCTCTCCAAACCATCAAGTCGACATATAAAACTAAACACACCCTACCAGATTGCAATTGCAATTTTGTCGGTGTTAGCACTGAGGAACTAGAGAACATACTGCAGGATGGTAATATTCCTTTGGTAAAGCTGGAAGATGACAAACTCAACATGATTGCAACGAAAGTCAGGCCTGACGAACCGGCTTTCTACATTGCCATATCGCATGTCTGGTCAGATGGCCTTGGAAATCCCACCGACAACGCCATGCCGCTGTGTCAACTCCGGCGCATCAACAGCATCTTGCAAGTTCTACCAGGAATCCCAAGCTCGAGGACTGGTGGGGTGCCATTCTGGATCGACACTCTTTGCTGCCCGGCAATAAACTCGCCTGCAAAGCGGCTTGCGATAACTCGGATGCGAGAAACATATGCCAGCGCCAACAGCACACTCGTCCTGTCTGCCGATCTCCAGGCCATCGCAGCCTCGCAGCTACCCACAATCGACCTTGCATACCTCGTCTCCCTGTCATCCTGGGCCTCGCGTCTCTGGACGTTGCAGGAAGGCGCTCTGTCGCGTCTGGTATACGTGATGTTCAACGACATTGTCCTCGACTTCAGCGAGGTGCTGGAAGACTGTCTCGGTCACCACAAAAGCACATTCGCCCGCGGGTGGATCAACTACGGCGACTACATCCGCATGTGGGCCATCGTCCGCGGCGACGAATTCGACGACTCATTGCCCGCACTCGCGTCCGTCTTCTCGCTTGAGAACGCCATGATCGCCGTGACGCACAGGACTACAAGCGTCACCTCCGACGAAGCTCTCTGCCTTGGCAGCCTCGTGGGTGCGGACCTGGGCAGGATCGCCGGTGCCGCGCCACCCGAACGCATGTGGGAATTTTGGACTAGCGTGCCGAAGATACCGTGGACGACCGTCCTTTGGCGCCGGGAGAGAATGGCGCAGCCCGGCCGCCGGTGGGCGCCACGCTCGCTGCTTGGCGTCACCGATGCCGTCGATTTCTTCTCCGACCGCGCCGCAGGCGGGGAGTGCACTCCAGAGGGCTTGGTGGTGGAGGCGCCGGGCATGATCTTGCAGAGCCTTGTTCCACCGTTCCGGACGGACATATATTTCAGGCTTTACGTGGAGGATTGCAATGGACGAGAGCAGTACTGCTTCTACAAAGAATGCGTTGGAGAGAGAGCGGATGCGGCACGGTTCGCCGTTCCCAATGGGGAGTTCAGCCAGATCGCCATTGTGGCGGATGATACATCTGTCACGGGTACAAAAAACTTCACGATGCTTTTCATCTATAAGGTTGAAGGTGACATAACTTTCGCGCGACGGGGGGACGCTGGTTATGTGCAAAAGAAGTCCTCCTCATTGGCCTCGACTTTTGCAGACACGGAGAAGGAGCTGCAATCACGGAGAGATGACCCAACCGTCGCTGAGGGTGATGAGTATCTCAGGGAAATGGAAGGTCACATTGTGTATTTTGCAGCCAGAGGAAAATGGGACGAAGAGCCACGAAAGTGGTGTATCGACTAGCATTCGACCGAAAAAAGAATTGTAAACAAAATATCCATGATTATAGTGGAAGAAACTGTGCTTAGTGTATACTAATTTCGACGCGAAAAAACAATCTCTTGACATTAACAACGAATGTTGAAGACAGAACCTTTGAGGCCGGTGCATATCGCGAACGTGGAAAATAATTAATAGCGTGCTTTATGTCTCCGATCACATTTTGTTTAGCAAGGCCTTTGAAGTGTATTTTATAGGTTAAGTGTATGTAATCTCGTTCTAACGTAGCCCCAGATTAACTCTTTGATGATTAGGAGGATATCAAGAACGACCCCAACACCGTGCCAGATTCCATCAATATAGACGACTGGGATAATATAAACTTGAAAATCGCTAACTCTAAGAAACGGACAAAGACGGAGATTGTTCCAAGGACCCAGAGATCTACATAGGCTTTGCTGTGACTTGCTGGACATCATTTGAAAGAACATTCATGGTCAACGGTGTTGAGAACGCGCATCTTACGAGTACGGAGGTGAATTGGATACCTTATACATGATATGGACAGCTCATGCTTCGGCATTACTCCCATCACGCTCAGAATCTTAATCAATCTATACTCCATTCGGTCTAGACTAAGCTTGAAGCTGGATTGTAGTATTTGTCATCGGTTGTATTGGGATGTCAGATAAGTGACCTTCAAGTTCGATCCCTAAAAAGATGTGCCGGCAATTTCCCGTTGCGTAAGAATCTCCCTAAGCTGGGCTCGCCATTGAACCTGTTCGGGACGCCAAAGAACTCGCCGTAATGCTCTTCCGTCCACTCAAGTGCTCCCAACGCTTTGATTTGCTCGTCGAACCATTGCTCTGCAGGAATCGGCGGATACATGATGCCCTGAACTATGGGATTCCGCATGCCACTTTCTTTCCACTTCTTCTCCGCCTCGTCCCCGTTCCAGAAGTGGAACCAGAGTAGCTTCTCCACCGGCTCACCATATCCTGCCTGAGCACCTGCAGCCCACACGGAAATAGGTCGCGCTGATGGGAGCCTCGTTCCGCGTATGCCTCTGGGTCTCACTTGGTCGCCCCACCTCGGAACCAAGCCGTTGATTTGGCGGACTTGTTCCCTTCTCTCCGCGCTCATCGGATACGGAAATAAAACTTGCACCGTGGCCACAAACTTCTTCCGGTCGAGGGCAGAGAGAAAGCCGTTGGTGCATTCAATCTCCGTTTCTTTCGGCTCACCAAAAGTCGACAGACCGCCCCAATACTTAGCATACTCGGGCGACTTCCTGAAAGCTTCAAGGGATTCGCGATTTTCCCAAGCTGCGGTGTATCAGACGGTGGCCACAATGGGTTGGGTGAAGGGCACCTACTTGTACAGATCACAACGATATCGGGGCGCTCTTGGACGCGAGCCCAGCAAGCTCTATCGTAGCCGGGCGCTTCTGTCAAAGGACAGATAGCATCAATCCATTTTTTGCGCGATTCGCAGAGTGGACGGGGGGCGCCGATCTCGAGAATGGATTCGGACTCAGGGACATGTATCTCGGTCCACGTGCTGACGTATAGTGCAGCGAGGCGCTGATTCTCTAAGAACTGCTGACGGAATTGGTCGTTCGACATCGTATGTTGAGGAAGAGTGGGTGTTCCGGAACGTGAGGAAGAGCCCCAGGTGCGGCACAGTTAGGCAGCAGAACACGCTCTAGTCCAAATGCAGGGCTTGGCATATTATAGCGCTTCGGTATTTTTAGATTGACGGAGCCCAGGAGGGCCATGCGCGCCATAGACCTTCTTTCTTCAATTAGAACAAGCTGACAGTAGCATAAACTATAAAACCAGCTGAACGTCTCTAATGGCCACAAAGCGAACCTGGATGAGGTTTTACTCTGGATTTTGTTTAAGTCATCAGCAGCTAAGCGAGTTTAGAGGTGCCAGCACAGCTGTGACAGATGTTTACTGTCAAGCCGCGGATGTGCATTAGGCGACGCTTAATGATTTAGTGGGCTGCAGGGAGTGCATTGCTTCGGCGTCCGAAATAAAACAGTTGGACGCGGGGTCCAGGAGCGGCACTCTTTGCAGTCATTCTGGCGCTAAACGGCAAAGGGTCGATGCTTGTTAGAGCTGCGCCGCAGAGGCTGAAGAACTCGGGCTGCCGTTGGTCCGTTATCGCCATTCCGCTACCTGAATGGGGAATAGAACCAATAGCGCACGGGCTGATTTTGTTTTCTGAAAGTGCTCGGAGTGGGGTCTAAATGACAACTCATCGTCTACGCACACAGAAACATTTGAAAATTCTCTTTCTTGATCCCTGACCAAGTATACCTTGCTATTCTCATCCGAAATGCTGTGCAGGAAGTGTCAGAAAGTTTTTGCGACGCCTCCTTCAATTGGTGAGCACAACATTACTTACGGGACTCTAGCGGTCGTGAAGACTGCTGCCCGAAGAGGTTGCGAGTTTTGCCAGAGATTACTTGATCGCATCCAGAAACCCCAACACAACCGATATGATGGCAGCAAATCGAGCAAACCGGTCTTGACTTGCACTCGGTTCTGTGACGACGAATCTTCCGGAGTGGGACGAGCGGATTTTCGCATGCCTGGATACCTTTGTGAGATCATTCGTATCATTACTCCAGAAGGTCAGTGAATTGCATGTCTGGACAACATGGAATCCACATATCAGGGTTTTATTAACTCAGGTTAGATTGTTCGAAGTTCGTCAGTCTTGAATTCGACGCCAGAAGTCATAATGAGGCCCAACACCGTCACTCCATTTCATTCCAAAGTAGCATTGAAGCACTCGAGCGACGGCTGTTTCCCTGTAATAGGGCCGAGAACAATGACAATGCAAATAACGGGGCCTCAATCTATCCTCGACTTCTTTTCCCGCGTGTCGAAGCTTCTCAGTCTACCGAGAGCGACTTTACTCGCCAAAATATCCTTGAATGGGCTACCAAGTGCTCAGAAACACACGAGAACTTCTGTTCCAGGGTGTCCGACAAGGCCGGCATGAAATGGTATCCAACTCGTCTGATCAGTGTGGGAAACGATCTCGATCATTCGCCATATGACGACCGCATCAGGTTGGTTGATACCGCGAAAACTCCTCTCACTGGCCAATACATGACCTTATCCCATCGGTGGGGTGGGACCGTTCCTCTAAAACTGACCAGAGAAACGGATGCCATGCTCCGAAATGGGATGCTCAGGAGCGAGCTTCCTCAGACGTTTGCTGATGCGGTCAAAATCACGATGGCTCGGTGTAGGCTTCCTCTGGATTGATTCGCTGTGCATCGAACAAGACTCGGAAGATGACTGGAGAAGAGAGGCGGGCCAGATGGGCAAGGTCTACGAGAACTCGTGGTGCAATATTGCTGCCACAACATCAATGAACTCTTCCGGTGGATGTTTCTTCGACCGCGACCTTGCTCCGCACAAGCCCTTCCAAGTGGAATCAAGAAATGCCCAAGGACAAGTCACGATGACCATCTGGATTGAACAGGAATCCTGGAACAGACAAATTGAATTATCACCCCTCGATGAGCGAGCCTGGGTTCTTCAGGAACGTGTGCTTGCGCCTCGACAGCTCCATTTCTGTCGTTCTCAAGTGTTCTGGGAGTGTCGAAACCTTCGCGCTTCTGAGGCCCTGCCTCTTCGCCATTTTGATGGCCACGTGTCACCAGAACCAGACTATAGCCGGATAGTTTTACTCAAAGAATTTGCAAAATTTCTTGAGGAAGCTAATTCTGGCGGGGATCACCAAACCTCTTTTACGCCTTACGACTTGCCAGCTGCAACATGGAAACTTTACGTAAGCTGGATAACGATCACAAATCGATACGCTAGGCTCGGGATGACGTATCCGCGTGACAAGCTGGTTGCTCTGTCCGGATTGGCCCAGAGAGTGAAAGAAGCTACTTCGGATGTGTATCTAGCCGGTCTCTGGAAAGGGTACCTTCACGTACATTTGCTATGGTGTGGGTATGGAGTCCGGGAAGGCCACGCTCGTCATAGACCTTTGTGTGCGCCTACCTGGACTTGGGCATCTTATTCCTCTGGAGTGTGCCATGACCATTACGTCAGCTATACGTACGACGAAGATCAGAAGAGGATTGCTGTTGTTCTAGACGCGTGGGCAGAAGAGATAACAGAGAAAGACAGCACCAAAATCGCTGACGGCTTCCTGCGGCTCCTTACACCGCTGTGGGTAGCTACATCACCAAAAGGACGCGGCCAGAGCGAGATCGAGGTTGGATCAATAGACACCGAGGAAATCAAGTTTCACGGCATGGCATTTCTGGACGAAAATCTACATGCAAACCTGGAAGCAGACTTCGAGGCCCGTAGGATACTATGCATGCCGCTAATATTCAACGAGAATTGTGCATGCCATGGTCTCCTTCTAAAGGAGGGACAAGCTACACAAACGTATGAGCGAATTGGTATATTCCTTTTCTACTTCAGCGACAACCAGGATTGGTATAACAAGTTCTTGCACAAGCAAGAGATGTGCGATTATTCGGGCTGGCATACAGTAACAGTTGTGTAATGAGGGAGAATGGACGGGCGGCCCTGCAAGCTTGACATGAGCTTGTCGAGGAGGGGGGGATGCGAGCCTGGAGGTTCGACGGGTGCCTACGGAGTCCTCCAGCCAAGAATCGGACCGGCTGACTGATCCAACGTCTGAGAGGCCGCCTGCGGAGTGGAGATCAGGTCACGTTGACTGGTAGCATCATGTTATTGAGATGGCGTGCTTTAATCGTCACAATGAAAGCAGGTCTACATTTACCCGAGCCTCCTCAATCTGTTAGATGTCAATCAATTCTAGGGGCCAGGAGGGCGCCATCATGCACCCGCCGTAAAGAGACTAGCTGTCAACCTCCCGTAGGGAAATGGAAGGTCGCGTTGTTTATTTTGCCGCCAGGGGAAAATGGGATGACCGGAAGTGGTGTGTCGACCATCACTCGCGACAGGAAAAAGAGTTGTAAATGAATGAGAAGACGGATTGTTGATGATTATACCGGAGAAAAAGTGTGTTTGATGTATACTAATTTCTACGCGAGCAATGAACTGTTAGTGTTAATAACATACCGCGAAGATGATGCCTTTAAGGCAGATGTGTGTGGCGCGAATGCGGAAAGGTTGGTGCGGCATAACGTGTGTTCGGGGAATACAATTGAAAAGTTGCTATCATTTTCCAAACCTGAACTTATTCGAAGGCAAAATAATTCCAACAAATCTAGGGTTGGTCAGCTGACAGCGGTTTCGGGCATGTCGGCGCTCCTGCATAGTGCTTATGGTGCTTGGCTACGTCGGCCCGCTACCCCTGTCGCGCCAAGGAACATTGATCATCCCGAGCCTGGTCGCGCTGCCTCAGTTCTCACTGTGCGCCTTGTATCAAAAGACCACATGCTGTCCACGAGCGGTGTAGCATGTCTGCGTTGTCCTGTCATCAAGAGCAGCAATGGTCGATCTCAAGCATCCAGCGGCGAAGCACAGCCGAAAAAACTACTTCCTGGTATCATGCATTGTCCTGTGCGAGCCAATCTCCTCCACCATGCTCCTACCATTCGTCTACTTCATGGTCAAGGATTTCGGTTATCCCGAGGCCAAGATCGGCCCGCGGGCTGGGATAATCACTTCCTGCTTCTTCGTCGCCCAAATGTTCTCCACCCCCTTCTGGAGCGTCTGGTCCAACTCGGCCGGACGCAAGCCCACACTGCTCGCCGGCCTCTTCAGCGCGGCGCTGGGCACCATCCTCTTTGGCCTGTCCCAGTCTCTGGCTTGGGCCATCGTGGCGCGCTGCCTGTGCGGTCTCTTGAACGGCAACTTCCCGGTCGCCCGCACCATGGTCGGCGAGCTGGCGGAGCTCTCTGGAACCGATAAGGGGAAGGCCTTCTCTCTGTTTGGCTTCTGCCTCGCAGCAGGCTGGCTGAGTACGTGTCCACACACAAATCGCATGGATTTGGCAAGCTGACAAACCTCACCAGTTGGACCCATGATCGGAGGCACCCTCGCCCGCCCCGCCATCCAGCTTGGCATCTCTGGCCCCGCGGGCTTGTTCGTGCGATTCCCGTACCTGTTGCCCTGCATATGCGCTGCGTCGATCAATCTGATCGTCTTTGCCGCTAGCTGGTTCCTCCTGGATGACACCAAGCCGGCGCCGCGCCGGGGTGGTGATACCGGCCCGGACGAAGCAGATCCGCTTCTTGGTCCGGCCGATCCTCCTCCCCCCAAGTGCCGGACGACCAATCAACGCAATCGAAGAGTCCAGGTCATGTGCCTAGCCAGTTCACTGTGAGTCTCGCCCCGATGAATCCGTAAGTGCAAAGCAGCTGATCAAGCTCCAGCTTTTTCTTCACCCACGCCATCCTGTTCGACGAGCTCTTCCCCCTCTTCGCCGTCTCCAGCACGAAGGCCGGAACGGGGTTGTCGTTCCTTCCCCGCGACATTGCCACCGCTCTCATGGCTTCCGGCCCCGCCATGTTCGTGGCGCTGCTGGGCTTCCCGCTGGTGCATAAGCGCGTCAGCGCGCCCAAGCTTTACGCCCTGTCCGCCCTCGTCTTCGTCGTCGTCTACCCAGCCTTCTCGCTCCTTCCCAGCGTCGGGGCCGCATGGCTCTGGCCCTGTCTGGTCACGCTGATCATGCTGCGGTACATGAGTCTGGTCGTCTCGCTCACCAGCCTGAACATTATGGTATGTACTTGGGCGTCAAAGGCTTCCTGTGGTTCGTGAAGTGCTGACGAACATACGCACAGATCAACGACATTGTTGTCCCGGAGGAGCGTGCGCTGATCAACGGCGTGGCGCAATCGATCGGATCGTTTGCACGCACCATTGGCCCCACGCTTGGCGGCTGCGTGTGGTCTTGGAGCTTGTCTAGCGGACTCCCCGCTCCTCTTGACTTTCATGCATGCGTAAGTAGCGTTGATGTACCTGGTTCTGGTCTTTCGCTGACTGCTTCCATCAAGTTTGTCCTGCTGGCGACGTTGGGCGCGGCTCAAGGCGCCACTGCTTTGATGTTGTTCAGGGGAAGTGACAATGTTTCGAAGGTTTCGGGAGAGGGTCGAGTTGAGGTGGCGGAGGATTGAAAGCTTTGTTTGAAGCCTGTTGCACGATAGATAGCTTTTTGGTACATGCCACATGAGCCCTTCACCGAGTCTACCTTTATTTACGTATGTAGTTGATTTTAGCCCTTTGAGACTTTATCTTCAATTATTACGCCTCTAATATGAATGTTGGCCATGAAGGTCGGAAAGGATGAGCATTCGCATTATTCTTTTTCAGCTTGTACTATTTTGCGAGCTGTGAAAGGTCTGTTTCTGCCTCTCAAATCGTTGTTGGCCCTGTAACTTTGGTGCAACCAGCTCCCGCAACCACCCCAGGCGAAAGTGTTTTTGTCCGACGTTAATTCCAACGCATAAGCGGATCAAATTCGGCGGACAAATTATCTGGGGAAATGGAATCAATTGGCAGGAATGCAGCAGAAGCAGAGTTAACGAGATGCCGCTAACTGTATGTGGCAGGTGCAGGGATGTCGGCGAGCGGCCCGCACCTTGCAGGGGTGTCGGCGCCGGCGCCGCCACAAAGCGCCACCTGGGATGTCGCCGCCTCGCCGCCATCCTTTATGTTTTGGTCCTCCGCTCTGTCCGTTCTTTCGAAAGTTGCTCCGTCCTAAGTTCCGCACGTGAATCCACCTTCGTCCGCTTTTTGTGCGCTGTTTGGGGGTTTATTTGGGCGTTCGCGCTGCCACCAGCCTCGCTCAACAAACAGCTATCGTTTTACGACAGACAACCATGGCTGAACCGCGGAACACCAGCGCTACCGAGGAGCGTCGCGATGGAGCTTCATCAGACCTCGAGAAGCAGCAAATCCCAAGCTCGGGCGTCGCCAGCGAGTCTGGTGAGAGCGATGCGCAAGTCACGGAGAAGCCTGGCGCTCGCGTGGGCCTGACTTTGACGCAGTTCTGGATTGTCATCGTGGCGTAAGTTGGCCTGGAATCGTCACATCATTTGACGCCGCTGACAGTTGCTTTTCCAGGTTGAACATGGGCATGCTGCTCACCGCTCTCGATTTCAACATCGTGGCAACGGCTGTGCCCATCATCTCGTCGGATTTCAAGGAATACAGCAATTCATCATGGCTCGGCACGGGATTCCTCATCTCATTCGCTCTCGTTCTTCCCATCTACTCGAAGCTCGGCGACATGTTTGGTCGTAAGAACATGTTCCTGCTCGGCACCCTCATCTTCACCCTCGGCAGCGGCTTGTGCGGTGGCTCGAGCAGCATGTCGATGCTGATCGCATCCAGATTGATTCAAGGAATTGGTATGGTAACTAATTGGTTTTGCCATCGATACTGGACACTAACATGGAATACCAGGCGCTGGCGGCATCTACGGGCTAGTGAATGTCATTGTGACGGATCTGGTTCCACTCCGAGAAGTCGGCAAGTACCTGGCCCTTGCAGGCTTGGTGTGGGCAATTGCGGACGTGGCGGGTCCTTTGCTCGGTGGCGCCTTTTCCCAGTGAGTTGGCCATTTCCCCCGTCACGAATGCACCTTGACTAACTCTTGGACCAGATACGTGAGCTGGCGCTGGTGCTTCTACATCAACCTCTGCATCGCCCCCGTCACCTTCGTCGTCATCTTCATTGTCCTGAAGCTCCCGGCCCCCAAACTAGACTTCAAGAAGCTCAAAAACTACGACTACCTCGGCACGCTCACTCTCTGCGGCGGCACGACCTGCCTGCTCCTCGGTCTCTCCTGGGGCGGCAACAACTTCCCGTGGAGCGACAGCCGCGTCATCGGCTGCCTCGTCGGCGGGCCCGCGCTGCTTGCCGCCTTCGTCGTCGTCGAGCACTACGCCAAGGACCCGCTCATCTTCCCCAGCATGCTGCGCAGCCGCACCATCATCGCCATCCTCGTGGCCGAGTTCTTCTACGGCGCCAACCTGCTCGGCCTCATGTACTACGTGCCGCAGTTCTTCCAGCTCGTCTTCGGCGACTCGGCCACGCTGTCGGGCGTCGGCCTGCTGCCCATGATGCTGGGGCTGGCCATCGGCAACCCCATCGCCGCCGTCGTCACGTCCAAGTTCGGCATCTCGCTGTACAACGCCGTGGCGGGCGCCGGGCTCGAGATCCTGGCCAGCGGATTGATGACGCGCTGGAACGAGGGCACGTCGCGCGCCGAGGCCGTCATCGTGCTGATCATCCTCGGTATCGGCCAGGGCGCCGTCATGTCCGGCTTGCTGCTGTCATCTCAAGTCGCTGTGCCGCCCATGCAGATTGGCATCGTCACCGGCCTCGTCATCTTCATGCAGACCATCGGCGACATCTTCGGCATCGCCATGTTCGCCGCCGCCTACGTCAACGAGCTGTCGGCCTCGCTCGCGCGCCTCGATCTGACCCAGGAGCAGATCACCCTCGTGCTGACTGATGTGCAGGAGGTCAAGCACTTCGAGTCGGCCGACTTGAAGCATGAGGTCGTCGAGGTCTATGCCGATTCCATGCGAAACGGCTGGTGGTTGATGTTTGCCTGCGCGTGCATGATCTTCGTGGCGTCTCTGTGCTCGAGGCAGCACAAGTTCGGCGCCAAGTGATTGTGGAAGTTGGGGGGAAGTGGAGCAGCTCTGAGATTGAGAATTGTGTTGTTGAGAGGGGCTGGGATGTATGCACATTGGTATCCACTGTGTTGTCGAAGGAAGTGGCTCATATCATGTTACGAAAATTTTTCAATGAAGATGGATGAAAATTGTCCCGATTATTACATTCTAGAAGCATCTATTTCCCGAGCGAGTAGATGTCAGATGTCTATCGATAGGAAAATGTATTCGCGAACGTGCAAGAATATTCTTTACATTCCAAGCGGATTCGTTCTAGTAGGTGCCTTACGAGAGCAACATGCGTTAGTGTATTGTCGAGGATGGAAGGTGACTGAGAAAATCGCGCCATGGTTCCTGTAATTCAGGAGGGAATTGCGCAAAAATCGATGAAGGATCGTACGCTAGCGGTTTGATGCACGTGGAAAAAGACGGTTTGTGGAGTGTGCTGCCTGCGTGGCTTGCAGGGGTTACATAGGAATCAGCCTATCAGGAAGATGGCCAGGAACATTTCGTTGTGCATGGCTCGCATTCGCATTCAGAGACGGAGGAATGACCAGATGAATTGTATGAATTGTATTGTACATCTACCGAGTGCCTATTTCTAGCATTTGACAGGCAAGACTGAGCTCGTGGGTTGTGTAGTCTACGTGGTCTGGGTCGAAGAGGTTGAAATGATGGCCGGGCAGGTCCAACACGGCATGGATCAAGGATTGGTTGTAACGGCCCCAACCGAGCAGCAGGTCTGAGCGATGGATGTCGACCCTGGACAGATGCATTTCTGGGGTAGGAAAATGGTCCGTTGCGCGTAACAGAATTGCCGGCGGCACAGCAGGCTGGGGGGGCTTTTTCTCCGGGGCCTGCACTGGGCCTCCCATCGAATGCGGAGTGGCCAAATCGTCAGGTGATGTTGGGGTGTTTTGAGTGTGCGTCAGCGGCGGCGTCTCGACGCTGTTTCCACGGCGTTCTCGAAAGCTGAAGTAATCGCCTGCAGGCTGCATTCGTGCTGACGGGCACCAGGAGTCGAGCATGGCGGCTGAAAGGGCCATGGAGCGGCGGACGGCGCGCTGGAGCTCGAGCGGACAGCCAGCGGCAAATTTGGGGAGGGTTTGCACCACGGGCCGCGTGTCTAGGGGGTCGCGGTGGGGAAAGACGGAGTCGACCATAACGATGCCGCGGACATGGATGGCAGGGTCTTGTTGGAGGCGCAGGGCGACCTCGATGGCGACGATGCCTCCAAGCGACCAGCCGCCCAACAGCAGCGGGCCGCGGGGCACCACGGTGCGCACCAGTTCGGCATAGACATCGGCCATCTCGGAGATGCCTCCTTTCCAGCGGGCTCGAGGACTGTGGATGCCATAGACGCGGCGCTGTAGGCTGCCCAGGCGAAAGTAATGGGCGCAGTTCCCACTGCCGTCGTGGATCAGCACGAGGGGCGCCGCGCCGGGAGAGCCTCCGGTCTGGATGATCTGCGGATTCATGGTTAGAGAGCTATTGTATGCGAGGACGCATCCCGCTGCACAATAGGGCCTCGCTTCATAATAGCAGCTGAGCCGGTGCTGACGCGGGTTTCTCCGCCGAAAAGCAGCAGAAACTGCATAAAGGCGCCGTCCTGCCAGCCGTTGTTGTCGCCGCCATCGCCGCCAGATCAATATCCATCCCGCCCGCCCGCCGCCGCCTTCGCCGCCGCCTTCGCCTAAGATACCGCGCCATGCAATCCCCGACCCGGCCCGTCTCACGCAGGAAGCTTGTGTGCCACGCCTGCCGAGCCCGTAAGAAGCGATGCGATGTAAGTCCCCCCACGCCAAAACGCATGAGCGGCTCCCACCACAAATCCCTGCACAGTCATTCTCCGTCCGTAGCTGACTCATGGCCTGCAGGGGGGGCGCCCGCGCTGCGACTCGTGTCAGAAATGGGACCAGCCGTGCTACTACGCTGCAACCACACCCTCAGATTCTGGCGGCGCTTGGTACCAGCATCCAGACCGCGTCCCTGGCGCATGGGCTCCTCCAGCAGCTCGGCGCAGGGCCCAACAAGCGCCGCAGGACGATTACTTCGCTGTACAGTCTATGGCCGAGTGGCCCCCACTGATGACCCCATTGCTCACTCCGCCGGCCGCTCCCGCAATACCTGACGAAGCCCTGCTGGAGGACATCCCGTCGCTCACCTTCGACGACGCCTTGTCCTTCTCGAGTCTAAGCTGGCCATGCTCACGCCTACCAAGCGTCTCCTTGGACTCGCCTGCCCCGGCCAGCAGCCTACCAGCCCAGCCAGACCTTGTCCGGCTTGTAGACCTCTTCTTCGCCCACTTCCACCCCTTCGTGCCGTGTCTTCACGAGGCCTCCTTTCGAGACTCATTCTGCAGTTCGCCAATACAGGGAGATGCACCTGCACTAGTATATGCCGTGCTCGCCGTGGCTGCTTGCATGCACACAGATGCCGCGGTGCGCCAAAGGCAGGACGAGTGGCTGACCAGGGCAAAAGCGCTTTACCGCGAGAACTGCAATGAACAATCTGTGCAGATGGTGCAGACGGCGCTATGCCTCGCTTTCCACGCACTGGTGACTGGAGATCTGCAGGCGCTGTGGATGCTGCTTGGCGACTCGTGGAGGAAGGCCTGTCTGATGGGCTTCAATCGCCTCGACGCCCCTGACCATCCAGGTCTCAAGCCGTTTGCTCCTGCTCCTCAAGATGCCCGCGAGAAGGAACAGCGCCGCCGCATCTTCTGGACCATCTTTTTGCTAGACCGTGGCACAAGCTTTCCATGCGGCCTGCCCTATGCCATTGACGACCGCCAGTTCCTCGTCAATCTGCCCGTCCGTGAAAACATCTTCGCCGGAACCGGCCCGCTGGTATGGTATTTCCATCTGCCGAAACTGAACATCCTGCTTACTGCTTTCTAGAATCCCGAAGAAGCTGGATCCGTGCCTTTCAACCACAAGCTGAGCTCTCTGATCTCGGCCAGACCAGCCCAGGGAGACGCAGCGCCCATCATGCACCACCTGATCAAAGCATACGTCATCATGGGCCGCATTGTCGAGCACACCCACTCGATCCACCCGCAGCAATCAGATCACAGCCGCTACAACGAGCTCGACTCAGCCCTCGTCCGCTTCCGCCTCAGCCTGCCCCGTTGCGCCACTGAACTGTCTCGCGCCGCCCCGTGCGCCCTCAAGTATGTCCTTTGGCTGGGCATGATTCTCCACGCAAACACAGTCCTGCTGCACTTCACCCCCACCAATTCTTCAACCAACGAAGAAGATCAAGACTCTTCCCGCGCCTTCGAGTACTGCCTCGCCGCCGCCCGCGCTATCGTCCAGCTCGTCAAGGACGCTTCCCGCATTGCCACCGACACCCTCGCCAATCCCCACATCTCCCCCGCCCTGTACCTCGCCAGCCGCATCCTACTCATCCAATGGCACCGCGACAAAGACCCCCAGCTGCGCGATGACATCGACCTCATCCTCCTCGCCTTTGACCGCATCGCCGACGCTTTCCCCGTCTTAGCTCAAAAGTTTACTACGCGCATCAATTCCGACGTGCTACTCGATGCCGAGAGCATTCGTGCTCTAAGGGCTGCCGGCGCAAGGGGTTTGCTGGTGCAATGTTCGTCCTGGAATAGACGCTGATACTTATACGAATGATGATGTCTTGCAGGTTTTGTCGTTTAATCCAAAAAGCACGCACTCAGTCACATCTCATTTATCACTCTTACCTTCTCGTTAAATATCATCTTTAAAAAAGAGTAAGTAGAACAAAACTGGTGGAATTGCAGTTTCGCTCAAGCATTTCTTGATAGTACATACGTATGGTGATTTTTTACGAGCTTTATTGTCTGGTTATATATCATTTTTATCATTTGCTTCTGTTTAAAATTATTTACGAACAAGAGTAAATAGAATTAATGTTAAACTGGTCTTTGATCCAAGACTTGGAATAACACATCTCATGTATCTAAGTTTTCTTCTTTATTTTTGTTCGACATCGTCTGCAAAAAAAGATTGAATGCACAGAATGATCCATAAGCTATCGGTGGGGCAGCGTAGAATACATACCCGCCAGTGGCTAACAAACAACGAACAACAAACAAGAAGACGTGGTTTTACGGAATTCACTTGATACTTTGTCAAGAATTAACGTTCAAACGGGCGGAATTCCAGTTCCCTCCAGTCAAGCTTAACCTTGCTTCCCCTTCTTCCTAAATTCCAAAGTTGCCGTCGTGTCATAGATCAGGGAGAACAGGTGGTTGAAATTGTTGACCGGCCTATCCTTCCCGTCAGGAAGCTTGAAGTCGTATTCCAGAAGCAGCCTCGACAGCGTCGCTTTGAGAACGTTCGTCGCAAAGAAACGGCCAGGGCAGGCCTGCCACCTGTTAGCAACAAGCAATCTTCCGTGCACGAGAGCAACTCACATTTCGGCCCGCACCAAATTCCACAGACTCGGGTCTGTTGCAGGTATTAGCTTCTTTTGTCATTCGAGGAGAGGGCGTGGTAGCTAGTGACTCACCCAACAGAGACATATGTATACTTGCTCTCATTGCCGGCAATAGCGCGCTTTTCGGCCCACTGAAACCCGTTGAACTCGTGCGGCTGCTTCTTCTCTCCTGAGATAACCGCGTACGCATTTGACACCGCCACGTACGAATTAGCCGGCAGCGTCATGCCGTTTGTGAGAGGGAGCGGCTTGATGATCTTGCGGTAAACGGATACTGAAATCCTCGTTAGCTTTTGAGCCGTGTTGCTTGCATTGATTCGTCTTACGCAGGTTCGCGTGGTTGAAACGCTGCGACTCCTTGAAAAAGCTGTCCATGTTCTGCAGCTTCGCCAGGCTGGCTGGACGGAGCCTGATTGTGCCCTCACTGGCGACGAGCGAGCGGCTTTCCTCTCGCAGCGGCTCGATATACTCGGGGTGCGCCGCGAGGTCAAAGAGCGCTTGTGTGAGCACTGTACCGGTGCTCACAACGCCGGCGAAATTGAGAATCACGAACCCTTCAATGAGCTTCGACGTGTTGTGCTTGTCTTTGCCAGCATTCTCGATGAAGTGTTGCACCAAGTCGTGTGGGTTCTTGAAACCGGGCTTCTGCATCTCCGTGAAACGAGCCTGTAATCCACGATTAATAACCCATTTTCCCATATAGCGCCTGATACTTTACCTTGTGAATCGGCGCAACAAAGTCCCGCAGGATGTTGAATCTGCGGCGCAGGTCTCGCATCTCCGGTATGAACAACGCAGCCACTGGTCGGAGGATGGGATCCCACTTCGACAAGGCAACGGCCGCTCGCATCGCCGCAGCAGAATGCTCGGTGCAGTATTTCATCTGTGATACGGCTAAGTCCCAGGTTACGTGCGTCATGATTGATATTATCTCACCCATGTTTCGTTGCGAGCCAGCTCTCCTCCCACAAAAACAGTCTGGTAAACCCTCAGCATGATCTTGCACATTGCTTGGTGCAGCGGAAACCCTGTCCAGTCTATAAACATCTCGGTCAGCGCGAATCTGCTTTGCAAATCTCTTCCTACTCTTTGAACCATACTTACCACTACATTCGCCAAAGATCTCAGCTATGGACGCCTCAATCTCATCGTGGGCAGTAGGCATGATGAAGCTAGCATTCTTTGTAAGCTGCTGCTTGGCGTATCCGATGGCGGTGTGGGAGCGGTCCCCTTCCAGATTTGTGAGACTTGACTTGAGATGGATTGTTTCTCCTTGGCTTACCAGGTGTGTCGGGATACATTGATCCAACGCATGTGTAGCTGCACAATGTTACTACTGCTGAAGAACGCAACCATGGATGTTTCTTTCATACTCTCCCAGGAATCGTTCACAGAGGTCGCCAGCGGAAGCTATTTCATTAGTATATCAAGATAAACTCGGCAAAGTCATTGTCTATAACTTACTGACACTCGCCTCAGGAAGCCAGGTATATTCGTTGACCAGCCTATCTGGGAGCACAATGACACGTCTGAACGGGGTTTGGAGAATGAAAACTTGTTCCGGGTCCTGCACATTGATAAGCAAGCGTCTCATGAGTAGGTGGAGATAGAATACATTCACATATTGGCTACGTATGAGAGCCTTGTAGTCAGTTGTCTCTGAGCCTTTGATGACTGGCACGTTCAGTGACGCATATGCTCGATCCTCCTGCCATTTGATCCAAAGACGACGCAGAGCGATCGCCACAGGAATCAGAAGAAGAGAAAGAATTGACAGCATTGTTGTGAAGTGAGCAAGGATTTCTCTCTGTTCGAAATGGAAGTGATGCTCTTCAAAACGAATGAATAAAACATAACTTTTTATTCGCTTGTCGAATACAGACTTCAGCCATGACTTAGCGATGAGGTCTGATCAATCGACTGACCGTCACGCCTCACAAAAGGCCCTCTCCGCCCGCAAAATCCTTCCGTGCAGCCTTGTCGGGGTTCCTGACCTGCGCGGCCCGAGCGCCGCCATGTATTCCGCGATCCCGTCCGACACCCCTGCTCTGACCGGGCGGCCCCCATCCAAATATTGCGCCACCAACATCCTGTGCTCGAGTGGTGGAATGCTTGTTCTAGCCCGGCACAGTCTCGGATTTTGGCGTCTTAGTGCTGAAAGAACCTGCTGGAAATTCACAGACAAGTTGACAACAGGAAAGGGTTTGCTTTGGTTATCAATATCCCATTCACAGCAGGTAGCAAAGGTATTCGTCATTCTCGACCTTTTCAGCCAAAGGTAATTTATCTAAACTATTTCGCTGGCTTAATTCAATGTCTAGACGTGGGTTGAAGTCTCATACGTGAAGAATCGCGGATAGATATTTGATTGCACTACCCTTTCATTGAAGCGAAGTCGAGGCAGAGACTCCCACGCAAATTGAAGAAGCACAAGTGACAAAGGAACCACTACTGCAACCGAAATTGAAAATACGCAAATGATTCAATTTTGGTTTCGCGAACTGCATTCAACTTCAATGCGTAGTAGAAAGAGTGAGACCGTTTTCACAAAAACACCCCACATTCCAGCACTAAAGCTCAGACAAAACCATCTGCGCCGAATCCTCGTGCCGCGGGCACGGGTTTACCAACTCGAAATCAATCGGCAGGTTGCGCCGATCCTGCAGCTCCTGCATGGTCAGGAACGCATCGTGGCACTCCTTGGCCGTCTCGCGATCAGCACCAGGGGCATTCAGCACCCTGCGCTTGCCCACGGCGTAGCCGCCATTCTCCTTGTCGAAGTAGCTGACGTGCATCTTGCCCTCATCGCCCGGCCCAATGTCCAAGAAGTGCACCACGTAATCATCGTCCAGGAACTTGGTCTCTGGGTCATCGCTGGGGTAGTTGACGCAGTGCACGTGGCAGTCTGTCGCCGTGCAGTTGCCCGTCGAGTACTCGTACCAGTCGTACGACTCAGGACGGGCGACGCAGCCCGTGTGGTTGGTAGATGCCGATGGGGGTAGCCACCTGGGAAGTGATTAGACTTGAGTGTTTGATTGAGTGCATGCACTTACCAGCCGAAGCTCAGGTAGCCGGTTGCCGTGCCGTACGAGAAGAAGTTGGCTGTGACGACCTTGCTGTCTCCAGGATTTGAGGATGAGTTGGAGGGGAAGATGACGACCGAGTAGCCATGCATCAGGAACAGCGGGCCAGATGCCGCGGCGGTGGAGAGAAAGAGGGACAAGGCTGGCAGCTTCATGATGAATCGATGAGTTGCAAATTAGATGAGTTGGTCAGTTTAGGGTGCAGCTGTGGTAATATTTTTATCGCCAGCATTTAGACCGAGCGCTGAATATACAGACGATGAAGACAGAATATTCGAGATGTGGAGCCGGGATATCGGCGAAGTGGTTACCTGATGTTTGATTAGATGTCGGCGAGAGCGGCGGCGAGCGGGCCGCGAGGTTTTGGCGAACGACGATGCTGCTTTTCCTCGCCCCCAACATCACCGTGGCTGTTGACTGCTTGATTTGGGAATTGGGCCGCGGCGCTGAATCCTTCTCGCATGGTGTGCAGAAAGCCACAATCCTACGGTCCAGCCCGCGCCGTAAGCCGGCAGCCGAAGAGCCTCGTGCACGGATCCCGTTGCGCGTACATCCCGCCTACTATTCAACAATGTTTTTCGCCTGGTAGTATATAAATACAGTTTCAAAAATATGGTGGTGATTGTTCAGTAGGAATGTGAATATTCCCCCGATCTTCTTCAATTTCAACAATACAACCACAATCGCGATGGTGCACGTTGACATTGAGCCGGCCGAGGCCGAAGTTGCCATCATTGGCATGGCATGCAGGGTTGCGGGTGCCGACTCTCCTTCAAAGCTTTGGGATGTCCTTGCAACCTCCAAAGACGTCCAAAAAGATATCACCCGGTTCAACGGTGATGGTTTCTATGCACCGGATGGTGGACCTCGCAAGGGCTTGACGAACGTCAAACGGTCCTATTTCATCGATGGAGAAGTCAGCGAATTTGACAACGCTTTCTTCTCCATTCCTCCGCTGGAAGCGAATGCCATGGACCCGCAGCAGCGGTTGCTGCTTGAGGTTACCTATGAAGCCGTGGAGAACGCGGGCATTCCACTCGAGAATTTTCGAGGCTCAAACACTGCAGTGTTTGCAGGTGCGTAGTCAAGCAGATCCTCTTGTTAATCAATTACTGATTCTTCGTAATAGCAACGACCAGCGGCGATTATGCCACCAACACGCTGCGCGACTTGGACTCGACGCAGAAATACACCTCTACCGGCACTTCCAACGCCATTCTTGCCAATCGGCTAAGTTACTCCTTTGATCTCCACGGCCCTAGTCTTCTGATCGATACCGCGTGTTCGTCGACGATGGTTGCCTTGCATTACGCAGTGGCTGCTCTGAAGTCTGGAGAGGCAAGTATGGCTTTGGTCAGCGGTGTGAACCTTATGCTCAACCCCGACATGTTTGTACACATGTCTGAGCTCGGATTCCTGAGCCCTTCGGGCCGCTGTCGCAGCTTTAATGCCGCTGGAGACGGGTACGCCCGTGCTGAGGGCGTGCTGTCCCTTTTGTTGAAACCTCTTCATCAAGCTCGTCTGGATGGCGACCCGATCCGTGCTGTTATCAAAGGCACGAGGCTGAACCACAACGGAAGGACTCAGGGAATCACATTGCCCTCGACAAAAGAGCAAAAGGCCAATCTGGAAGCTCTGTATGAGAGCTTCAATCTGGATCCAGCCGACATTCAGTACTTTGAAGCCCACGTACGTCCTTAAATATCTGATTGTTTGATTTAAACGATACTGACAATTCGCAGGGAACTGGTACTGCTGCAGGCGATCCTATCGAGCTAGCGGCTGTGGACTCCGTCTTCGGTGCCTCACACAGCCTGCAAAAGCTTGTGGTGGGCTCAGTGAAGTCTAACATTGGTCACCTCGAATCGTGCGCTGCGCTCGCCGGAATCGTCAAAACAGTCGAATGCCTCGAGAGAGGTCTCATCCCTCCTCAGATGCACTTTGAGAACCCGAACCCCAAGATTGACTTCTCGAACATTGAGATCCCAACACGGATGCTCCAGTGGCCGCCCACAGGGAGCCACCCCCGACGAGCGGCCATCAACTCGTTCGGCTTTGGGGGTACAAACGGCCATGTCGTGCTTGAGCACTTTCCAAGGACCCAGTCTCGTTCTGCCCAAGGCGACCGCCCGTACCTCTTCAGGCTGTCTGCCGCCAACGACACCTCCCTGAGCCTGATGGCTTCCTCGCATGCGGATTTCGTTGAATCTCAGCAGCCAAACATTGTCGATCTGGCTCACACTCTGCTCGCCCGACGGGCATTCTTGAAGCGATCGATGTTCGTAACGGCTTCCAGCCTAGAGGAACTTGTCGGCAAGTTGCGCGATCCCGCCACGCCTCGTGCGACAAGATCAAATGATGCTGTTTCCCGCATCGGCTTCGTTTTCACAGGCCAGGGGGCACAGTGGCCAACTATGGGGAAGCAGCTCCTGGAAGAGAGCCCGGTGTTCCGCTCCAAGGTCATGGAGTGTGACCGGGTACTCCAGGCACTTCCAGACGGCCCTGACTGGACCGCTCTGGAGGAGCTGGCGAAACCAAAAGAGACGTCGCGTATAAACATCTCGAGCCTCTCGCAGCCGCTCTGCACAATCCTCCAGATATCCTTGCTGGAAGTCTGGAAATCGTGGGGTATTACTCCTTCAAGCGTCGTTGGGCATTCGTCCGGAGAGGTCGCAGCAGCATATGCAGCGGGCATCCTTTCCCTGTCCGATGCTGTCATAGTCGCCTACTACCGTGGGCTATACCTTGGCAGCTCTTCGGCACCGTCCTCCTCTCAGAAGGGAGGTATGTGTGCGGTCGGTCTGGGAGAAGCTGGCGTGCAGGACTTCCTCAAGCGCTTCCCAGGTAAGGTGGCCTTGGCTGCTGTGAACTCACCTGGAAGTTGCACGCTGTCGGGCGACAAAGACGCCATCGAGGCCATTGTGGAGTCTTGCAAGGCAGATGGAGTCTTCTGCAGGCTCCTCAAAGTCGACATGGCGTACCACTCTCACCACATGCTTCCGCTCGCGCCCATGTACGAGAAGGCCATGGCAAACGTCGGAGTCAGCCCGGCGTCGTCCTCAAAGGCCAACATGTACTCGTCTGTATATGGATGTCGGATCGATCCTCGGAAATGCACTCCGACGTACTGGAAAGACAACATGACGTCAACTGTTCGCTTCTCTGCGGCCGTGTCGGACCTGATGCTTCAAGAGAACGTTGACGCTCTGGTGGAAATCGGACCCCATCCCGCACTCAAAGGCCCAGTTGCAGACACGCTGGCGGACCTTGGCACAACAGGTATCCCATACTTTTCATCGTGTTTCCGCGGTAAGCCCGACATGGTTGCCCTCTTGGAGTCTGCTGGGAACATGATGAACGCAAACCTTCCTGTCCAGGCCAGCCGCCTCAATGCAAATGAAGTCGCCCGCGGATCCGGCTTCACGTACGAGACAGGCCAAGTCCTGACAAACCTTCCAAAATATGAGTGGGATCACTCTGGCTCTTTCTGGGCTGAGTCGCGCATTAGCCGCAATCTACGCTTCCGTCAATTTCCACGCCACGAACTGCTTGGCTCTCGAATGGTTGAAGACACCCCTTTAACCATGGGCTGGAGAAACAATCTTACATCGAAGGAAGTGAAATGGCTCTCAACCATAAAGGTATTATCCTTTGACACGCTCTATGATTATTACTCACCATTTATTAGGCCAGCGGCGCAGCTTCACTGCCACCTACTGTATTCCTTTCAATGGCCTGGGAAGCCGCTCGTCAAGTCCACCATCTCCACAAGTTACAAGAACGCATCGTTCAACTCAAAGACATCACTTTCGAGGATAGATTGCCTTTGTCGTGGCTCGAGGATGACGCTTCTGTAGAACTGCATTTCCGCCTCAACTTGGATCGTGCGGGCGCGGCCGGGACGTTTGAGATCTCAGCAGCGTCTGCAGACTCTACGGAAAACTGGATCAGGCCCTGCGCTGGAGCTTTGGCATTCTGCGAAGAGCCAACGAAGACTCCAGGCTTCCGCAAGGAAGTTCAGCATAGTGCTTCCCTACAGAGCTATCTCGAATCCTTCGAGCTGGCCGATATCAAAGGCGTACAGAATCTGGCCATGAACACCGGCGCAGCCAGTGGTCAGCTGGAGCAAAGCGAAGACCCCGCCTACAACGTTGATCCAGTGGCTTTCTCAAACCTAATGCGCGTTCAGGAGATGATGGTGCTCGGGTCTGGGCTGCCTGGAGAATACAATTTACGGTCGATCAATCTTGTCGAAGCACGACTGGCAGAGGCCTCCTTGGGCACGCCCCAATTCTACATCGACAGGCGCCAGGCCAGCTCTGTGGCGGCTAGGATGGATCTATGGATAACCGGATCGGATGAAGCATACATATCTCTCCGCTCCATGGATTTCCAGCTTCAGGAACAAATCAACCCAAAGCCCCGACTTGCGTCGCTTTTCTTCAGGCCCCAAGTACTCCCCGACATCTCATCTGAGAATTTCAAGGCAGGGACTGCCGGCGTACCCGCAGAGATGTCAGTATCTGAGATTATGTCTCTACTGACTCACAAGTGGCCAAACAGTGACGTGGCCATTGTGGACGTGGAGGCAGATATTGCGGCTGCCATCATCTCAGCCTGTCCAGGCCTCCGAGCTGACGAACGGTCAAGCCTACGGACACTGACTGTTGTTGGAGACCACGATGTCCCCGAGTCACCGCGGGTACGCCGCGTGCAGCAGCTGAACTCCAAGTCAAAGTTCCACATGATTGCTGGCGCGGAGAACTCCTTGCAGCAGTGGGCTTCGATGCTCCTGCCCGCAGGCCTCCTGTGTGTTCGGCTCGACTCGGATGAGGGACGGGCTGCCTTTGCCGACAGCTTTGAGTTCGTGTGCAGCCTTCGGAATCTGGAATCGCAGAGCTGGGTCGTTGGGCGTCTGAAGAAGGTGCACAGTGACCTATCAGGATGCCGTCCCAAGGTATTTTCGCCTGAGAAATTCGATATTTCGGCGCTTTCGAGTGTTCTCGAAATGGATCATGCCAGGCTCCCAGGACATACGATCAACGGCGCCGAGAATCACTCAAACACGACACCGCAGCATGTCATCGTACTCGACTGTGGTCCAGAGTCTATACTGGCAAGGCAATCGGCTGACGGATGGCTTTCTTGGCTTCAATCCATGGTCGAGGGCATGCAGACGTTACTCTGGGTCAACCATCAAGTACAGTCAGACCCCTTCTCGAACGTCGCTGGGAGCTTTATCCGCACTCTGTGTGCAGAGTATCCTGCTCTTCGAGCGGCGCATCTTGTCATTACGGACAGCCCCAGTGCTGATCACACCGCCGAGATGGTCAAACAAGCTTACACCCAGCTGCAAGAAGGCAGTGCTGAGGTCGAACTGGTGGCCAAGGATGGATGTCTCCAGTGCTTGCGCTACCTTCCCAATGACCAGTTGAATGCATCCGTCGGCATCGCACCGCCAATGCACTCACGCAGGCAGCCGGCTACTGGCGACTACCGTATTGCCTGCGCTGGAGAACACCGCGTCGCCGTCTTTTCGGCGCCGCCCGTGTTGCCCCATTCTTTACCCGCAGGCTCCGTGGTTGTCGAGAACCGAGCATCTCTGGTGGATCACTCGGACGTTCTCGCCTTTGCAACGCCCAGCGTAGCCCATGACGTCAAGACTGGCTTTGGCCTCTTCTTTGCTGGCATCGTCACCCTCTCCAGTACTCCAGAATTCCAAAGCGGCGTGCCCGTTGTGGGCTGGTCACCCGGAGCCCACAGCTCCTCCGTTCAGGTTCCCACCAGACAGATTCACGCGCTTCCGAATGGCGCTTCCTTGGAGCATGCAGTCTACTGTTTCGCAGCCAGCGCTACCGCGTATGCTGCTGTTACCGGCGCTGCCAGAGCAAGGAAGGGTGACAGTTTCGGTCTGTCCGTCACTGGCATACTTGAAACTGCTATTCAAAAAGTGTGCGAAACGCTTGAGGTCAACATCGTGGATGAGCTTACTTCAGCAGACTTTTCTGTGACTTTCGAGTCGTCAAAGGGCCTGGCTGTCAACTCACGACCGGTGGATGTCCGTCGCTATCTGGAATCTCGATCAACAATGTCCTCTATCGTTGGGTTGTTCTACACTCTTCTGCACAGTCAGAAGTCCATCTCAACGGTAGACACCTTCCAGCTGTCTGAAGTCCAAGCCGCGTTTGACACAGGCGCTCTCGGGCCTCTGCACAGCGTCATTATTCATTCCGGAAAGGAGATGATGAATGACTACGTGGTCGACTATGTGCCAGTACCCAAGCTCTTCTCGGAAAATGGCGCATACATCCTTCTCGGTGGCATGGGTGGTCTTGGTCAATATCTGGCAACATGGATGATAGAAAATGGGGCCAAGAACCTGGTCACCATAAGTCGAAGCGGCCTTTCCAGTGAAGACGCAAAGCGAACGGCCAGGTCCATTGAAGAACTCGGAGGTCAAGTACAAGCCTTCTCGGTGGATGTATCCAACGCGGATGCACTTGACGATGCCATCGCTCAAATCCGAACGCAGCACCGAATCCGCGGATGCATCAACCTTGCCATGGTCCTTCAGGATGCGCCTTTCATGAAGATGACTCCAGAGAGATGGGACCGTGCCCTTAAGCTGAAGGTTGAGGGTTCGTGGAACCTCCACCAGTCCACGCTTCAGGATGATCTCGACTTCTTCATCCTCTTCTCTTCCATTTCGTCAATCACTGGAAACCGCTCCCAGTCCAACTACGCCACTGGCAACGCTTTCCAGAACGCCCTAGCAGCATATCGGAGATCCAAAGGTCTGCCTGGCCTGTCGATTGCCCTGGGCTCAATGAGCGGAATCGGCGTCCTGGCGAATGACGAGAACCTGCTGACGTACTGCGCTCAAATGGGTCACGCTCACATCGGTCCGAAAGAGCTGGAAAAGGTCATGGAAGCTGCCATCTTTGAATCACACAAACCCGACTGCGCTCCGCTGATCTCTTTGGGTTTCGAGATGTTTGAATCCTTGGACGGTGTTGTTCAGAAGAGAGCTGACCAGAGCCAAGCGTTCTGGACCGACTTCCCAGAGTTCAGCCACCTGATTGATCACAAGTCGACTGGGGCCGAGGAAGTAGTGCGATCGCTGAAAGAGCGCCTGCAATCTCCGGGTTCTGAAGGCGCAGAGGCGACGCTCATGGACGCTTTCCTCGGATGTCTCGGGAGCCTTCTTGGGTACGGCGTCGATGCCTTTGATCCCGAATCATCGATTGCAGTATACGGGCTTGATTCGCTCAATGCTATGTCCTGTCGTTATTGGTTCTTCCAGCGTAAGTATACCCTGTCTCGCCATACTTCTGCCCGACATGCTAATGTATTTTGAAGAACTTGGCCTCGACGTGCCAGTGTTTGACATCCTCGGATGCAAATCGATCCGTGCTCTCATTTCCAGAGTTATCACCAAATTCCAAGATGGACAGGAGGGTTCAAAGGGCTATGTGATTCCACAGCCCGTGCGGCACACAGATCTCCAGTACAGACCACTCTCCCACTCCCAACGCCGGCTGTGGTTCCTTCACAACTATCTTCCGGACAAGACTACGTACAACCTCTTGCTGGTATGCCACATTGAAGGCACAGTCAACGTACCGGCTTTCAAACGAGCATGGACTGTTCTTCTGAAACGTCACGAGTCCCTGCACTCACGTCTCATCGATACGGATGAAGGACTGCAGCAAATCCCGGTGGAGCTGGACGAGTTCCCTATCACTGACGTTATCACCCCAAGCGACAAATATGATGAAACAGTTCAGGAGATCACCCGGCTGGCTCGTTCGCACGAGTTCAGCCTTGAAGATGCGGAGCTTGTTCGAGGGTGGCTTCTCCAGTCACCAAGTGGATGGAAGTTCTTCCTGACCTCTCACCATCTTGCCTGGGATCGGTCTTCAGTCCCGACCATATTCGCAGAGACTATGAGCGTGTACAAATCCTTGGTCAACGGGGAAAGCGAGGAGTCATCTCTGAAGCCTGTTGACTTACAGTTCATCGACTACACCTTGTGGCAAGAAGAGTGTCTCAATGCCCCACAGTTTACGGAGCCGCTATTGGCTTATTGGAGTGAGCAGTTGAGCAACATTCCTGAGTCAAGTTCGCTTCTGCCGATGGCTCTCAGAGATACCCGCCCGGTTGTGAAGGAACTGGAGACAGACAACGTCACTTTTGCTCTCGATTCTACACTGGGCCGATCGATCAAGGACTTTTGTGCCAGGCATGCGGTCACACCGTTCATGTTCATGACATCCAGTTTGAGCGCTCTGGTGCATCGGTTGACAGGAGACGAAGATGTCGTGGTCGGGATTGCGGACGGAGACCGTGGGCACTCGGCCTTTGACGATATGATCGGCTTTACGGTCAACATGTTGCCAATCCGCAGCCGAACCTCTGCTTCTGAGCCCTTTATCTCGATACTGGAAGGGTTCCGGAAATCCTGCCTGGAAGCATACGAACACCGAGCCATGCCATTTGACGTTTTACTCTCCAGACTCGAGATTCCCCGACGAACGTCTCACAGCCCCGTCTTCCAGATAACCGTCAACTATCAAATGCACGGTGCCTTCCCCGAGTACGACTACGGCGACTTCAAATTCACCAAGTACGACCATTACAATGCCCGTCTGCAAATGGATCTTAGCCTGAGCATTGAGGAAGAGCTCACTGGCGGGCTTGACTGCGTTTTCGAATTTGACACGGCGCTCTACGATCGGCAAGGCGTAACCAGCCTGGCAGAAATATACAAGACGTTCATCGAGAACATTGTTGTTTCTGATGGGGCGCTGCCGCTCAACCAAACATCAATTGTTTCGACAGCGGATGAAGTCTTGATCAAAACGCTCTTGGAGCAACCTGCCGATGTCACTGCACTCGAGGAGTGCGATGCAACATTGTTCCCGGTGCTCTTCCAGCGGGCTGTGTCCAGTCATCCCAACAAGGTTGCCTTGGTCGACGAATCGAGAACGCTGACATGGTCTGAGGTGGACGCCGCCACACGGAAAATCGCGAATGAACTTGTCAAGAGTGGAGCGGAACACTGTGAGCCGATAGGTATCTTCTGCGAGCAATCGGTGGAGCTGGTGTTGGCAGCTTGGGGCATCGTCCGCGCCGGCTGTGCTTATGTGCCCATCGATCCGGACTTTCCCGATGCTCGAATCCTCTCGATGATGGAGGACGTGGAGATGACGAAGATACTTGTGGACGGAGGAAACGACCGCGTACAGCGGATGGTTGCATGTGGAGTCAAACTAGCGGACATCCACGAGATCCACAAGATGACGGAAGCTGCTAGTGCAGACGAAGTGCCCCTTATCTTCCATGACATCACCAAGTCGGATCCATTTTGCTGCGTCTTCACAAGCGGCAGCACAGGACGTCCCAAAGGAATTTATATTGGACATGGCCAGCTTCGATACCAACAAGACGGATATCACCGCATTGTTGGCACATCCGCAGAAGACCGAATTCTTCTAGCATCGGCAATGGTCTTCGACGCGTCCTTGTGCGCCATCTACGGAGCAGTTCTACATGGAGCAACGCTTGTAGTTGCAAGCAGAGAAGGTAAGTATCTGAGCAAATAAAGGACGATAAAGCCGCTGACGTCTCCCTTAGCTCGGTTTTCTCCATCAACCATGATTGACCTGATCATTGATCAACAAATCTCAAACTGCATCATGACTCCAACCCAAGTATCCATCCTGCTGGCAGCCCCCAACCGGAAGAAGCTTCTAGAGTGGACGAGTCTCAAGTCTCTTGCACTTGGAGGCGAGGCTCCCCCACAGCATCTCCTTCGAGACTTGTACGGACTGAATTTGCCTCATGCTACTTTCTTCAACGCATATGGCCCTACAGAGACAACAGTTGCCTGCTCAGTTGCAAAGTAAGTCTCACAGATCCTGCTCGGTTAAAAATGGGAGCTAATACAAGCCAGACTGAGTCCAAGCGACGTTGCCAGTGGAAGCATTCCTCTGGCGCCCCCGCAATTCCCAGCGACCCTTTACATTCTCGACGACCGAGGAAACCGCGCACCGCTCGGTGTTCCTGGAGAGCTATGGATCGGCGGCCCGGCCGTGAACAATGGTTACATCAAACGACCAGAGCTGACTCAACGAGCATTCTTGCCGGACCCATTCAGCTCCCAGCCCGGCCAGATCTACCGGACTGGCGATCTCTTCTGCCTTGGCCGTGACGGCTCCCTGCACGCGCGGGGCCGCATCGGTGGGGACCGACAGATGAAGCTGCGGGGCATGCGCATCGAGCTTGACGAGATCGAATCCGCGCTGTGGGACCTGTACGAAGACCTCGAGGAGGGCGAAGCGCCACCGTTGATGAACCTGGCCGTCGCGTACCACAAGAAGGGCGATGCGGATGGCATGCTGGCGGCCTACTTCGCCGTCGGCGAGGCGCCCGTCAGTTCCTCGTTAAAGCAAGCGCTGGGGAGTTTCTTCAGGACCGGGCTGAGGGAGTGCCTGCCAATCCACATGGTTCCGAGTGCCTTCGTCTTCGTGGCTGCCTTGCCAACGACAGTGGCTGGAAAGACGGACTACAGAACCATCAGTTCCTGGCCAGCTCCAGCACGGATGACGGTAGCTTCGGAGAGGAAGGCTGGTGATTCGTTGCAGCTTACTGCATTGCAACAGGGTATCGTGAAAGTCTGGCGAGACGTTCTCGGGGAGGAAGGTGAGATCTGTGAGGAAGATGATTTCTTCAGCCTTGGCGGTCATTCGCTGCTCTTGATGAGAGTGCAAGCCGGCATCCAGAGCGCCTATGGTGCCACATTGTCTCTTGCCGCAATGTTTGCTGAGCCAACAGTAGCGGGCATGGAGAGACTGCTGTTGGCGCAACCTGAAATGGCTGGAAAGACGAATGGGACTTCAGCACGTGAAGATGAAACAGTAAGTGGTGCCGTGCCTCGCTCCTGCACTGCCATACTAACAGTAGAGAAGATTACGACTGTAGACTGGAAAAAGGAAGCCGCTCTGCCACAAGAGTGCAACTGGATCATCACCGACATTCCCAACAAGCCGATCGAAGCCGTAGCAATGACGGGTGCCTCTTCCGTGATCGGGGTGCATTTCTTGCATCAGCTCCTGACCACAACAAGATGCATGGTCTACTGCCTGGCAGAAGATGCTCCGTCACGCAAAGAGGCACTGGAGCAAGTCAATTCATCCCTGGCCGCTCACGGGTTCATCGACAGCCTTCCGAACGGCTGGCGCGACCGGATCATCGTCTTCTGCGGCACGCTGTCCGACGCACACCTTGGCCTGTCAGCCCAAGAAATTGCCCTTCTCGATGCCAAAGTCAACGCAATCTACCACATGGACTCGGATGTCTCGCTGCTGAAAAACTACGAGGGCGTGCGTGCTGGCAACGTCGGAGCTTTGCATTTCCTGATCAACCTCGCATACGGCAACGGCAGCAACGTGAAGGCTCTCCACTACCTCTCAACCTGGGGCGTTCCACACTTGCAAGCCTGGCATGGCACCGAACTGAATTCTGCCAAGGGCATCGTAACCACCGAGACGGAGTTGACGCACATGACGCCGTCCTCGGATCCCGGACTTGCGTACCTCAAAGCGCGGTGGGCATGCGAGAATCTGCTGTACGAAGCGGCACACCGTGGTCTGTCCGTCACCATCTTCCGTCCCAGCATGTGCGCCAATTCCGCCGCGTCTGGTCGCGCGCTCAAGCGGACCGACATCAACCGGCGCATCCTCGAGGGCTGCCTGCAGACCGGCCTGGTGCCCGATTTTGGCTCCGCCCACGGCGGCGGCATGAGCTGGATCACCGCCGACTACCTCACCGCCGTCATTGCCCGCCTCACCATCAGACCCGACGGCCGTAGCTACCAGAACTCGACAGCCAAGGGAGCCCGCATCTTCCACGTCGTTGCCGACAGACACATCCCGTACACGGAGCTGGTCGACGTGCTGCAGACGGCCCGCAGCGGCGAGAAGTTGCGCCCTGCTGCACCCGAGGAGTGGTTCGCTGCCATGCGTGCCGCTGGGGATCCGGAGATGGCCATTCAAGCTGAAGTGTTGCGTGAGTGGTGGCAGGCGGGCTGGCTACCTTTTGCGTTGGATGATACTCGGTCGCGCCGCGTGTTGGAGGAAGAATTGGGCATGAAGCCTCCAGTCGTTGACAGGAAGCTTTTGCTACAGAGTGTCATTGGAGAGCCAGGATTTTAGCATTGTACCGTGTACCGTAGTCACGTTTTAGCTTTCATAGTCAGCTGTCATAATTAGCAATACTTGTAAAATGCTTGTGGATTACTTGTAGAAAGCAACGGTGTGTCAGGACAGTGTGTTTCTTGCTTCTCACCACGGCCACTGTGGTGGCCAGTTATCCAGCCAGCTCAGCAGGCAAAAGGTAAAATTTCCAAACCGATGTCGGTGTGCCATTGACCATGCAAATGCAAGCCAGCCAAGCAGGTGGCTGGGCATTAAGGCAGCCGTCTCCCGCTGTGTCGCATCGCTGCGCCAGCTTCTGCCAGCCATGCCGGCTTTTACCAGTCGTACCTTCTACCAGCCATGCTAGCTACTAGCCATACCAGCTTTTATTAGCTATACCGTCTTTTACTATTATAAACCCCAGGAAACATATTGCAGTCTAAACAGACTTAGCCAATCGAATAAAATCTATATATCTTGTAAGCCAAAAAAAAAGATTTTTATTGGAGTAGTAGTTCGGGCCGAGACGTGCAGAATAAATTTAGCAATCCGACCCACTTAGTACGGCCGAATCCTTCGTGGTTCGACGCGGAATACGAAACGCCTATTTCCGAATAGGAAGGTAGTACCGAATAGAGGCGCAGTTTCTCCTCCTTTAAACTCTTCTTCTCTGCAACGTTCTTCTGGCGCGACTTTTTCCCTGCATTCTTCATCAACTTCCCAGCGGGTGTAACAACTGGGATCCATTGAGAGCCGACCATCAAGATGCAGCTCAACCTCCCTTCAAAGCTGCTGAGGGTTATCGCAGGGTGCGCGGTCGCGAGCCTTGTGATGGTGTCGACATACTCACTTATGGCGCACCAATCTGCAGGTGGGCTGCGGTTACCCGAAATCCATAACGGGACTTTCAAGATGCTTGAATGGTCAGAATTCAAGCCAACATGGACGACCGAGCAAATGGAGCCCAGGTTTGCCTACGCCCAGTACGTTACTACGCTGGACTACTTATGCAATGCAGTAAGCCCATCTAATCGCCTAAATCGAAGTGGAATTGCGAACTGACTTGAACTATTGTAGGTCATCAATTTCGGCCTCCTCCGTCGGTTTGGCACAAAATATGACCTTGTCCTCATCTTTCCCAAAGCTTGGTCCGAAGGGGTTCGTCTTCAAGTGACATCACATCCTGCAACCGTAGAACTGACGTGCATCGCCATGATAGAACTCCAAAGAGGCGAAAGCAATGCAGAAGCTTCAGGCCGCTCAACCCGACATTTACTACAGGTCTTTCGACGTCATATCAACCAATAGCGGCGACGCTACCTGGCGCGACAGCCTGACCAAGTTCCACTCGTTTGCCCTCACAGAGTGGTCCCGCGTGCTGGCCTTCGACTCGGACGCACTTGTTCTCAACAACATGGACCACTTCTTCCTGAGCCCGCTTGCGCCCATCGCGGTTCCACGCGCCTACTGGCTCACCGAAAAAGGCTCCAACATCGCGAAGCAGATCCTCGGATCCCACGTCATGCTGCTCGAGCCGAATGAGCACCGTTACCGCAAGATCCTCGACGAGGCCGCGCGCTCGGCTGACTTCGACATGGAGGTCATAAACCACATGTTTTCCGACTCGGCCATGATTCTGCCGCATCGTCGCCTAGCGCTGCTGTCTGGAGAGTTCCGGAAGCAGGATCACTCCCAGTACATGTCGCCGGATGAAGATGAAGAGTGGAATGCTATGGGCGAAGTTTCCCGCGCCTACCTGGTGCATTTCAGCGACTGGCCTCTGCCGAAGCCTTGGAAGCCGCGGACGAAAAAGCAATGGGAGGATGCGTTGCCTGAATGTCGGGATGACGACGTCGAGACGGCCGACAAGCCGAAATGTGCGGATCGATTCATGTGGACTGGCTTCTACGAGACTTACGATCATGAGAAGGAACGTCAATGTAAGATCTTATTTGAGTAACAGATGAATTTCTATATTCGAAGTATATTCAGATATCTATAAATTTAACTCCTCCATCTTAAGAGCAGGCGCAGGAGGACCAGGCGCACCCCGCCTAGGGAGGAGAGCAGCTGTGGCAGTAGGCGTGGGACAAGTCGAATAAGAACTGGGAGGAGCTGGAGAAGCGGGCCCGAGCGACCATCGAGAACAGGGAGAAGGACGAGATCAGCCCGTGGCTGGGCAGGACGCAGTAGCTACCGTATCTGGCGCGGCTGAACCGCGATGATCTGCTGGCGACAGTTGAGGAGCCAAACACTAACCTGGACAGGCGAGAGGAGCCAGTTGTAGCCGCTATCTAGAAAGCCATAGGCGACGTTACGCGCATTGGCCAGTAGGCCGCAGCCCAGCGCGGTATCGTCGGCTCGGTGTTGTCGTAGGCTCTACGGTGGTGTCGGCTCGCTGCAGTGGTAGGACATACCGTCGCCGGCCATGGCGCGCCAGAGCACGGCACTGGGTGACGGGCTGGTACTTCTTCCGGCGTGGTGGAAACGCTCCGCTTACGGTCGGCTCGCCTGTACCGCTCTCTTACCTCTATCTACCGTAGCCGCCGCCGCCGCAGTATAGAAAGCCGTAGGTCTCGCCCACAACACCCCGCGCCGTCCCGGCAGTAGCGATCCCGCCCGTACGCCGACGGTAATCCCCCGTTCTAACTAAGCCGCCGTTAAACAGCTTAACTCGCCGCTTCTACAAGCGAAGTACTAGATACTACTATATAATACCGGCTTTTTAGCTACGCCTATAGACGGCGCGTAGAATTCTTTTAGATAGTCGTCTAGCTTTAAACTATTTTTTTTATTCTTATTACGCTAGAACTTAAAAAGAAATAAGATAGAAGCGTTAAAGAGAAGTATAATATTAAAGATTTACTATCGCTATTTAGAATATTACTAGATACTATATATAGAAGATAGTAGTTATAGTTAAATAGAGAAGATAATAAGAGAAATATAAAATAATAATTAGAATTAACTATAAGAGTTCTATCTACTATAAATAAGTATACTATTTATATAAGAAAATATTTATCTTATAATTATAATTTCTAACTATAGTATAGAAATAATATTATAAAATATTTATAAAAAAATAGAAGTTAAAAACGCGGTACTAAGCGAATTTTCGCGCTAAAAATTAATAATTATACTTATTACTTAGTATTATAATAATAAACTTTTTTTATTAAGCTTTAAAGTTACTTAATAGATAGTTAAACTATAAAAGTTTATTTTAAAGAGATAAAAGAGAAAAGATAATAATTAAATAAAAGAGTATTATATAATTATATAATATATAGTAAGCTAGTTATCTCTAACTAAAAAGTCTTAATTAAAACTTTAAGTTAACTATAAATATTATAAAATATTTATAGAAGAATAGAAGTTAGAAACGCGATACTAAGTAAATTTCCGTACTAAGAATTAGTAACTACGCTTATTACTTAATTGTTACGCTAGAACTCGGAAAGAATAAATAAGATAAAGGCGTCGGGAAGGTGTATAGCGTTAAGAGTTTACTACCGCTATTTAAAATATTACTAGATACTATATATAGAGAATAGCAGCCGTAGTTAGATAGAAAAGATAATAAGAGGGGTATAAGGCAATAATTAAAATTAACTACGAAGGTTCTATCTACTATAAGTAAGTATATTCTATATACTATAATTAGCCGCTAGTTAGCTAGACTGTAGTATTAGTATAGATAGTAGGGTGGCTAGTGGCTAAGAGAGATCTGCTTCGTAGGGTTAGGCTATTAGCCATCTAAATAGATTAGATACGTCCGGGGTTTCGGTATAAGATAATCCGGTTCGTCTATAAGTTTTACTGTACCGCTTAACCCGTATTCTAATTCCGTAACACTATCTTCTTTCTAGATAGCTTTCGGTCCGAAAGCTTTCTTATAAGTAGGTGCGTCTTCTTAGATTTTATATTAGAAGTACTAATTTCTTATTATAGTTTCGGCTCGTACCTAGCGTCGTATTACCTTAGCCTAGTATTACGGAACACCTATAAGAGAATAGAAGTTAGAAACACGGCGCTAAGCGAATTCCCGCGCCGAGAATCGGTAACTACGCTTATTACTTAGCACTACTACTAACGGTTATAACGCTAAGACCACACCCTTATAAATATAACCGCCCGTTATAACCTACCTCTATATAACAGTTAGAAATTATGGTTATAAGATAAATATTTTCTTATATATATAGCGTACTTATTTATAGTAGATAGAACCTTCGTAGTTAATTCTAATCATTGCCTTATACCCCCCTTATTACCTTCTCTACCTAACTACGGCTACTATCCTCTATACCTAGTATCTAGTAACATTCTAGATAGCGGTAGTAAAGCCTTAACGCTATACACTTCCCCGACGCTTCTACTTTAAACCCCGTCCCGAGTCCTAGCGTAACACTTTAACCACTACCTTATAGGCACTAAAGATAAGATTACCCCATTACTAACTATAATAACCTAGACCGAAATCCGTACTTCCCTCCCGGACGCGGAGGACCAAGTACGCAACATCCGACTTAGTATTTCTAGAAACCCCGACATAGAAACACGCATGCTTATCTTAGAAGCCTACGTATCGGGGATCGCGTTTCTTTCCCGCGATATTAGTAGACTACGGCTACCCCCGGACGTATCGAAAGACTGTATACACGTCCTTCTAGAATACTTTATCAGGGGATAGGCCTTTACGGTTAACCGCACTATAAGAATTCCGGAACCTACGCTACCCACCGAGCCGGTCCCGGCTTAAACCCCCAACCTAAAATTTAAGGTTAAGAAACCAGACACCTTCGACGGGACTAGAGAAAAATTAGACGAATTTCTACGACAACTATAAACCTACTTCTACTTATTCGGGACAGCCTTCCAGAATAACTCTTAAAAAATCTTCTTTGCCGGGTTATATCTCCGTAATAATGCTGCCCGTTGGTTCGAACCCTACTAAGAAGACTTTAACAAACTAGACCAGCACGAGAAAACTATAGAGTTGTTCTACAACTTTAATAACTTCGCTAAGGCACTTCGAGAAACCTTCGAAGATAAGAACTAGTATTAAGATACCGTCTATCAAATCTAGATCCTTAAATAAACCGGCTCCGCCGTAACCTATACTACCTAGTTTCGACTCTACGCCTCCCGACTTTAATAGCCCGACAACGTTCTTAAAATACTATATTACGAAGGACTAAAGGACTACATTAAGAACGAATTCGCCAGAACCAAGCTATCTAATTTATACTAGAAGGTAGTCCGCATTACTATCTAACTCGATACTCGGCTATACGACCGTCGTAGGGAAATAACCCGGTCGAACCGCCCCGTAGCCAACTCCAGTCAACTACGGAATACTACGAGCCCCGGCGAACCCATAGATCTTAATAGCGTTAGACGTAACGGGCCTCTATTCTAAGAAGAAAAGAACCGACGCTATAAGAAAGATCTATACCTCCGCTGCGGTAAAAAGAGATACTACGCCCGCTAATATAAAGACGGTAATAAGACAACACGCTAAACCTTAGCTATATAAGTAGCGAAAGTAGAAGACTCCTACGATAAGTAGTATTAGGCCGATTATACTAATAACGAATGTAAAAGCCACCGCAAACTAAAAGAGACTAATAGATACTAGCCGGAGGCAAAAAACTAAATAAGCCTCTAATCTAGGGGCGGGTAGAGGCGCAGCCCCCGGCGCCCCTTTAGATAACCGCAACGACGATCGGTAATACTAAAGAAAAACTCTCTTATACGTACATTACGAACGACGAAGAACCCCTAGCGGAGTATACCGAGTACCTTATTATTAACATGCTCGCTAATAGACGCCAAGCCCGCGTTCTAATCGACTCAGCTAACGGAGGCAATCACATCAACCCCCGCTTTGTAGAAAGACACAACATTAGGTTCCAAGAAAAGAAACACCCCTACGAACTCATTACCGTAGACGGTTTATCTAGTATATATAGAGAAGGGTTAATACTTATAAAAACCTAAGGACTCGTACTAACCAGAGGAAAACACCGAGAAAGAATATACTTAGACATTATAAAAACCCCCGGGTATAACATTATTCTAGGACGTCCCTAGCTCCGGAAATAAAAACTATACATCGACTAAAAATCCGGAGAAGTAAAGTTTAGGTCTAGAGAAAAGAACGAGGCGCGGCAGCTGTTTAGCATTATAGCAGCGTTAGCACAACCCTAAGTAATCCGAAGCAAGCTAATATAGATTAGTAAGATCTCTAAGAAAGCCCTTAGAAAAGAAGTTAAAAACGATATCTCTACTAGAATCTTCTAGGTGCGCGCTACCCCCTAGGGAATTAAAATCGAGACCTAATAACCTCTAGAAGTCCGGTAAGCCTATAGAATCGCTTACCTTTCTAGAAAACGAACTATTAGTCTCTAGAAACCTCGAGACTCCCGAGGACGTATAAAATACGACCTCCAGCAAATTAGCGCCACTAATATCGGGAACCCCCTAGACTAAGTACCCCTACGATACTACAAGTTCGACCTCTTTAAAGAAAAAACTAGCGAAGACGCCCTATTCGAATACTAACTATAGGATTACGAGATACCCCTAATACTAGAAACTACGCCTAAGTTCGGGCCCTTATACTCTATATCTAAAAAAGAACTTTAGATACTTAAGGAATACATCGAAACCTACCTAAAGAAAGAATATATACGGCTATTTTAGTCCTCGGCGGCCTCTTCTATTCTATTTATATTAAAACTAGGCGGAAAATTACGGCTATATGTGGACTACCGAGCTCTAAACGATATAACTATTAAGGATAGGTACCTCTAACCCCGTATCGACGAACTACGCGACCGACTACGAAAAGCTAAATACTTTACTAAGCTAGACCTTAGAGACGGCTATTATCTAATTCGAATTAAAAAGAAAGAAGAATAGAAAATAGCGTGGCGGAGCCGATTTAGACTGTTCGAGTATCTAGTTATATCCTTCGAACTTACTAACGCCCCTACTACCTTCTAAGCTATAATTAACGACACTCTCCGAGAATACCTAAACGTCTTCTATACGGTCTACCTCGACGACATTCTTATCTACTCCGAAACCCTAGAGAAACACTAGAGATACGTGGAAAAGGTACTTAGGAAACTGTAGGAAAGAAAGCTATAAGTTAAGCCCGAAAAATACGCGTTCCACGCCTAAGAAGTGGAATTTCTAGGATTTATTATCCGACCCGGCGAGGTTATAATAAATTCTAAAAAAGTAGAATCCATTCTCAGCTAGTCCGTACCTAAG